AAAAAAAAATTATTTTTTCAAAAAACTAATACATTCGTTCCTTCAAATCCCAATTAAAATGTAAATTTTATCAACTGAAGGCGTCTTTTTGTGATTTTATCAACTAAAGGAGTATTTTTGTGATCTATAATTTGAAGAAGGGATGAGAGTGAAACATCAAGGACCACCCGACACTGTCACCCCAACCATTTCCCTTCTTTGCCCATCCCGTTCCCTTTTCTTTACAGTAGCTTTTCTTGGGGCCACTCTGCATAAATGATTGACAAACATTGTGTGATAGAGAGGAGAAATTGACCGTAGCAACCTGGCGATAATGAAAAGCAAATATTGAGGCAAATAGCGGAAAAAGGGATTGTCAAACTTTTTACGATTGCATAATTGCGAAATTCAATCAGTTTAACTCTTACTTATGCTGTCTGGTGTATTGCATGCCATTTGGGTACTCTAAACGTCTTGCCGCAAATTCATCCGCCTCTGAAAGGATTGATTAGCCAAATTCTTCAGAATTCTTCAATCATACAGCAAGCACTCAACTACCCACTGGAGAGAGTTCGGCGAAGCGTTTCGACAAGCATTGGCGCAAGCATGGGACGTCCATTTTGAGCATTCTGACGATCATGCTCTTCAGCGTCATTCAATTCAGCGTCGGGCACCAATTCAACTTCTTCAATCTCGAGATCGCTTTGGTGTTCATCGCTTGCAAGATGTGCCGATGGCCCTTGAGTGTGCGTGGCGTGGGAAAAGTGGACGTGATTGCGGAAATGCTGGTGATGTGGTCTTGCATTCAATTCTAATTTCATTATTGAGTAGCTTTGAATTAAGTTAAGCAAGTAAAAGCAGAGGAAAGCATGCAAATGTTTAGTAACAGAAGGATTTAAAAGTCCGCTGAAAGTCAAACTTGGAGCATCGGCTTCGGGGGGTGGGGTGGGAAGGTCTTGTGGAGATTGAGCTGTTCCCAGGTGTCTATCATATATAATCTGAAGCTGAATGCTAAGTTTAAAGAGTTCTCTGACTTACATTAGATTCTTCACCACTTCGTTGTCGATCGCCTAACGAGCTGGCCTCTGTTGTCACTTCGGTTTCACTGATTGAGCCAAGGGGAGCAATTTTTGGAGGAGGCTCTAAAAAACTTGAGTTCTGGACAATTAAAGATCAAATAACCCTTCGGAGAAAATTCTTCCGAATCGCTGAATAGGTTTTCCACGGATAATGGTGAGATTGGAGTACGTGGTTCTCTTTCCAATGGTTCAAATTTCGGAAAGACAATTTGTGGCGGGGGATAGCTGGGAGGATCTCTTGATGGGACCTAAAATTGGATGTAAAATAGTAACTATCAATACAATAAAATAGTAACTATCAAGCTTACCGAATAGGCTGGTTTAGCTGTGATTCTTGTCATCATGTTCAACTGTGATGGATCGATTCCCCGACTTGTAGTCGCTGTGATAACAATTGAGTCCTCTTGGCTGACAAGGCCGACCTTAAAGAATTTAGACATTACGAAACTCAAGAAATCTTCTTGGACTAGTAGGCAATGAGTTGGAAATTGTGGAATCTATTCAAGTTTGATAGAAGAAGACCCACACTGTTCCATTTCTTTGTTTGATTTTCTTCATCAACAAATTTACTCTTCGGCATTCATTTGAATTAAACGTTAATTGATTTCCTAGACTCATTTTCTTGGATTTGTTAGATTTCCTAGATCTTCTAGATTCCTAGACAGAGAAATTCAAGCTTTTTATCTAGAGCTTACAGGCGGTGAAGTGGTGTCTCTCCGGGGCCAATCATGTCCCTTTTTCAAGTAGATTCCACTGTGTGTTCGGTGAATACCTGGATCACTTCCGGGCGTTTGCTGCTGCATTTGAGTACTGAAAAAATGAGTATAGTAATTGCAGAATCAAAACTGCCATTCAAAAAAGTCATGGAAAAGATCAAGTATAGAAAAAACAACTGATTAAAATTGATAATCTAATAAAGTATTTAGGTTGGATCTTCAGCCGATTCCCTGTCAGTCGATTTCCATTCCCCAAGTCAGTGCTTCCGTTTAGGGGCCACTTTAGGCTCTTTAGACTTTTTTCCTTTCTCTTTCCTTTCTTTTCCATCAGCTTTTCGAGCAACCGATCTGCAAATATATCAGTGGAAAGAGATGGAAAAGAAAGAAAAAGGCACGCGTCGATCACGCCTCTTCCAACCGGAGAAAAGAAGAGATCAGGCTTGGGGAAAAGGGACTGAATTCTTCATTTCTCTCTAAATCTTTTTTCGTGAGACCCACTTTTCTTCTCGTCAAGGCTAACCTGACCGGACATGTCCAATCTCTTTGCCTGAAGAAAAACAAAGGAAAAACTGGATTTTGATCTAAGTCCTTTCTGTAGAACATGGAAATTGCAAAATATCTCTAAACTAGAACAATGTACCTAAATACTTCTTTTACTTACGCGAATTCCTGGAAAAGGAATGGTTTCGAAGTTCAAAATCGATTTCTGAGCACTTCGATCTCTTTTTATCAGTTAATCCGCTAATCCGCGAACAATGAGTTGATAATTGCCTCAAAAGAAAATTTTCTAAATTCGATTGGAGCAATCGATCGGGCTTGGTTCAACCAATGGTAAGTTAAAATTGATCTTTGCTTTTTCTATAGCTTTATTCTACTATTGCTTGGCTTTTCTATAGCTTCATTCTACTATTAACCAGCCAAAAGTCTGCTGGGAAATAGCTTTGCTTTCAAAATTTAGCCTTGCATACAAGACCAATAGTAGAATAAAGACTTAAATGACTCCTTTTTCAGTTTTACAAGATAATTCCAGGCAAGGCAACGTCTTGAAGATGCTATTGGATTGTTATTGGTTATCAGTGCTCTAGCTCATGGAAGAGTTGTGATATTTGGTGGCTTGGCAAACGATAATTCTCCATCGGTGACTGCATCAAATGCTCGACTCCTCAATGAAACCCTACAAAATCTCCGCCCCGGCGATGAATTTCTCATCCCCGCCAATCAGAACTTTTATCTAGATGGTGGAATTGTCGCAAACGGTATTTCGAATGTCATTCTGAACTTTGATGGGACACTAATTTTCTCAAATGACACCAAGAAATGGCCAAAGAATTCGAAAGGAAATGTGCTGGAGTGTCTTTATTTTGAAAATATCAGCAATGTCACCTTCACTTCAAGTGGAATCGGTTTGATTGATGGGCAAGGGGAAGTTTGGTGGGGACCATTGGGATATGCTGAATATCTCGAGAATCGACCTCGAATCTTGACCATTGTCAACTCAAATAATCTTCTAATCGAGAATTTGTATTTCAAGAACTCACCTTATTGGACAGTTTGGATTCACGGAGTTGATGGATTAGAAATTCGGAATAGCGAGATATCGGCGCGTCGAAACGACTTCGATGGACACGATTACTTCAATTTAGTGTGAGTTTTTTTAAAATCTTTGTAGAAAATGAAAGATATTAAAGCATAAGTATAAGAATAAGCTTTTTAAGCATAAGAATGTTCGTTTCAATTTCAAAGATAAACCAAACTCATCAAAATCACAATTCCAGCGCGTTCAACACCGATGGCTTTGATGTGACCGGGAAAAATGTTTGGATTCACGATTGCACAATATGGAATCAAGATGATTGTATTGCTGTGAAGGATGGCTCGGAGAATATGCTATTTGAGCGGATAAATGCTTCCGGACTTGGCCTTGTCATCGGTTCAATCGGTGGCTCAACTGTCCGAAACATTACTTTCCGTGACTCATATCTGCACAGAACTTACAAAGGGATCTACACAAAATTCCGTGGTCCTGGCCTGATTCAAGATGTCATCTATGAAAATATCACCATGTTTGAGCCAGAGCAATGGCCAATTTGGATTGGACCAGCCCAACAAGCTGACGACGTGGACGTTTGCAAGGCGGACCCATGCAGTCTTTGTTGGCCTCAAGATCCCAAAGCTGAATGCAACATGCCAGCCGAAGCTCAGTACATCAATATTGTTCTCCGAAACATTCGCATTATTAATCCAAAGAATGGCACTGGAGTGATAATCGGAAGTCAAACACATCCCATTCAAAATTTGACTTTCGATAATGTGATCTTTGAGAATGCGAAAGGGAATTTTTTTGCTTGTGAAAATGTTAATAATGGCTTTGCTTTAGGAGGCACTTCTCCAGTGCCTAGCTGTTTTACGAAAAAATGATAAATGTGAATAAATCTTTAGCCCTGGTATTTCAAAAATGACAATGTGACAATGAAAGGAGACACAAATTGTGGTAAAGGACGTTTAATGGATGAAAGGACGTTTAATTTGATAAATTTCAAGCCCTAATGGGAAGAATTTGACTTTTAACTATCAAAATCAATCGAAATTTTGGATATTTTTACTGATACCATTCCTGAATCTTAAATTAAACCGAGTTCGTGTACAACAATGTGCAAAATTGAAGTATTTTCAGAAAATGCTGATCTACAAGTTACTCAACATATCCAAAGCAAAATCAACGTGATTTCCCTGAGACTTCTTGAGCTTTTCGAAAGATCTTTTCATTTGTTGCATTCTTGGTATGACTTCACTAACCGATTTATTTTTATTTTTAAGAGAAACTATTGAAAGAAGTTGATTTAAAGAAGGATTGGATAGGATTCTTTATGGATTGGATTGGATTCTTCTGGATTGGATTCTTTATGGCATTCAAAGAGGAAGCTTGGCCAGTGAAAAGTGAACGTTTTCATAATTAGTGTCATGAAACAAAGAAAGGAGAAACCATTGAGAGAACTGGCCTTCTTATTGGCTTCTTATTGGCTTCTTATTGGCTTCTTATTGGCTTCTTATTGACTTCAAACACCCATGGGTGCACTTGTTATTGAGTCAAGAGTTTTAACTTCAGTCAATCTCGGATTTATGTTTGTTGGAGTATGTTGGGACGATTTATATAAGCTATCTTCTTAAAATGATGTTTGACTATTTGTTGAGTTCTGGGATAGATAAGTTTTGATTTTTTTTCAGTTTTACTGTTTACGGGTTAGATATAATGCTTATTTAGGCATTATTTAGGCAATAATGAGAAAACTGATGAAAAAGCAGGCGCTAAATATTGCAGGAAAATGGAAGCGGCAATGATTCTGGTTTTTTGGCTCTGGTTTTGTCTGCTCAAGGATGGAAATATCATTTTCCATACATAATTGCTCTTTTTAATGAGTTCAACGTTGAAAAAAGGCTTACAATTGTTTATTTCATAGAAAATTGTAAGATTTCTACAACTTCGATTCGAATCATTGCTGTGCATTGCTTGGATTAAGGAGTCCACCATTTCCGAATCCAAGGCCGGCCTTCGGTGGAAAAGTTGAACCAAGAACTGGAAGGAACCAAAATTAGGAAGCTTTAGGTTAGCTGCTGTAGGAATTTTACAGATCTCAAACAAAAAAAACCACACTTTTTGAGTTGCTCATTCACTCACCATGGAATCCACCAAAGCCTTGCGCACTTCCCAAACCTGACGCAGCTAAAAATTGGAAAACACATATTATAGTAGGAAATCTTAATGATGTGAGACTTAGACTTAGACTTAGATACTGTAGCTTCTTCGATTAGGTCGTAGAACTGTAGCTAAATAGTATCCAGCATTCAACTCACCATTATCACCATCAGTGTCATCAGTTGCTTGCGGTTTGGCTAGAAAATTAGTTTGGTGAATTTTACAGAAATGTCAAAAGGAAAATCAGCTTTAAAATACATGGCTTCACTTAGAAAAACAAGTAACACAAACCTTGCAAAACTACAAGAATCATAGCAAGTAGAATAACAAGAAATTGGAATCTCATTTTTGATCAAATGCTACAATTTTAACGAAACTTTTCAAAATCGAATGTTTTATAGCAGACTTTTATAAAAACTTTTATAAAACCGGAAACGGCTCATCAGGGGTAGAATGTTCAATGGGATTTGTCCCTCATTATATGGAGATCAACAAACAGTTTGGGTGAGTCGGTGACAGGGCTGCACTGATGAGCTGGATTATCCGGATTATCAAAATTATCTGAAAATCCCGAATAATCCGAATAATTTATCCGAATCCGAATATCCGGAAAGCTCGAATAATTTCTATTATCCGAAACGGATTATTTGGAAATTTTCGGATCTTACAGGGTGGGCCAAAATTAGCGTTACATATAAAAAAAGTCTCTGTATAAAAAGCAACTCAAAAGGTTAAAGATTTTTCTTAAAAATAACTTTACAAGTGTTGAAGTAAAACTGTGATAGTGATAGTGCCAGGTTGCTCAAGTTTAAGCGAAGTTTGCCCTAATAAGGGAAAGTTTTGATAAATTGTGCGTCGTCAAGACATCTACCATTAAACCACACCGAGACACGGCCTCACAAGAAATTATAAAGATCAAAGTATAAAAATATATATTTCTTACAATCAGCTAGAATTCACAATGTCCAGAATTCTCCGGAAATTCATTACTTGTGCAGCTCTAGTAGGTGAGTACAAAGGGTGTATTTGAATGCATAATATGACTGTGTTGTTAGAGTAGAATTCATCAAAGTATGCTGATTTGGTTGAATGTATGATTTGGTTGAATGTATTTCCAAAATGGATCGATTTCGGATTTCGGATTACGGGAAAGGTATCGGTTTGATTCAAGAATCGAACTGAAATCCATTGATTGGGTTGATTGATGGTTGATTGATCGCCAAACATGGCGTTGATTTGGGCGTTGATTGGTCTGTTTTGACGAAAAATCAACACAAAATCATTTTCTTTGACATATTCTTCATTCATTTCATTTCTCACATAAACTTTAGCTACAATCAGTTACCAGCTTTCCAAATATTCAAAAAAACGGCTGTATATCAAGTAGCAAAACTGAAAAAGCAACGTCACTTTCCAAAGAACACCTCCACTCTGTGCAGATATGAAATTAGCGTATCCTTTTCTCGCCTCGTGAGAGCTTTCCCTTCCTCATCAATAATTTTTGCATATTTTTATCTTAAATAAAGTTATTCAAATTAGACTTACCGTAAATACTGTAATAGTACCCCACCCCCCTCGTACAGCCGCGTAGCCGCAAAATTTTTTAGTATTTCATTTTTTTCAAAGCACCCGTACTTTCAAAAAATACGTCTTTGGTATCAAAAAATAGCCCTGAATTTCAGCTATTTTTTGATACCTAAGCGCGCATTGTAGCATAAACCAGTTTCGAGAAACACTCGTTCGAAGCTAGACTACCCAACACTCCGCACCGTCATTATGGTATGGGGGTGGGGTACTATTACAGTATTTACGGTAATCAAATTTTTTAAAGAATCGATTTTCAGGACGTGATGGCCCCGAACCCACCAGAAAATCAACAAGTAAGTTTGGAGTTACAAAAGGTAGAGGTGTTAGTTAGTTTTTTTAGCTTTACACAGCTTTTTAGCTACAAGCAAGCCAAGTGTTGCTAACAAAACTTTTGTATTAACTATAAACTTAATTTTCTCGACAATAAACCAAATTCAAGGTCCACTCCGTCGGGGCCACACCCGAAATGGTCGCTTACTGTTTCGATGTTCTCGTTGGGAAATTGACAAATCAACATGTCACCATTCCAGCATCCATTCCACATTCGAAATTGTGAGTGATAAATTAAGTTTTTATTTAAAAAGCAAATTTTAATGAGCACAAGTATTGTAGAAATGTTGGGAGTGGGACAAATGCGACCTTTTTTGCGCACCCGGACATTTGCGCACCTTTTTCGCGTTTTAAAAAAGCTCTAAAAAGCTAATATTAACCAATTTCTATTCCAAAAGTTGTTTTTCTAGGTAATTTTAGGGCGTAGAATCGAAATTTTGGCATATCAGAGCTTGTGGAAGCGAACGGACGGAGTTATACAAAGAGAAAAATCAACAATTTTCTGTAATTTGATCTAGTCTTCAATTTTGTCTTTCAAATTGGTTTCACACGCTCTGTTATGTCAAAATTTCGATTCTACGCCCTAAAATTACCTAGAAAAACAACTTTTGGAATAGAAATTGGTTAATATTAGCTTTTTAGAGTTTTTTAAAACGCGAAAAAGGTGCGCTAATGGGCAAGGTGCGCAAATGTCCGGGTGCGCAAAAAAAGGTCGCATTTGTCCCACTCCCGAAATATTTGATGAATATTGCTCACCAAAGTAACCAAAGTTTAGTCCACTTTTTGTCACATGGAAGAAGGGCAACGACAAGCGACTTCGCGGTTGTATAGGTAACATTTACAGAGAATTTTCGGCATTTCTTGTATCTTTTGATGGCAATCATATAAATCAATTTAATTTTCAGGAACTTTCTCCAATCTCAATCTGCAAAACGGTCTTCACGACTACGCGTTGACAAGTGCTTTTGAAGATTCGCGATTTGAGCCCATTCAAATAAATGAAGTCACTCAATTACATTGTGGGGTAAGAAAAAAACGGTACGATGCGTTTATATCCCGATAAATTAGCTTATATCTCACATGTATCAATGTGGTTTTATCCCCTCAAATTTTCATTCACTAAATTTGTTGTTTAGTGTTTGTTTTAAAGCACTTTTATATATGTAAATTCTTAAAGTGAAGCTCCATCGAACATTTATTCGTTGAAAGTGGGAGAAAAGTTGTGCAGGCTAGCTTAAGTCTTTTGTTCTAAGTTGGGGATCCCGCCTGAAATCAGTCCGCGCGCCATTTATCCCACTTACAAAAGAGAAATGCCAGATTTAATTTCACTCTAAGAATCTACATAAAATTATACATAAAAATTACACAACTTTTTGGGTTTAGTATTTTGATTCAGTATTATTTATGGTGAATTTGTGGGGAATCCGCCAAAAGGATCATTTGCGCAACTCACCATAACTTTCTTCTACATAAACGCAGAGTACCGAAAAAACTTTTAATTGGCTAATTTCCGCCAAATTCTTTGCGCAACTCGCCATAACTTTCTTCTAATTGGGCCAATCTTTATAATTTTGGTTTCATTTTGTACATCTCAATAAGTGTAACAAAATGACACCAAAATTATAAAGATTAGGCCGATGTAGAAGAAAGTTATGGCGAGTTGCGCAAATGATCCTTTTGGCGCAAAGTAGCCTATCCCTTATTTTCATCATTTCCTAAGGAAAAGGAATGAAAAGACTTTCTGGATAGCTTAATAAAAGTTTTCTAGGTTTCTTTGCTGATCAACTTCGAGGATGCTAGTGATTATTTGGACTGGGAGGTAAATTATTTATAACAAATTTCGAATAGCATTGAACAGGTCGGAAAACATGGAATTCGGATACACTTTTATGTGAATGGACGTGAGAATACGGCTGTGTTTCTGCCAGAAGTTGCCCCTGAATGTGGTTGGTTGATTTGTTTTAGATAATTGATAAATCTAGATTGATCTAAGATCTTGATCTTGATTGATTAGCAATCTACTTAAGATTAAAAAAGTAAAATGATTTGTTTCAGGTTGGGGTCACATCGAGACAGTCGACAATTTAATCAAGAAGAGTGGCTATCGAGGGAAAATTGATGAACAATTGAGGAGAAGTCTGCGAGTTGTTCGATTCCAAAGCAGCAAGAGTAATCTCAGTTATCAGGTGAGTTTTTAAAGACTGTTGCACGTTTTTAAATACCGTATTTTCTCTAATAGTAGTGCACCCTGAGCGTCGCCTAAATTGCTCGAAATCTCGAAAACCGCTTATCAGAACCTATCGATGTGGGGTCGGAAAATGTAGCTGACGATGAGATCTAGTGGGGGATTTGAGTGTTGAGCTTCTGCAAAAGCTTGGAAACTGTAAAATCGTCACCAACTCGGCTCGCCAGGGTGCACTACTATTAAAGAAAATACGGTGCTAAACTTTTTTTCTTTAGAATGTAATAATGCAAATTAATAGAAAAACTAATACTAAGCTTGTTTTTTTATTATAAACCAGCAGTTAACGAGCAAAGGAGTTAACTTCTTACCGTAAATCCTGTAATAGTACCCCACCCCCATAATGACGGTGCGGAGTGTTGGGTAGTCTAGCTTCGAACGAGTGTTTCTCGACACTGGTTGATGCTACAATGCGCGCTTAGGTATCAAAAAATAGCTGAAATTCAGGGCTATTTTTTGATACCAAAGATGCATTTTTTGAAAGTACGGGCGCTTTGAAAAAAATGAAATACTAAAAAACTTTTGCGACTACGCGACTGTACGAGGGGGATGGGGTACTATTACAGTATTTACGGTAGGATAAAAAGAGCTAATAAAAGATAAAAATACAAACACTCTTATCAAATACTAATTCCAGGACTATATCACCTATCGAAATGGACCAAAATAAAGCAGAATACTTGTAAATATCGGACTACATATTGCAGTCAACTTTGTACCCAATTTTTTTTTGATTTTATGATGAATTATTTCTCGTTGTACATATCAAGGGTATTTTCAATTACCTATATATTCTTATTTCTTCAAAGTTCTCTCCCAGTCAACAGTTAGGCAAAATTTTCTCTCTGTAAAGTGTAGTGCCTTTTTAACTCTTTGTTAATAACCAAATAATCCGTTAGTACCCAGAGTCTTCCAATTTTTGTAAACAAATAGCCATAATTTGGAAAATCGACTAAAATGTATTTGATTTTTGCGATGATTTGATTAATTTAGATATTTTGGTGTTTGAATTAGAATAAATGTGAAATGATGTGGCATATCTTGAAACTCGCGTACAATTTGATAAGATTAGAGGCTAATTTAGACATTTCAAAACATTGATGAGTAAAGGAAAGCTGTGAGAAAAAGAGAAAGGAGAAAGGAAGATGTGAGAAAAAGAGAAAGGAAGAAATTTCCTTGATCTTAACCAATCTTTGCTCTTCTTTCCATATGAGAGGTGAAATGAAAGGCTCTTTTCGATCACAGAATGTTTAGGGGACAAATTTTAGGCTCTATTTGACGCATTAACTCACTAGTAAAGCTTTATTACTGCTATCTATCTTTACTACTTATAGCTTTGATAGAAAACATCAATGTATTGAATCGGTTTTGATTTGTAATAAACATCTCCAAATAATTACAAATAAAAGTAAAGTTATAGCTAGTCAAATTGAGTCTTGTCAATTTAAGTTGTTAATTTTTTAAACTTTAAGTTTTTCTGACCTTTTTGTTTCACTAAAAAGGGAGAGAAGAATCTTGTGAGACCTAGATTTCACTAATGCAACAAGAATGCATCACCAAATCACTCATCGAAAGTTTGGAAAGAAGAAAGAAAAGAAAATCGTTCCCCAGTTTCTTCAACAATTGATCAATGCATTTATTAATTTCTTTAACTTCTCTGAAAGTTATTGTTTTCCTAATATTTCGATCTGGAGTGGAAAGCTGTTTGAGGGTTTCACAAACGACGACACCAAGTAATGATATTGGATATGATTTTAATACTTATTTGAAAACGATTGCTGAACTTTAGCAGCCTCTACCTCAGCTTCAACAACAGCTACAAGTACAACAACTAGTTTGCCCACAACATCAACATCCACTGTAAGTTTTAAGTCAATTTTGTTTTTTGTTTATCGTTTGATTCTAGACAACAAGTACAACCTCAACAACAACCTCGACAACCACCACAACAACAACCTCAACAACAACCTCAACAACAACCTCGACAACAACCACAACAACCACTACTACAACGACTACAACAACTACCGTAACCATTTTTTGTTGCTTAAAACTGAACAACTTTAGACAACAACCTCAACAACCACTACCACTACTACAACTACAACAACGGTAGATTGAGACAGTCATTTTGAGTCTTAGAGTCACGATCTTAGAAAGAGTTTAGACCACAACGACTACAAGAACAACTACTACGACCACGACAACAACAACGACAACGACCACCACGACAACAACAACAACAACAACCACAACCACAACCACAACCACAACAACCACGACAACTACGACAAAAGCTCTACCTCGTAAGAAATGAAATCTAATCCATAAATCTCTCGATATTAGCCTGCACTTGTGACTTCCCTATTGTCCCTCCCCCATTTGTCGCCCAACCAATTGGACCGACTGGACAGTGAGTCTTGAAAAGTTTTATCTTTAAATGACTGCACAGATGCACTACTCAAACTGGTTTCCTCGGTTGTCAAAACGGAAACAGTCCTCAGGATGTACTTCGTTTTATGATCTTCGATATGGTATCCTATTAACAACTGATAAATACATTTATCCACATTTTAGAATGGAAACGTTTTATTCGATTCCGGTGATTACTGTGCGGGTGATGCAATCAATCATGTTGATAACAATTGCGAGTGTAAGACTGTTGCTGCTGCAGCTGGTGATTCGAATTTTCCATTTTGCGATGTGAGTTCCAAAATTTACACTAATATATCTAAAACGAGTTACATTTTGTCAAAATTTGCAAAAATCTATGGATTTAGTTCAAAGAAGCTTCAGATTCTTGGTTTAAAATAAAGTTCTTTTCAGGGTTCATATGCTCCATATCTCTCTTGCACAAATTCGGGAACGGATCCTGTTATGTGTGCTGCATTTGGATGATTTTGTTGGATGGCAATAAATTTAATATCATCTCAAACTTATTTAAAAGCAACTAATAAAAAACAAGCAATTCTGGCTTTGGTTAAGCCAGAACCAAAGCCAGAATCCTGGCTTTGGTTAAGCTCTAGTTAAGCCAGTAAGCAAATCAAAGATGAGCTGACAGATTTATTTGTTCTCATTTTCTGACAGCAAACGGTCGATTTCTGCACTTTTTTGGGCTTTGAACTTGAATGAACTTTGCTCAATTTAGCATTTTCTTAGTTTCGGGCTTTTTATTCTTCGGCTTTCGGGCTAGTTATCTATTTTCGTCTCAAAACCTTTGATGGTTCAAACTCTGTACGTGCATTGTTAGAGGAGTGCAAATTGGCATCGGTTCTATTCATTGAACCTTCTTTTTTCACATGAAATTGAAAATATTTAGTACAAAAGAGCATAATTGATGATCCCTTCGTTTTTGCCAATTTGTTCCCCTCTGCAAAATGCACTCCGATTTCTGGCTTTGGTTCTAGTTAAGCAATTCTGGCTTTGGTTCTAGTTAAGCCAGTAAGCAAATCAAAGACGAGCTGACAGATATATCCTCATTTTCTTACAGTCAGCAAACGGTCTACAATTTTTCGATTTCTGCACTTTTTTGGGCTTTGAACTTGAATGAACTTTGCTCAATTTAGCATTTTTCCTTTTTCAGTTTCAGGCTTTTTCGTAGATTTTAGTTATCTATCTATTATTTTCGTCTCAAAACCTTTGGTCCAAACTCTGTACGTGCATTGTTAGAGAAGTGCAAATTGGCATCGGTTCTATTCATTGAACCTTCTTTTTTCACAGGAAATTTAGTACAAAAGAGCATAATTGATGATCCCTTCGTTTTTGCCAATTTTTCCCCTCTGCAAAATGCACTCCGATTTTCATTCTTTGTCCTCTCGGTCCTTTGACACTTTGAAACAAAAAATTGAGCATTTCTGCCAAAAGTTCGCTTGACATTTATTTTCAGTATCAAATATATGATTAGGTGGCTTTCAATTGATGAATTGGGCCGTCCACTTGGGACTCTTGGTCCTACTGATTGATTTGGGTACACAGGCACAGCCAAGTAAGTCAATTGTTGGGCGTAAACATGAGCACAAGGGTTTTTAAATGTTTTTTTGCTAAGTGTAAGGCTATGTTAACATTGTCTGATTGAATATTTCAACTCTTAGATTCCCCCTGTTCCCCCGCAGGATCCTCTTGTCAACGAATTGTCTACAATGCTGAAACGGACACATCAACCGGCAAATTTGGCGGTCATTTTCTGACAGCTGAAGATTGTTGTCAGTTATGCACTCATAATTATGGTCTTCTACCCTGTCTGGGATTTGCTTTTTGGACTGGATCAGCTAGAGGAGCGTGCTACATTTATCAGTATGATTACCAGGTGAATACGGAACTTTATTTTCATCTGAAGAAAATTTTCAGCTCAAAAATGTCGCCAGTAAAACTCCGAACAAAAGCAATGCAACCATCTACAAGAACTGTCAGTCATACACCACAAATTGGCCGATAATCTTGTTTGTCTTACCTAATCTTATTAATTTTATCGCTAATTTCGTTTGGCTTAAATATAGAGCTGCTATTATTGGCTCAGTTTGTAGATATCATTATTAACCAATTTATCAGCTTTAGAAACTCAACCACACCTTTTGTCACTACAACTCCACAGAGCACGACAACTCTGGGGTAACCTTGTCACTTGACTCAACAAATCGATAACAGATTTCAGTAATCCCACTACAACAACAGTCGGCAATCAAGATACAACAACGACGGTGACATTGGGAACTACAAATGGAAACATATCGTGTAAGCTAAGGTTGAACGAATGAAACCTGGAACTTGAAGCAAAGATTACAGTACAAAGAATAAATTTGATCTTGGCTCTTTACATAATCATCGTTAACAGTTTTATGATTAGCTTGTTCACAAATGTTGCTACTCATTTCAGTGTGCACAGGTCTTTCCTCCGATGTCCCAAGATATGATATTGTTGTCATCAATGCGGATATCAGTCAGGGTTACGGTCGTTTTGGGGGCTACTTTTTCTCCGCTGTCGACTGCTCCCAATTATGTACATGGGATTACGGAAATATTGGATGCTCTGGGTAATGTTTGGTTTGCTAGAAAAAGGTGTTGTGTGGGAGGAGGAAGTAGGCCTAATGTACTTGGCAGGTTTCTCAAAAAACGAAATACATTTTTCTTTTTCTCGGTGAGCTTATGAGATAATGGGATCGGAGTGCGCTAGAAAGGGTGTGCTTTTAATTTGAAGCACAGATTACAGTACAAAGAAGTACAGTACAGATTACAGTTGATCTTGGCTCTGTATGCATTTACAAACCACTTCCAGCTTTGCGTTCACTCCCAACCCGACGGGTGGTCGGGGCAATTGTACGGTTTTTCAACAAAACTGGCAAGTGCAAGCTTGTGAGAGTGTGGGCGTCCAATTGAGTAATACGACCGTCTATGCGTTTTGTGGATTGAGCGAAACCACCACGGCTATTGGGTGCGTTTGAACTCAATTGGAACTTTGAACTTTTGCATTTTTTGCTGAATGCTGGGTGCAATGAACCTACAAGGCTTCAAGGTTTCTGATTAATAAGACAGATATTATAATCGCGTAAAATGGTTACTAGTTGCTTAGATTTGAATATATAAGTGTAGACTTTCTACAATTCACTGGCTACAAACAACAACGACAATGGGTGCTTTGACAACAACTTCTACAACCACCACGATCAGCACAAGCACAAGCACAGACTCTACAACTATCACAACAACTACCTCGTAAGACTTGAAAGTTATTAAGTTACCATTTTTGATCAGCTATCATTTGAACATTTGATTAAATCAGATAAATTAGTGTTATGATCATGAAAGTCTCCATCCTGAAAGTTGTTCTATTGGGTTGGTGACTTTGAACTAAAATTTATTCAAAATAAAACCATGAATTCATTTCAAATAATTTCCATTATTATTGACGACTTCTGCCCATTTTACAGGCAATTTGCGGATTCCTCTTTCGTAGTAGGATTTTGGTTTGTGTGTGAGACAAATGTGAGGCTCAAAAATGGAGGACTGGAGATGTCCCAGCTTGAGCATTTGAGCACTTTCTTCAAAAGAAACCCATTTTGGTGCCAATAGAAAAGTTGTAGAGAATCAAAAATGAGGCTTATAGCCAAATTTCCAAAAAGGTACACTTAGTAGTTTGGCTTAAAATGCAAGTTTTGTTGCAAGTTTTGTGAGAATTCGTAAATTTGGCATTTCTTGAAAACCGGTTTTTGAATCGTTCTGAAAATTTGGATATAACCTTGATTTTTGATTCTCTACAACTTTTCCATTGACACCAAAATGGGTTTCTTTTGAAAGAAAGTCCTCAAACTGTCACATATGATAATACCCCGCAGTTTTCCAATTCACCAACCCAATAGAACTCCCCGAACCGCCACATTGCTCACGGTCATCTCGACAACGACCCAGCCACCAAACCCAATAACTACAGCTGGAAGTGAGTTTCAAGAGGTTCTATTGGATAATATTTAACAGCTAAAATCTATCAATTCAGATTGTCCAAATGGTTACCAATTGGTGGCTGGGAACTTTGATGACTCGGCGGTGCCTCAAGGGAAATTTGTTGGCTACCTCAACTATATCGATTCGTGTTTTGAGTCTTGCCGGATATCTTATGGGATACCACAATGCTTGGCAAGTTTTAGAAAATGTATAAACCCACAAATTATTCAGGGGTTCACTTTTGAGCCACAAGAGAGGGGACGATGTTTTGTCTATCCAGATCTACCATATACACCGATTGATTCATCCAAACAACTTGATCTCTACTTGATGTGTAAACAGACTGATAGTCAGGTAAAAAAGTAAAAGTTTATGGCCGATTTTGTTTGATTTAAGCCATCTACGACTACGACTACAACGGTGATAATAGGTGAGACAACTACGACTTCAACACCAACTACTCCATCCACTACAAAAACGAGCTCCACAACAACGCCAACAGCCACAACAACAACCGCATCGACTACGACAACCACCACAACGAGCTCAACTGCTACAACGAAAACCACAACCACTACGACGACAACTTTAACAACTGCAAAAACAACCACCAAAGTTACAACCACGACAGCAACACCATCTACTAGTTCTACAAAGACTAGTAGCAACACTACTAAAGCAACTACAACAACGACGATAACAACAATTGTGACAACGGGTGGAGCTACGGCAACAGAAACGTTAATTACTGCCGAAAGCACAACGTTCAAAATAGAAACGAGCTCCGCTGGAACAACTAATGCTCAAACAACTGCTTCAACTTCTGACTCGGGGAGTTCTTCAGCGACTTCTGCAGAAACTGCAACAGCAACGTCAGAAGCATCCTCGACTGTCACGCAAATTTCAACAGATACAACAATGACATATAAGGAAACCACTACAGCTGCTAATGAGGTTTCAAGTACAACACTCGGGACTACGATAGCAGCTTCAACAACAGCTGGAACAACTACCACAATAACAAGTCCATCAATCGAAGTTGAAACCACAACCGGAGCAGCAACAGAATTGACCACTTCGGTAATGAATGGAATTACCACAGAAGAGGCTGTAAAAACGGTAAATCCAACTACAGCTGGTTTGACTACGGGAAATCCGACAACTAAAGCAGCGACATTAGAAATGTCAACAACAGAGATAGCGGCTTCAACAGTTGCAGCGTCAACATCAGAAACTTCCGCAACCGAGACTGCGACAAGTGGAAACCCGACTACAACTGGGGATATGACATCTGTGGAAACAACAACAGGTGCTACCATTGAAGCTACTACAATGGAAGATCCAAGTTCTACTACTGGCATGACATCTGTGGATACAACAACAGATGCCACTTCTACTATCTCGATAACTGCCGCCACTTCTACGCTGTCAACTGCCAATCCAAGTACTACAGGTCAACCAATCACATCAACAATTGGCCTTACAACAACGATGCGAGCAACAAGTACCGTTGACACCACTACAACTGAGATGGTTGAGACAACGGTTGCTGGATTTTCTACAGAGCAAACCGATACCCAAAATACTACCCGAGCAATGGAATCAACACAAGGAAGTACAGCTGATCTGGCTAAAACTGAAATAACGACTGCTGAGGGAATAACAGGAAGATCATCGACGACAATGGTTCCGAGTTCAACTGAACAAAAAACGACAACGGATTCACTGACCAGCACTGTTGTGACCACTATTAATCCGACTGAAACTGCGACAACGGAAAGATTGACAACAGAAAGCACAACTGAAGCCTTCACAACAACAAACCCTTTGACTACAACTGCACGTTTAACATCCACGGCTGAATTTGCGAGCACAGAAGCAACCACCGTTTTCTTGACGACGACGGAGCCTGCGACTACAACGGACTCCCTAAAAACGACTACAGCTAGTGATACTACAATAACCGAACTATCCACCGCAACTGAATCTGCAACGACAACAACCGGAGTACTGACAACAATCGCTAGAACAACAGAGGGCATCACATCTACAAGTGAAACTAAAACTAGCCAATCTACTACAAGCGACTTTTCAACTACCACACAAATACCAACAACAACGGAAGGCACAACATCTACAAGTGAATCTACGACTACTAAACTTTTGACTACCACAACCGATATTCCAACTGCAACGACAGAGACTCCAATCACAAGTCTTTCCACTACAACTAATTCTCCAAGTACTACATCTGAAGTGTCAACAACAATAGAAACAACATCTACAGCTACAGAATCTTCCACTAGAACCGATCTTCCAACGACTACAACAATAGTCATCGATACAACAACGGAGCCTATAACAACTACAAGTGCTTCTACAACCATAGAACTTTCTACTACAACTGATTCTCCAACCACGACAACTGAAGTGCCAACAAGTACAACAACGGAACTCACAACCTTGACTACATCGGTTCCCGCGATAACCACGGAACAACCTACAACCACTACGGCAGAAACAACAACTGAAGCGGTCACAACAACGACAACTACAACGACTACCACAACAACTACCACGACTACGATGACAACGACAACTACAACGACTACAACTACCACAACAACAACGACTACTACGACGCCAACGACAACAAGTACAACTACTACGATGACCACGACCACAACAACCACTACAACTACCACAATAACGACAACAACCACGACTACCACAACAACTACGACAACCACGACTCCCACGACCACAACGGCAACGACAACAACGACAACCACAACAACCACTACCACAACAACAACGACTACTACGACGACAACGACGACAACGACAACAACGACAACTACTACGACGACCACGACCACCACCACAACAACTACTACAACTACCACAACAACCACAACAACTACGACAACTAAAAATCCTGCTTTGCCAGGTAATTGTTCGAATGCTAAATTACACTTAAACAAATTAGATTGTGATTGTGATTCACCCATTGATCCAGCCGGCAAGACCGTTGGACCATTCCCAGCACCTGGACCAACTGGACTGTATGTATCAATTCATTATTGTCTAACTTCCTTTAGCTGCAACCCCGTGAATCAAGGCTTGACTTGTATAGGAAACAATGAACAACAAATAGCTCGTTATAAGCGTCTAGATTCGGTAGGTGTCAACACAATATGATTATTTTACAGTTTCTATTGAAGGAAATGATTCAAAAAATAGCTTAAAGAGAAATTTTTTAAAAATCAGTTTACTTTAGAATCAAAAGGCCCTGCTAGACACGGGAGATTTCTGTAGCGGTGATTACAACAACCATTTTACAATGTGTAAATGTCAAACTCTTCGTGTCAGCAAGAAAAGTCTGAATTTTGCGTTTTGTGATGTAGGTTTTCATAGTTTTTGGGTTCAAAATGAGAATGTCTCAGTGTTGACATAGTGAATTGTTTGAGAATGGCAACTGAAACAACTGAAACATAAAATGTTTCAGGGTGTCTACTCACCATTTGCTTCATGTACTATTGGTGCAGTGGATCCGGTGAAGTGTGCGGCGTTTGGATGATTCGATATCAGTGAAATGAATAAAAGTTGTCGCAAAAGATCAACAAATCACTAACAAATCATAAACAAATCATAAACAAATGTTTAAGTTCCGAAAAAGAAACTCAATTTCATTCTCTAAAGAATTTCTCAAACATCTCAAACATCTCAACCACAATACATCTCAATCTCTATCACATGAAAGCAGCAGATTACCCTAAAGTCGCGAGTATAAGTTCTGTTTGGTTTTCGCATGCAAATTGACGGCTGTCTCCGGTGCGGTGTGTCGAGGGTTCGAACCCCGCTGCAGCATAACTTTTTTGCTTTTTAAGAACAATAATAGAAATAAATTTATTGAGGGTTATAGCAATTTTATGCTGTTATTTGTTGCTCCGGGCGTGGCTCGGCGCGTCCGCCCTGCTCCTCTCCGGTGCTCAGTCTTATGGATCCCTCCCTGGCCTCTTCATCCGGCCAAAGTCCACGTCGACGGTCGAAAGAGATGCTTTCCAGCGTCTTCTTCAACACTATCGTCTGGATGTATCCATGCACATAACAAATAGCAATGGTGATAGGCTGTCACCCTGTAGTATCCCGGGCTCCAAGAACAATAATAAAAGTTTATATAACAATAAAAATGTATAAAAACCCAACAAAAAAGAAATTCAAAGCAATTAAAGCGAATGTAAATTAAGGCAGAACTTATACTCGGATCAACTTATACTCGAGACTTTAGGGTACTTAAACAAACGGAATGCGACGTATTTGCTTTCAATCGAAAAAGGTAAGGCTATTTTTTTCTTAGCATGAAAATGAATAGTGCAAATACCGCGGGGCATTTTTTGCATTTTGCATTTTTGCATCAAAGACATACAAGAGCTCGACATGTTGTTAAGGAATGCTTGAAAGTCGTTAAGGAATGCTCGACATGTCTTTAAGAAATGCGCTGAAAGCTTTGGAATCGAAAAAGCAATGCCGAGTTTTGTCATTGTAATATTGGAGAACTTCACCTGAATCTTTTTTGAATTTGCTCCCGAAAATCCGCTTTTCAATTGATCTTATTTTTCTTAGGGATGGAGGTGATAAGGAAGATAGTTTTCGTCATTATTAGGCGACTGAAAAAACTGTGTCAATCGATGAACGGCCATTTGGTCTCGATTCACCCAAAAGATGAGGATGATTTCATTTACGGTAGGGATTAGTGTCAAATAAAGTGCAAGATTTTAGACTTGAACACTTGAAACGTCAAGAACATGTCAAGAACAAGATCTGGGCACAGTTCATCGACCCATTCATAGCCAATTCAAGGACAAAGTCAGCTGAAAGCTTTTTGAACATCCGAAAAGTCTTATCTTTGCATTCTCTTGGCAATGCACTCAACAAAAAACCAGCCAACTAAAATTTTGCTTTCGTATTATTAGTCAGAAATGGTTTTGAGAATAATCTTCATTGCTTCATTACTGAGAACTCTAATTGCTCAATGCCCTGAACAGTTTGATTATGTGGAATCGCTGGGGATTTGCCTTGGATCAGAACAAACGGGTATCTTTGAATTATATGACTTTGAAAAAGCAAAGTATTTGTTAGAAGATTTATTTCTGCACCAAAGATTATTAAAATCTTCAAACAATTATTTCAATTTAGGCAAAAGTTATACAGAAAATGAAGCAGTTTGTGGAAAGAATGGTGGCAAATTGGTCCTACTCAATGATGCTTTTAAGAACACTCTTTTAGCAGCTTATGTAAAACAGTGTAGGTTTTAAAACAGCTCAAGATACAACGAACGGATCAGCTCTCACAACAAATCGAGCAATGATCGGTCTTCATCGCAATCTTTCCTCATCAGATCCATCATGGAAATGGTCGGATGGCAGTTCGCCTGTGTATCTTCATTGGGCTTTTAGTGAGTGCTTTGATCTGAAGATTTAATGCATTAAGTGACGAATCTGAAGAATCATCTGGCATTAAGTGACGCTAGAAATACTTTAGACAACCCTGGATCCACCGACGAATGCACTTTTCTTGATGGAAATGATATGTACTGGTACAGTGGATCTTGTCAAACAACAATGCCGTATTTTTGTGAAACGGGACCTCCAGGTTAGTTGTTTTAGTTGAAAAAGTGCTTGATAAAGCCATAAACTGACTTTGAATCCATGTAAAATCTATCTAATCTATGCCAATGAGTTTCAGCTTGCAACCGTTGCTCTCTTAGTGACCCAAAACTGACACTTGATACGAATTCTGATGGAGCTCGAAACTTCACTCAAAGTAAATGACTTTAAAATAACCAGAACAAAATGGTTTCAGTTTTGCCTGGTTTTGAAGCAAATGGTTGTGGTTTCTTGTTATTGAATTGCACATCTCAAGCAATAGAGTATCAAGCGACAATATCGGTGACTTCTTTGACTCTTTCAGAAGTTGAACAGATTGACTTAAACTGTAATCATTTCAGATCCAATACGATTCAGCGGGTACTGAGGATGGAACACCGACAGCTTTAGCAACACTTGTTTGCAGGGAAGATGGGTTATCATGGACTTACGCAGCTCAAGGAGTTGTTCGGAGTATCGACACTGTTGGGTGTTTCCCGGTTGATTGTGATATGGTGCCTTGCTGAAGATTTCGATGTACATAAACGTTTTGAAAAAGTTTATTTGAGAAAGACAAAGCACCGAATACAACAGGAAATTTGATTCGCAAAGTTTTACTCGCAATGCCTACTCGTAAGGTAGAAAGGTCCTTGAATTTGAACCCAATACATTCAAGTTTGTCATCTCATGAGTTATTGTGATTGTGCTTTGAATCAAGGTGCATAGGCTAAAATGATGAGTAAGCTAAAAAGCAAAGCTTTTAAGCTAAGAAGCAAAGCTAGTAAGCTAAAAAGCAAAGCTTGTAAGCTAAAAAGCAAAGCCTTCAAATGCTGAAAGATGAACCTGACTATTAGAGCCACTATAGGCATATGAAGAAGTTTGTGTTCTCCGGAAAAGGCCAAGAAGAGCTAGTCGGTATTCCTACAAATTCTGGTATGATTGTAGGATTTTCTTTAGCTTACCCTCACAAAATAGATCACCACAACCGGCTCAAAAACGGCATAAAGACTGATAGCTATTGTTGAATATTCCAAGTCTATATCCATTCCCATCATTGGCACAAGAAACATTGCTGTGCAGGGAATGTATTCGAGAATGATTGGAACGATGAACTTAAAGGGCTCATCATTTGGAAAATCTGAATGATCGTGCAAACCTGAATGATCAAGCACTGAAAAAGTTGTCGTTGAAGACGATAGCGTCGATCGCTGACAATTTCAGTCGAGTTCAACTTCTTGTGCATTGACCAGCCACAGAAGAGGATCACTGCAAGGTTTTTGACCATGGGAAGGGGCAAATCAGTGCACAGATTGAAGCAGCAGCTACCATACTTACCACAAAACATTGCGCTCATCTGTGTCATGCAAACACCCAAACAGATCCACGGGCGCCAATTGAAGCGCCAGACTTTATTCTCATGTATCTGAAGCTAATCTTTGCTTATGTAAGCAAACTCTTTAAAAATTTTATTCAAAACATTCTATCAAAAATATATACAGAAATTTTTACAATATAAAAATCCCCAAGAACAGCCGTTTCGTTGGACCATCGACCGGAGAATTGATGAAATTTGGCTCCAATTCGATTCGAAAATTCCAGGGTTGGCCCTTAAAAAACAATTGTAAATACAACCACCAACTTTACCAAGAAATATATTAACCGCAGTGCTCCACAAGAGAAAATATAAGGAATAAAAGCCAGCTAATATAGAAACCCCTCTTTTCGTGTTGATAAATCTCAACCATTCCGTTCTGAATTTAAAGTTATGTATAAATTTTGAACAGTTGAAAAACTTGCAAATACAAGCGTATCGATAGATGAAATGATATGTGAGGAGAATGGTCGATTGAGCAAAAAGAGAACAATAGCCGAGAAGACCACCATAGCCAACTGGAAAGCCAATTGGTAAGCCAACTGGAAAGCCAATTGGAAAGCCAACTGGAAAGCCAATTAGTAAGCCAATTGGAAAGCCAACTGGAAAGCCAATTGATAAGCCAACTGGATAGCCAATTGGAAAGCCAACTGGAAAGCCAATTGGTAAGCCAACTGGATAGCCAACTGGAAAGCCAACTGGAAAGCCAATTGGAAAGCCAACTGGATAGCCAATTGGAAAGCAATCACTATTCCGATTTAAACTTACTGAACTTGTATCCACTTAGAAACGATGATGAGTAAAGGATTAGAGCAAAGTCGTGCGTGTATTCAACCTGAATTTGTTTAGCTAATTAAAGCATTAAATAGCAATTAAATAGCACTAAAACTCACCGGAATGACAAACAAATGATCGGTTGCATACAAAAGATTGAAAATCGCCAATAGAAGTAAAAGATATCTAAATTTGAGCAAAACTCGACTAAATTTTTGGGCGGATTTGACAACAGATAAGCTAGATTTACCTGTAATTGCCCAATTGCGATTTTGGATTTTGTCGAATCAAGTAAATAAGAGTTCCATTGAAAACATAGCCAATCAAAGAATTGACAAATATCACCCGGCTAGCTAGAAGCATCAATAATAAAAATTCCTACAATAGAACTTGATCGCAAACGTGATATCTCAAATGTTGTTGGTGGATGGGTTTCTTTTGGCTTTTTTTTGTTCAAATGCCCCCTTTAATTTCAAAACCCCCCTTTAATTTGCTAATTGTGGAGAAAGGCGATCTTTGTTTTCAAAAGTGAGTAATGTTTCGGAAATCGTTCTTTTAGTAGGATTTGGTTCAAAAATCAACTTTTATTCATGGAAGTGGAAAAGGTTTTGGAAACAATGGAAAAAAAAAACAAATTAACACAATGGTTGGACTTTACAGATGAAACCGGGATAGAATCTTGTGGAAGACATTATGTCAGCAATACCGGTCATCCATTGGCCATCTCCACAACCAAAATCGCAATTATCCGGCATTGATCTCATCTGGAAACAATAGATTTTGATCCTAATGACAATTAAGATAAAATTGCACATCTTAAAGTCAATACTAGCCAAATTTCTACGTCCAAAGTATGAATCAAGCCCAAAACTGACCAAAATTTCCAAAAGCCCAAAACTGACCGAGGATTTCGCCAAAACAGCGTTGTGATCACAGAAGTGATTATAATCGACAGCTGTTCCACCACTCCAGTAATCGATTTTTTCCCCTGAAATTGCAAGAATGACTTGAATGAGCCAAAAAGAAATAACTTTTTATTTAACAATCGCTAACTGCAAACCAACCATTTGAGCTCGTTCCACCGATCAGGAAGGTTCCTTCAACGATTGGAAATTCACCATCACAGGAGTCTCGATAGGTCAAATCTTAATAAAATTGTAAGTAGACTTAAATCTGACCGACTCAAAACTCAAAACGAATCAAAACTGACCAAAACCGAGGATCACAGAAGTGATTGTAATGTAAAAACATCATTGTGATCACAGAAGTGATTGTATCTGAAACAATAGGGCTTCTTTTGTAAAACCTCTGAAGAAATTTTGTTCATAAAAAATGTTTTCTATCAGCTCATTATAAAAAAAATTCAAAGCGCGTCATTGTTTGCGACAATTGGGGAATTTTCAGTCAAAATATATGAGGGTAAAAAGTTTCCTTTCATTTCTATTTGCCATTTTTTTCCAATTTCCAATTTCTTGCCAATTTTGAGCCTAAAACAATGGCAAGCAACTACAATATAGAAAATCCAGCTGGAAAGTTTGCAAAGGATTATCCATTGGCAGCTTTTATTCTTCTTCTAATCGGCTTTTTACTTCAAGCCTTGTGTTGTTATGGCTGTTATCTTGCGTGCTGCAAAAAGAGACGTTCTCCAGGTTTAGTGAGCCCGGTGAGTCGAAATCTTAAGTACAACAACCTTTCATTCCTATGATAATCCTGAGCTGTTAAAGAATCTCATTTGTTATTAGACCAGTCGAGAAACCCGTCTAACAGCGGGTTTATCTGGATGTTTTGGGAATCGACGGTTCGACCATTCGATCCGGGTTCGACCATTCGATCCGGGTTCGACCATTCGATCCGGGTTCGACCATTCGATCCGGGTTCGACCATTCGATCCGGGTTCGACCATTCGATCCGGGTTCGACCATTCGATCCGGGTTCGACCATTCGATCCGGGTTCGACCATTCGATCCGGGTTCGACCATTCGATCCGGGTTCGACCATTCGATCCGGGTTCGACCATTCGATCCGGGTTCGACCATTCGATCCGGGTTCGACCTCCCCGTGCGATTCGAACTTTTTAAAAAATCTAAAAGCACGTTGCACAACTGCATGTAATTACCTATTCAAAAATCATTGCAAACGGTCCTCTGGGGGCTGAGGAGTAGCGCTCACAGACAGACAGACGGACAGACAGACGTCTTAGTCTCTTTATATATAGTAGATAATAAGTGCAATTTCAATTAGTGGCTAGTCTGCACATTACTTTAGTTGAAAGCATTCACAAATGCTAAAGGTTTAGGTTGCAAGCACACCTCCAACAGCTGTCCATCATACACAACCAAAGCAATATCAATATCCGGCACCACAATTCGCAGAACCTCAATACGCTGAAGCTGGCCCACAATATGCTAGGCCACAATATGTCAACCCAGCCTATCAACAACCGTATTATTACACTATTCATTGAGTCGAGTAAATTGAATATCTTTACATTTGAAGGGAGTTTGCCACCAAATCAGTTAAACAGCTGAATATCTTTAAAAGAAAACGTATATAAGACGGCGTTCGTGATTTTTTCGCGCCAAGATCGTCTGAATCCAACAGATTTGAAGCTAGTTTAAAGCGTTTGTAATGCTTATGCTCACCCAGTGTAGCGATCATTGTACGGACTGTTGACCGCACATCTTCCCCTCGTTAGCTAAAGTTACCTAACTCTGACAGCCTAAAAATTGAAAAAGTATTGCCGAAATCCGTGCGCCTTCATTCTATTTCGCGCCCCAAATCATTTATTGTTTTGTAGCTTGTTAGCTGAATATCTTGTGTTAAAGCCTATATAAGGCAACTGTTGTTCATTTGATGCGTTTTACTTTTTTCTGCTTTCCTTTCATCGTGTGAAAGTTGTGTCCTAGTCCTTAGGACGAAATTGTTTCTGTTTTTATCGTCGCTTTTAATTCAATAGTCGATTTTGTGTGAAAATTGCTCAAGTGAGAGCTCAAAAATTCTGAGTCAGTCGGCTATTGAATAAAGTGTCTTAGTTCAAGTGAGATCCGATATCTCACTTGAACTAAGACACTTGAACTCACTTGAACTAAGACAAAGTCAGAGGTTCGAAGGCGATTAGATACCGCTGTAGTTCTGACCGTAAACGATACCATCTAGCGATCCGGTGGTGGTTTTACCGCCTTGCCGGGGAGCTTCCCGGAAACGAAAGACTTCCGGTTCCGGGGGTGGTATGGTTGCAAAGCTGAAACTTAAAGGAATTGACGGAATCGCACCACCAGGAGTGGATATCTCGAAACAAGAAATAACGTGTCTTGAGTGAAGAGTACCAAGCACGCAAAGAATATTTCTTTACACAAATTGTTCTTGAAGTTTTTTGGTTAGGTTATCCTCGTGAGATCCCTTCGCGAACACACTGATCAAAAGAATTAGTGGGTATTTGAGAGCGTTATTTGAACTTCGAGCAAAATGTGATACAACATCAGTCACAGTAGCTTTTTCAAAATGAACCCAGATCATGCCATTTTCGAAATCCCGTCTCTTTTCACGTGTAATAATCCTCGTGAACTCTAAACATTCAGTTTCAATAGTTCGTGCCAATGTGATTTCTGAAATAATGTGATTTGAATGAATCAAAAAGGTTATCCTCGTGAGATCCCTTCGCGAACACACTGATCAAAAGAATTAGTGGGTATTTGAGAGCGTTATTTGAACTTCGAACCGTTAGTGCTGCAATTTAAAAAGGATTATCATTTTTCTCTCAATCAAGCACGAAATCTCATGAAAAAGTAAGTCCATCTGAAACGAATAAAAGCGGTCCTTGGTGAGTTGTAAAGTACTTACTCTGAAACACAATTTTACAATGGCTCTTATTGCACTAGTGTTTGTGATTGCAAATGGTTTGAGCATGTAAAAAGTTTAACCAACAATATTTTTAGTCCTTTCGGTACTTGCTGATCCACCATTGTGTACAGGTTGCCCAACTGAAGGTAAAATTTCAAAGATTCTATAATAATCTAACTGCTTAAACTAATTGAAAGCTTAAAATTAACTTATTTGCAAAATTTGATAGACTAGAGGTCTCTACTGAATGATTTACCTAATGAACTTATTGAACTTTTTGTGATTCAGGAATTTGGGCTCCATGGGTAGACGTTGATGTCTGTACGGCAAATTGTGGATTGTCTGGTACGATATCCCAAACAAGAGTTTGCACAACGGAAGCCCTTGGATGTCCATGCAGGTTTGTAAAGAAAATATCTGAAAAGACTTGAAACAAAGAATTAGTTGTCTAATGAATTAAAAGTTAACTTTATTTTGTAAACAATTCTCCATGATCACAGAAATGAAAAACGATTTCAGTGGAAATACAGCGCGTGTTTCCATTTGTCCGGTGACGGTTTGTCCAGGCACAAAAGATGCTCAATGTACCGCTCCATATGCCAAGGTTTAATAAAACAAACGATTTTTCTTATTCAGGCTCTTATTCAGTATGTAAATTATGCGAACAAGAGAAATGAGTGTGGAAATGCCACTTCAGCCGACGATAACGCAGCTCCAACGTGTACTTTGAACCGTAAGTTCTGCACTTCTAGAGATTCTCCAAGCGAACCCAAATTCTCTTCCAGCTTGTTCGCTTTGTTTGAACACTGTTGTGAATCTTCCCATCGATACGACGGGCACTCTTGGCAATACTGCTTTTGCTAGCGGTAAGGATTAGAAGAGTCTGTACTTCTAGCAATTGTCTAGATACATTGAGCACGGATGGAAATGGATGTTCAGTAAGGACGTTGACTTGTACTTCAACAAAGACTGTTTTGGGACTTCCCCAGGCAGCAAATATCAAGGTAGGTGTTGTGTGAAGTCAATGAGGCTCTAGCTCTCCTAGCATACTGTTTTTGTTTCACTACTTGTTAACTGCTGACTCGAAACATAGGATTCCTAGCCTAGAGAGCCTAGAACCTAGAAAGCAAAAACTTGATCTTCTACAGAAGTGAAATGATTCTAGGTGAATGGAGGTATCACAGCAGCGACCGGCACTCCAACAGCCAGCCTTGTGATGACATGCAGTTCAACCGGTCTTGGATGGCAGTACAGCGGCCCGCTCGGGATTACAACAGATGTCGCTCAAATTGGATGCGATGCCTCAGTTTAATGCTTTCTAATATGGTCGTTGACCACTTTTGATACTTGTTAAACAATTGTTCCCGTATCTCACAGTTTTTGTTTTTTGATAGGTAAGGAATGATGTATGTTAGACCTAATGCTCATAAATATAAATTCAAGTTTTAATTTTGCATCAAATACAGACGGAGATATTAAAAAGTCAATAGATTTCATTTGGGCATAAAAATTAATGTTCTTTTCGTCATTCTTGCGATTCATTTGCAGAATGGAATAAACTGCTTCTAATTTGAATCAGAAAGTGACATTTTTATGGAAAAGTGAATTGTTGAAAGCGACAATGTTTTAAAACAAAATGAATCTTCGCTTCTGATCGGTCAAATTCCCAGCACAGCTGAGTCAACAATATCTGTTTTTGATCCTTTTTGAGCGAACAGAACACAACCCACACAACTCGTAGCAGTTCTTCTGGAATGACGAAAAAGCTCCAAATTTGGCGTAGCACATGTGTTTGAAAGAACACGTCTTTAATATTTGAAGAGCTGCAAGTTTGGGGTATTTAAGTCTAAGTAGATCTAAGAAAACAAAGCTTGCAAAAGTTCTATAATCTATTCAAAATGCGTGCTCTTCTCGTTCTCACCATTTGCCTTGCCGTCGTTTTGGCTCATAAGAAGGTTTGTGAAAATCACAATTCCCCATCTAACGATTATTTTACAGGCTGGTAAACACAATCATGGAAAATCAAGTGAATCAGTAAGTCTTGACTCCAAGAATTGTAAACTTTCTGAGTTTGGAATCTTCAATTTTGAGTTTGATTTCAGAAAAGCAGTGAAAGCCACTCTCATTCAAGTGAATCTCATGAAAAGACAAAGAAACCAATGAGAACGACAACAATGAGATTGATGAGTTCATCGATTGGTTCAACAAATGGGCCAATCGGTTCATCCACTTCCCAAGGTCCAATCACCGGATCAACTACTCAATCTCCATCAAGTGTCACAACTGAAACCACTACAGTATCTGCAGCCGCTGTTACTGTAACAAGTGCTCCTCTTGCTAGAGGATAAGCCAATTCCCCATCAATTCAACAAATTACATGCTGTTTGTTCATGTATAAATCTTGTAAATTCAAGGCTCTCAAACGCAAAGTTTATTCTCGTAAACGTTTATGAAAGTTCTTCTCTGACTCTCTGATTTGGCTTCTTTTTTCGGCCTGAGATCAGATTTATTAGATAATTAGCACTACTTTTGCTAATTGTCAATAGAGCAAATTTTGTTCTATTAGGCTGTCCAGAAAAACTTTTCGTTCCTTTTCGTTCTTCCGTTTAAAACCAACAAATGCACCAATTGAACTACGGTTTATTTCATTAGAAGGGCGAATTATTTTTCTGAACAATGAGTTAAATTAAATTGAATTAAATTGAACAATAAGCACTAAAAATAAACTTTTCATTTAGACCAAACCATAGGTTAATTGGTGAATTTGTTATTTTTCAACAAAAGTACGAAAAGGAACGAAAATACTTACCGTAAATACTGTAATAGTACCCCACCCCCTCGTACAGTCGCGTAGTCGCAAAAGTTTTTTAGTATTTTATTTTTTTCAAAGCGCCCGTACTTTCAAAAAATGCGTCTTTGATATGAAAAAATAGTTGGAATTCGGGGCTATTTTTTGATACCTAAGCGCACATTGTAGCATAAGCCAGTGTCGAGAAAAACTCGTTCAAAGCTAGACTACACAACACTCCGCACCGTCATTATGGGGGTGGGGTACTATTACAGTATTTACGGTATTCACCAACTTAATATTTTAAAAGGCTACCGGCTACAGTTTTTAGGAGTAATACAAACAGATTTATAAAAATATTAGCCGTGGTTTGGACGAATTGGTTATGAGATTGTGTTCAAGTACAATAATATTCATTATTTGAAAAGTCATTATAGGAGAGTTGTGAATGATAATCTTTATAGTTCCTTTATAGTTCCTATTTGGTTCCTTTAAAGTCCCTTTATAGTTCCTTTATGGTCCTTATTTGGTTCCTTTATAGTTCCTTTGTAGTTCCTTTTCGGTTCCTTTATAGTTCCTTTATAGTATCATTTGGTTATCATTTGAAGTTATTTGAAAAGAGTCTCTTTCCTTTGTTTGATTTGTGATTTGTGATGGTGACCTTTAGCTTTCCTTCTAGAACAGGTTTTTTTTTGGTTTCTTCCGCCTTTTTTTCGGAATTTCACAACTTTAGAACAAATCTTAGTTCTAGATTTTCTATGAGGCGTGGTGTAAGGCCTTTATAAACCCGTGAAAAGAGGAATGCCGCGGAATTCTCATCACTTCCATTTGTCAGCACTGTTTTTTTTGGGAAAGACTCTAGGAATGAATTTTTCGAGGAATTTTTTGTAACTTTATGAATTCTTAACTTTAATCAAACTTTTGCTATGTTTCTAAATTAAAATTGAGCTTTGTTTTGGCAAATTATCACACTTTGTTCTTCTCTTTTAACAGTTTTTAACCAATCCTCGAATTTTTAATCTAATTTTAGAGCAGAATCACTCAAAACTAAGCCCAACAAAATGTCGACCGAAACTGATGAGAAAGAACAACAGCAAAAGAGCTGCACTCCATGTGGAACTAATAATTGTTGTATTTCGAGATGTTGCGGGAAACTTCTCCGCTGGGATCTTATTCTCACTGCTCTCATCACCGCTTTCATCACTTATTTCGTCACAAAGGGATGTCCACATGCTTGAATGTAAACGTTCAATTTGTTTATAAACTGTAATTGATTTTTATTTTTGTATCTTTTACAATAAATTATCCGAACTTAAGTTATGAAAAGTGCAGCGAAACAAATCTGAAAATGAAAAGACAAAAGAAATTAAGCTGTTCAAATCAAGGTTACCGTATTTCTTCGAATAGAAGACCGGGTAAAGAGTATCATCGCGTACTCCTGCGTAGCAGCCCTTTTTAAAATTTCTTTGCTGCATAAAAGCTTTCAATCAAGTGCTATAGAGCTGAAAAATGGCTCAAAAATCTGTTAGCCCACGTGGTATTTTTGAGTCATTTTCCAGCTCTATAGCACTTCATTGAAAGCTTTTATGCAGAAAAGAAATTTTAAAAACGGCTGCTACGCAGGAGTACGCGATGATACTCTTTACCCGGTCTTCTATTCGAAGAAATACGGTATTTCTAAGCTTAAGCTCTTGAAAGATTAAGCTTTTTAAGCAAAATTTGATAAGAATAACAGTGCTTTAGATGACTGAGAAAATAACAGTAAACAACAATATAAATAACAGTAAGTGAAAGTTTAAGTCTTCAATGAAAAGCTTGCAAGACAAAATTTACAGCAGTGGGTTTTTCTATAAGAAACTTACAATTATAAATCACGTGCAGGCTAAAAAGGGATATTTGAATCACTCAATCTTGTGGGTGTAAAACCATTCAGGAAGCTTTTTTAGACTTCCTGGAACGTTCACAAAAACAAACAACAAACCCAAAAAATCTCTTGTACATAGACATTGAAATAATCGTAAAGCTCACAAATATCTTCTGGTTTTCATTCAATTTTTGACGCTGAAGTGAGCATGGAGTCAGTTTCTATTGTTGGATTAGAAAGCTGAATGGGGGTATAATGTTAACAAAAAATTTTAACTCTAGTGAGCACTGCCAAAAAATGGAAACAAGTGAGCATTTTAATTAAAGCGGATCACTATTGTTGACTGGCACTGGTCTAGAAGATCTCAACAAATCACAGACCTCAATTTAAATATGGAGTGGGAGCAAAGCAGACTTGAGGTTCAGTATGAAGTCACTTTCACTTTTAGTATTATTTGGCTGGTTCAATTTTGCCCTTACGCAAGGGAGTTGTGGAGATTGCTCGTCTGGTGGTTGGTTATTTATTCCTTTACATTACCTTTTGTCAACTCAATAACTTACTGTAGTTTTAGTGGCTTAGGTTACTGGTCAGCGTGAAGAAACCAAGATGAGTGTACTCCGGCATGAACTTGGACTCAAATATCTACTATCGGTTAACCAAACTATTCAAGAACCAGAATGGATTTCGCTTGTGGAATGTACGGACGGCAAGCACAAGTCAGAGATTGTGGCTCGGCTCAAAGGGGATGTCCTTGTGTGTAAGTGCTAATGAATTAGCTCATATTTTCACCAAGAAGCTAAGATTCATTCAATATTTTAGTGGATTCTGTAAGAGAAGCTCCATATGGAGATCCAACCGCTTGCTCTATTCCCACTCTTCCTGGAATTGTTTGTGCAACTGGATTTAGGTACCGACTACTACAACAACTACATCCACAACAACTCCGTCAACCACTACAACTTCTACGACCACTAACCCAACAACAACTACTACAACAGCTTCTATATCCAGTACGATAACAACGACTAGCACAAAAACTACTACGTCAACCACCAGAACCACCACTGCAACCTCTACTACTACCACTACTCCTACAACCACGACAACATCTCCTACCAAAGCGACCACAACGATGAAAACCACAACTACAACGGCCACTACAACAACGACACCAGCAAAAACGACAACTACTACCACGCCGACGAGAACCACGACAACAACAAATGTAAAAACAATCACCACTACCACTACTACTTCAACCACAAAGGGAACAACAACCGTTGATGATGACTGTCAAGGCAATCAAGACGTAGGATGCCCCACCACTGCCACAAAAAGCACAACTGTTAAGACAACGACAAAGAAAGTTTAGAGCGAAATCTTGCAAATTGAAACATTTTGTGGGCTAATCATGGATGATTTGCTTTCTCGTGATCTTCTTATTATTTTTGTTTCGCATTTGCTCATTGTATTTTTGTGTTTTCTTTTGCTCATAAATGGTTGTTCCTGATATTGCTTGAGTCTGACAATTTCCATTCAATTCTGAAAATATGTTCTATATTTGGATCTGATTATTCATTTTAAAAATAGCTCACACTCTGCAGTGTGGGTCAACAAGCATAGCAATGTACAGAATTGCAAAACAAGTCGGTCAATGCAGGTGGTACATCTTGAATTGGATATTATGTGTTGAATGCTTTCCAAGCAAACAAATAACGGTTGAAAATCTATTGCGCTCAACATTTGATTTTGATAACAATACTTATTTGATATATAGCAACTATTATAACATTTAAATTTCAAAATCTTCATCAGCTTTATAGCAGACATCCAGACGTTTAAGGAACGCTTCAAGTAGGTAATGTCAAGGTCTGTCCAAGCTTTCTGCAGGGTTTTCTCCAAAGAATTGATGTTTTTATGGGGCTTCTTACAAGCTGTCGTCTCAAGGACTGACTATATTGAATGACTATATAATCTCTTCAGCAATTTCGTTTTCACTGCACTGCCAGCAAAGGTTTTGTCCCTTCATACTATTAACGTTTATTCATTCAATGTAATTTGCATAATTTTCAAGTAAATATACTGAATAAAGTTTGTTTGTACGAGGAGTTTTTCCTCTCCAATCTTTCAACCAGGTGGAGACGCTTTCTCCTTAATTGATCGTGATATCTGATCAACAATTGGACTTTCCCCAAATTGATGTGCAATTTGACCAATCTGCTTGAAAACAATAGTTTTACTCAACTTGCAAGAAGTGTGTTCCTTTTAATGGAAAAGAGACGCGATATTCTGGCAACAAGCACTTAAATAGAGCGAACCACTGCCTCCACTTTCCCCATTCGTCATCCTGAAACGAAAACGGAAAATACAGGGCCAATGTTAGCAACTCAGGAGATGATTCAGGTAAAGGTAGCAGGTAAAGATATTCGGTTAACGGACTAAATTCCCTAAAACGAAGATTGGCAATACAAAACGTAATTGATTGTTTTGATTTCTAGATTTAAATTTGATGTCGAATAGATGGTCAAGCAGAAAAATCCCTTTGATTGAGATCCGAGAGCTCGGGGGCTATTGATCAAACGCGATGAAGTCCGGGAAGCTCTATTGTCACCAGTCTTGAACAAAACGGGCCTTATGGGCAGGCATCTTGTTGGAATGTTCAAAACAACAAAAATCCCTTGTTAATACAAGAAAAATGCACACAAAAAAACCTCGAACGATACGTGACTAGTAGGTTTATGAGTAATGTATTAACCAAATTAACCAGTTAACCAATGCATTAACCAATTTCAGGGTTAGATTGTGCTGATTTCAAATCAACACAAAAACATGATAAAACTGAGGTTCATATGAAAGAATGAGGCTGTAACTGATGATGAGGCTGGGTACAAGGAAAATGGTGCTGTGAGCCCAATTCTGAGGCACAAAAAGTCATTCCAGTCGTTGATAAACTAATTTCGTGAGATTTAGGATGAAGAAGAGACCAAAAAGAGCAGTCCAAAGAATCTTAATCTAAATTGAAAAAAATTAATCTAAGTTCTTGATCAAACGCTTTAATATGATCTTGAGATGAGTTCACCCGCACACACTCTGCCAACAGTACCACCTGGCTGGACTCGTTTGTGCTCTCAAAAGGATAGTCGCCTTTCTAAATGAGAATCGTGGCAGCTGTGTGCCTGTGTGCTAGTTGGGATTCTGTCCCTTCCTAGAGTGACCTGTTAGTGGGGAAACCTCTACGATGGAAAGGGAGAACGGAACGGGAGGGGACGGGAGAGACGGGACGTGTGGGGAATGCCGTCTGTCTCACCCCCTTCTTCCCTAGCTGGCACGCATCGATCGCTCCTCTTCACGTTCCTTTCCCCATTCCCGTCTATTTCCTCTTCTCCCACTTTTCCCCTTTATTCACCCTTCTGGTTAGCTTTCTCGATTTTCGATTTTATACTATCAATCACTCGTTTTTGATAGAGAATGGTAGTGATTGCCAGCATTTTCAAGCTGACTTCGAGATTTTAGATCTAGCTGAATTTGACTAGCTGAATTTGACCCATATCAGTGATAAGAGATGGTTCAGAGTCTTAACCTTTCTTTCACTTGATAATTTGGAGTCTGCTTTGATCTTAAACAAGGGAATCTCATTCTATTTTGTTTATTGTTTAACATTTTATTGTTATCTGTAAAAGCTCCAAACTAAAACATGCAGAATTGACATAATTTCTGAAAGAAACAGAGCATTCACCGTGTCATCAAGTCTTGTTGATCTCTTTCTTTTGAATCTAAAGATCCTTAGCTGTACACATTGCATAATCTGATCTCCAACTTAGTCACTGATCTACATAATCTTATCTACCCAATTCCTTGTATCATAGAGTTCACTTTTCTGCATGTTCATCACATTTTCAATCGCTCTCTCGAGATAAAATCTCTCACTTCTCTGCCCTATTGACTGATCAATCAAGTGGCATGTGAGTGAAGAAAAAAGAGAAAATGGGAACAAGCATAAACACAGCTGTTTCACAAAAAAGTTATGGATTTTTTGAAAAGTTTACCTGAAATATTCAATCTTTAGATTTTCCATGAATTCTTGCAACCATTCACTTAATATAACTGCTCTTGCAACCAGTATTAAGTAATAGAACTGCTTAGTCAATTACATTTCTTGAATTTAAATGTCAGGTTACATCTTAAATTCAATCAACTTTTATTGAAATTTACGACCATCACTCGGCTCGTTGAATACAATCGAGGCACCAATTTCCCCTTTCCCTTTCCCCCACAGGCCATTCCTATTTGGGAATTAATTCTCCCTTCAGTGCTAACCATTGTACCAATGCTATTGATTTCGATTCGATTCTAATTTTAGGCTAAATGAACTTTACTTTACGTTTCACCAAAGAATCGACTAAACTATCGAACTGTAAAAGCATAGTTTTTTGAGCTGACAATCTGCTCACAATCAGCTACGTTTTTTGATCAGTTTATAATTGGAGTAAAACCCCCAATTCCCGTAGTTCGTTGAATACAATCGAGGCACCAATTTCCCCCTTTCCCTTTTCCCCCACAGGCCATTCCTATTTGGGAATTAATTCTCCCTTCAGTGCTAACCATTGTACCAATGCTATTGTTCGAGTACGGGTTTGAAATTTTCCAACTCTAAATTCTAAAATACACCTAAGCTACCGTACTCGAGACGGAGTCCTTTCTCCCTATCTCCCATCCCTCTAAAATACATTCTTTTAAAGAATCGTTGCCCTGCCCAGCGCTTGCGCCGTGTCTTCTGCGCGTGTGTGTTCCCCTTTCTCTGTCCTGTTAAAAAATTACGTTTATTGTTAAAATTTCCCCCCTCTTATTGTTTCCACCGTTCGTTCCATGTTTCTTTTAAAAATTGTTAAAGTTTTAGAGTTTTTGCGCTTTTCTCGGTTCTTTCCACTTTGTTGGTCTTCGGATCCGTGTCTTTCATATCAGTGATAAAGTTATTAAAAACCTAAATATCTTTCCTCTATAAACGCCAGTCAATCCAACCCAACCGCTAATCGTCTTGTTATTCCTCTCGTTTTGGAAAATCATTTAGAATTGGTATATCTGGGTTAAAAGATTTAGGAGTTTGGGTAAGATTTCGACCCAGAATTTGGATGTTTGGAGCTGTAACACGTTACTTTGGCTTGCTCTTGGCCATTCTACCCTAATCAGCCTCGTAATTTTCCCTTCCAAATCGATTCGCCCAATTTGTTTTGCCAATCACCCGCACCATTACTCCAAAATTACCCCAATGAACATCTGGTCTTTGGTCTTCCGCCTCTCTTCACCGGAAAATAACTGCAATAACTACAATTTTTGTTTTCATTTGAGCTTTTAATATCTTAAATCCTTTTTTATTATTTATAGCCATTTTATGTCATATTTTTGTCAGTCAAAGCTTATTCTAACCAAATTTCTGTATTTCTCTTGCTTTTCATTTACTTTTTTTCCAAAAAGCCTTTTAAAGTGTTTGTTTGATTTAATTACAAATATGAGGCCCGTTTTTTACCGAATTATTCTAGCTGTGAGGCCGTTATTGATCGAAAGCATCTCCAAGAGATCGACAAACAATGAAACGACCTCCGGCCCGAAAAGCAGCAAAGTGAGTATTTGAAAATGTTATTGTCAAACCGAGATTAGTACTTGTGTAAAGATCTAATCAAAATCTTTGCTTAATTAATTTGAAAATCGATGGGAACCCTACCGTAGTCGGCCCCAGTGGTATTTCCATTCATTCGCGGCCGAAAAAGAGAAGAATAGACCTCTTTTTAAGCACCACCAAAAGATTGGTTTGGATTATTGACTAACTATCTAGTTCAAGTAATTTCATTCTGGTTTTAAAAGAAATTTTTCTCAATAATACATATTATTTCCTAATTTGGCATAATTCTATGCGGGAAAGCTCTTATCAGCTATGAAACAGTCGCATTTTTAGACTTGATGAACTGGCGGCTTTGGTGAGAATGGAGTTAACCCCGGAAGACAAAGATGAAGATATAAGGTGAGATTGCGTAAAAATTATTGTAAGAATAAAAGATTGAACGTAGAAAATGTTATTCTCAAAAGCTGGCTCGTTTTTTTTGCCATTAAAGCTGGTCGTTTTTGCCATTAAACCTTCATCCTTAACTTTCTAGTCATTTTCAGAGATCGTGTTCCTTACACTCCAAAAGGTTTCTCATTGTTGAATGGTCATCACAGTCCATTATCGAGCAATGGTAGCACAAGTAATGGTCATATGAATGGACACACAAATGGGCATGCAAATGGACACCATCATTCTCAAACGAATGGCAATCATATCTATGATTTCTCTTCAGATGATGGTTTGTTAGCTTTGGAATGAATTGATTTGAGCTATTTCAGACAAGCCTCTTGCCAGATTCTTAAATGGAAAACTCAATGGGAAGTTGAAGTTGAATGGAAAAGTGAATGGAAACCATTTCCAAAAGAAGGAGCCTCAACAAAAAGTGGAGATTACAGTGAAGGTAAAGAATATAATAGTTCTGGATAATTTTATTGATGTAGAGAGAACCACCAGACACCTATGAATCGGATCCAAGTGAGTGCACGGGTTATGGTCGACTTTGTGAAAAGCCGAGCACATCAAAAGTCTTCCAGCCGTTCAGCATTAAAACCAGGAAAAGAAAGGTTAGGCTTTTTACGATTTTAAAACAATTCAAATTTTTCAGGCTGAAACCCGTCAATTCGTTTGCGCCATTCAAGTGGCTTCAAAATGTATCCAACAAGGCATGGATGAGGGACGATTCACACAATTGAATAAAGATGAACACTTCTGCAAGACATGCCAATTTGAGCTCTCGTTGGGGTAGAGATGAATTTATAAATGCTAATCTTTGATTCAATTTCAGAAAGATGGAAGCCGCGTTTGTGTCCTGGAAAGAGGATTTTTCGTTTCATTCGAAGAAGAACCCGTCTGCTAAAGCCTATGTACAGGTGAGCAAGTGATTTAGTAACGATTAAGGTTGCAAAAAATTGTAAAGTAATAGAAAATGCAACTGAATTTACAGGACCGCCTTCTTCCCTTCTGGTTACGCTGTCGCGAGTGCCAGAAGTTTCGTGAGGTAAAATATTGATTAAGTCTTTGTTCAATTGTGTGAAAAAGTTAGTAAAGCAGTTTATTGTTAGTACTTGCGGTTGGATTCACTTACATTAGCCCATTTCCAGGTGCCAATCATGGAATTGGAGAGAAATCCACTTACACCAGAAGATATTCACTCATTCACTTGTGGATCGCTGACGAACAGAAGCTCTTGCAAGGATGATATTGATCAGGTGACCATTTAGCAATGACCATATGGCAAAGTCAATACTGACAATACAAAGAACTTTATAGAAAGTCGGCTCAGCTTGGCAAATGGGATGGATGGAACACTCAAACACTCCTCCATTATTGATTAATTCCCCAGCTACTCCATTCATCGATCGCCAAAATTACTATTACGACTTGGTCGGAATGAGTCCTGCACAAAGCCGATTCAAAACCGAAACAAATTTGGGTAAGTTGCAATAAAGCTAGAGCTAACAATAGTTCTTAACTCATAAATGATTTTCAAGGCATTTTCTTTCTTTCTTTCGACATTTAAAACGCACCCGCCCCCCCCCCCTTGCCATTGACAGTCAAACTTTGAGCTCAAATATCTTGGTGTCGGGCTGTTCAATTTAAATAGTTTTTATACCAATCGACAGAGAAAGACTTGGCGCATCTAATGATACCAAGAATATTTCAATTGAACAGCCCAACACCGAGATATTAAATAACCTATCAAATAGCGCGTATCAAATAACCTTTTATTTCAGAAAAGCTGGGTGATTGGGCTCGACCATTCCACATTCCTCATTCCGATCCAGTTGCTTTGACTTTCCGAGCTGGTGAAATGGACTACGATGAGAAACAGAAAGTAAAAATACCATAAAACAATCGTATCATCAATTGGTTTAGTTCCCCGCTTTCATCAAAGAGCCTTTCTACTACGTGGCCGTTCGCAACTTGATAGTCTCTTTGTGGACTCTAAACCCATTTGTAAGTTGAGAGAAGAAAAATTTCAAATACTTTTCCAGAAATACCTCACTTTTGCTGAATGCGAGAAACATTTGATCTGTCATGGATTGTCGAGAATTTGGTATTCAAGATTGTTGAGACTTGTCTACGACTTTTTGAATATTCACGGAGCGATTAATACCGGAGTGCTTCCCATACAAAGAAATCCAGAGACACGATTGAATGTGAGTTTCTAAACGGAACAAAATGAACAAGTCTAATTTCTGATGCTGTTATAGCGACCTCTCTCTGTGGTGATTATCGGTGCTGGCTTGAGTGGTCTCACCGCAGCTCGTCAACTGCGTTCTTTTGGTGTTCAAGTGACTGTGGTTGAGGCGAAGAATCGAATCGGTGGTAGAATGAATGTAAGTTCTTCTAAACAACAAAATCTATCAAATGCTAATGACAAAACATTCTAGGATGCATACAATCTTGGTTCGACGGTTGGTCGTGGCGCTCAAATCGTGACCGGAGTCGTGAACAGCCCCATAGTCCTCGTCTGTATGCAGGTAAAGGAAAATTTAGAGTTTCTGATTAAGTTTTGATTTAGAAAGGTTTCCGGCATCGAGTGCTAAAAGATGAATGTCCAACGATTGATTCAACATCCGGAAAACCGATTGATGTCAAGGTGGGAATGGCTTGTCACAAGAAGATCTCAAAAATTAACTATACATCTCGCAAATATTAGGTTGGTGAATAAGTCTTTTCGTACTTTCGTTGAAAAATAACAATTAACCTATGATTTGCTTTGAATAAAAAGAGTTTGCTCTTCAATTCCCCATCTTTTTAAGTCAATTTCGGTTCACTTTCAAGCAAATTCGAGAGTGAAAACGTGTTTTTCATAAAAATCTTTAAAAGCTTCTACGAAGAAATTGGCTGAATCAATTTCTCTGAAAATTTGAATATATACCTAGCTTTTTGTGCTTATAGATCTTTTATCTATTGACACCGAGATAGGTTTTCTTAGCTAAAGTGTCTAAACCGCATCATCGAGCTGTACTACCCGACTACAGGCTCTCAAAAAGATCCAGACATGAGTCATTTTAAACTCGTTTTAATGTTATTTTGCAGAAAAATAATTGCTCGATGATGCGGATGATGCGGTTTAGACTCACTTTGGCTAAAGAAACCTATCTTGGTGTCAATAGATAAATGATAGAGTACCGAAAGTTAGGTATATAGCCAAATTTTTAGAGAAATTCATTCAGTCAATTTCTTTGTAGAGGTTTTTATAGAGGAAAAACACGTTTTCCCCCTCGAATTTGCTTGAAAGTTAACCGAAATTGACTTAAAAAGATGGAAATGGAACAAGAAACACTTTGGGTAAACCATAAATTAATCGATGAACTTGTTATTTTTCAACGGAAGTACGAAAAGGAACAAAAAGACTTTTTCACCAACCTAATAGCAAGCCAAAAACACTATGCTAATCAAAAAAATAAATCTAAATTTCATTTTATATCTAAACTTTCAGACTGATGAGCTAGCGAGTGTTATGTACAACACCGCCTACGATGGAATCTGTCAATGGAGAAATCTCAACAAGAAGGACCACTCGCTGCTAGGTATTTTACACAAACGGTATTTACAGAAAGGTACAGAGTACACACAAAATTTGAGTCACTTATCATTGCATTATTCAAGACTCAACCAATTCTAAAGATTTCGCAATTTTCTCTCAATTTGTGCTGTTCTGATTAGTGACCTCGTGCTTGGATTTTCTGTGCCATTGGTTTTTCTTTTGCTCTCTTTTCGACTCTAATTCCTCTCCTTTCCCTACAAACTATGAACTTGTTCAAACAGCGCCCAGTTTTTTTCCCAACTTCCGTAATTTTCTCAAAATTTTAACTATTGCTTGGATTTAGAATTTTTAAGGCAGCAGAAAGTATTAACTTTCCGTAAAACAAAAGTTTTGACAGGATTTCTAGTCAACCAATAGTTTCATTGCAGCAATTAATGACGCAAAGTTTGGTTTCTAACATGGTCGATCATCGTTCAAAAGTTGCATCATTAGTGTTTCCATTTTTACGATCAAATCAGTTTCATAATTTCTCGTAGTTCGTGGCTTTATGATTTGTGACTTTGTGCTCTTATCATTCCTTGAAATGAAGAGTCTCATTTATAAATCTCAAGTCAAAGGCGCTTTCTAAATTGATTGTGAATATTGTTTTTAATTTGTTTTTCCATATTGCTTTGCTTTTTAACAATTACATTGCTATCAACTATTTTAGGAAATGACATCGGAAACGGAAGAAAAGGAGAAAAGAAACGGTGGTGGATGTATGTTCTCAAGGTTGGTTTTACAATTTTGTTATTCTATTTTTCAAAATATAGATTTAAATCACAACATGAATAATTTTGTAACAAGTCTTATTTTTCAGGTGTCACAGTTTAACTGGATGTGACCTAGCGCTGACCGCAGTGATCACAGCAATTGTCACCTACTACTTGCTGACATGTGGATGTTTCAAAGGATCGGTCGATCATCGAATAGATCCGGCTTATGATGAAACACAATTGATCACGCAGAAGGATTTGGGCAATGGTTGGACCGAATTTGGATTGGGTGAGTGCAAAAATCGAAATTAAACTTCGCAAAACACTAATAAAGAGTACAGAATTGATTTTAACTTAACCTATTCAGTGGTGGTCACGGATTTGGACACGGAAAGCAAGGATGCAAGCGGCAAGAAGTGGCACAGCAATGGTCGACGAGGCACACTCAAGTAAGCTTTTGTTACAAACCTTACAAGAAGTTTGATAAATTTCTAGAATTCAAATGTTACTTTATAATCAAAACTGAGTTTGATTTCAGATTCAACGAAAAGGAAAATAAGGCCGAAATCAAATGGGAAACCACTCATTTCCCGATTGCATCCCAATTGGCAAGTGGTGGAAGAGCGATGGAGCTGTCTGATTTGGCTGTATTCGATGGAAAGTTGGTGACTGTTGATGATCGAACAGGAATTCTCTATCATCTAAATAAAGATCAGGTAAACAGTTTTAAATAACTAAAAGATTAACCGACGACTGATAACAATAGTGATAACAATATAAATGATTCATTTCAGGTTCATCCATGGGTGTTATTAAATGATGGTCCTGGAAACACGGCAAAAACGCTGAAAGGAGAATGGCTTACCGTTAAGGTGAGTAATAAAACTATTAGGATAACAAATTACAGACTACTTTACCCATATTAACTCAAGATTTTCAATTCAGGATCAAAAACTCTACGTGGGCGGACTTGGTAAAGAGTGGACAACAACATCGGGTGAATATGTGAACGACAATCCAATGTGGGTGAAGATTGTGGACAGAAGAGGAGCCGTCGAACATGTCAATTGGAAAGATGTTTTCGTGAAAGTCAGACGAGCCGTTGGAATTGAATACCCCGGGTACATGATACACGAGGCTGTGCAATGGAGTGCCATTCACAACAAGTGGTTCTTCTTGCCGAGAAGAGCATCCAAAGAGGTGAGCTTTCTTAGCTAGCTTGGGCACAAATGGCAACTAGTAAAATTCATGTTTCATGCCGAGAAATAGAGAACCCTGCGTTCCAACTTTTTTTTTGCTCCTCACGTTCGCGCTCCAACAACGCCTTGAAATATTTTTGATCACTTAACTAAAAACAAAAAAGAGGGGATTCGACCCTTGTGAGCGAGTGAGCACAAAAAGCTTTTGAGCGCTCGCACAATCCACTGCGCTACTACTGTACTTACGATCCGCGAATAATACGACCTATAACAGCCCCGAAAAGCCGACCTAAACTTTGATGCCAGATATCTTGCAATGCAGAGCTCCATTGAAAAAACTAAAAGCTAATTCAGAATTCCCATTCAAAGCGCTATCAAATACACTGGGTGCGCATCAAAAGAGCCGCCTTGACCTGGCGCCTTTCCCTAGTATGGTGTACATATGTGTAATTTTTTCTAGAAATTTTGCTCCAATTTTTTGGTTTACTTGCTGATTTTTGCCTGTGCTGTTTCAGCGTCATATAGGTTATAAAAATAAACCGAAAAAAGATTAAAAAGACCTCCCACAAGCTGTTAAAAGCCATCATATTAGGTTGATGCAAAAGTCTTTTTCATTTTTTTCGTACTTCTTTTGAAAAATAACAAAGTCATCAATTAACCTATGGTTTGCTCTAAATGAAAAGTGTTTATTGTTCAATTTCCCATCTTTTTAAGTCAATTTGGGTTCACTTTCAAGCAAATTCGAGAGTGAAAACGGGTTTTTCATAAAAATCTATAAAAACCTCTATAAAGAAATTGGCTGAATCAATTTCTCTGAAAATCTGAAAAAATATCTAACTTTCTGTGCTCTATCTTTTATTTATTAACATCAAGATTGGTTTCCTTAGCTAAAGCGTCTAAAATGCATCATCGAGCCGTCGCCTTTTTTGACTACCCGACTTCAGGCTCTCAAAAAAATCTAGACATAAGACATTTTAAACTCGTTTTAATGTCATTTTGCAGAAAAATAATTGGCCTTTCGAATGCAATAAACCGTTGTTCAATTGGTGCATTTGTTACTTTTTAACGGAAGTACGAAAAAAATGAAAAAGACTTTTCTCAACCTAATATAATCGCGTAAATCTATCTAACACTTAAGCGGCGCACAAATCAGCAAGTAAACCAAAAAAGTGGAGTACAACTTCTAGAAAAAATTACATGTACCTTAATAGTTTTTTAGACAAAAAGGAAAAGTAATTGAGCAGGAATTTTCTCGGCATGAAGGCATAAATTTTGCTAATTGCTGACATAAATACTTACGATAAACGATAATCCGATATGATAATTAGACTACTTATCAACAAATCATTCTAGGTGTACACCGAAGAAGACGATGAGGTACGAGGAACGAATCAAATGGTGATTGCCTCTGAAGACTTCTCTCATTTTGATGTTGTGACCATTGGAAAATTGGAGGACTCAAGACGAGGCTTTTCTGCTTTCCAATTTGTGCCTGGCACCAATGACAACGTGATTCTCGCGTTGAGGGTAAAGTTTGCTATGAAGAATTTAAAGTAGCTCAATTTCTCGATAAATAATCTAACCAATAAACTTATTTAGAGTGCTGAGAAAGACGGAATTCCGGTGGCTTCTTATGCTTGTGTGTTCGATATTTCAGGGAAAATTCTTTTAGAAGATCAACCTCTTCCTGAAGCTCATAAATTTGAAGGAATTGCCTTCGCATAAACTTTTAGATCATGATTGTTTTTAGAGTTTGAAAATTATAGATATTTGGTTGTTTTTTTAAATATCCTTTCTCATTTCTTTACTGTTATGGGTCTCATTTTTCCATTTTATTTTAGAGAAAATTGTGATATGAATAAATTCAACGGTTTTTGATTTGACACTATAATTACAGACAGACAAAAATGAAATTGAATTGATGGGATTGATAAAACTTTTAGATTTAACATTCTTTTTTAGATCTGATGGAATCTCAACGGGAATTCTTGGATGAGAAAGCGCTCGTTCAGATGAATCCTTTAGAGAAAAGAATCTTCTATTGGCATATTGCGAACAGTGAATACGCTTGTGGAGCACCACTGGAAAAGGTTTGTGAAAGATTTTCATATGAATCTTATGGTTGAAGAGGCTGAGATGCTTTTAAGCATAGTGGGTTAAATTGACCGTTTCTCGGTATATTTTCAAAGTGTCCCCCTTGCCCACTCAACTGAATATCTTCTAGTTTCGTGGGAAATTTGAAACAAAAGGGGCAGCTACGAAAAATCTAAGAAAAAGGGGCGAGGCTTCATAGCTTTCATAGCTGCCCCATTTGTTTGAATTTTTCCACAAAATTAGAAGATATTCAACTTCAACAGAGCTTAGGGGGACAGTTTGAAAGTATATTTCTAGGTCTCCGCTTCTTATTGGGACCAAAACGAGGCAATCGGTCAATTCGATGGCCGACATTCACTTCTTGTTGATGGAGCCCAAAAAGTTGTCGAAGCAATTGCTGAAGATACAACAATTCTGTTGAACAAGAAGGTAAGAACAAAACTTAAAGTTAAAGTAAATCGTGAACTTTCAGGTGCATAAGGTAAAGCTGATTCATCGTGGAGTCCGTGTGAGTCTAAATGACGGCACTGAATTGGAAGCCGATAAAGTGAGTTGTGATTCTAGAGTAACAATCCTTGATAGAGTAATTGGAACATTGTTTTTACCCGTACAAATCATTTTCACGATTGTTTAATCCTTTATTTTAATCCTTTACTTTAAATGTTTTTAGGTTTTGGTAACCGTACCATTGGCAATGCTAAAGAAGGGGAACATCCAATTCGAGCCACCATTGCCAAAAAGAAAAGCTGATGCAATTAAACGGCTTGGAGCTGGTCGAATTGAGAAGGTTTGTGAGGAAAAGGTTGTTTAAAACACTAAGATTCCATTTTAGATCGCTGTTGCATTTCCACGGTGTTTTTGGAAAGATCTGAAACAGAAGAATCCACCAGTCGACTATTTTGCTCATGTTGGTCCAGTTGAGCAGCGAGGACTCTTTCACACAATCTACGACTTTACAAATAGAGTAAGTGTTGGATAATAACAGTTAGAAATCTTTGTAAATAATTAAACTAGCAAAATAATCCGAATGGACTAGATTCTAAATCAAGTTTTCAGCAAGATGGATCGCCCAAAAGTTTTGTGTTGATGTCGTACGTTTGCGGGAAATCTCTGGAAATCTTTGACAAGAAAACAGATGATCAAGTCATCAAGATGTTCATTGAAACGCTCAGAAAGCTGTTCCCCGGAAAGGTTGGTGAAACAATTTTAATCTAAAACAAACTCTATATTACTGTTCTTCTTCTTTATATTACTGTTCTTCCAGCACATCCCAAAGCCAGTTGGTCAAATGGTGTCGAGATGGGGAAAAGACGAGGATATTGGGATGTCCTACTCGTATATGGCTGTTGGATCGAAGCCTGAAGACTATGACTCAATGGCCGCTCCCGTTTCGGATAGAATCTATTTTGCTGGAGAGGTGAGGATGAGAATATGCAAATTTATACAAATTTACAGAAGCATCAAAAGAAAACCGATTTAACTTCAGAGTTAGTTTTGGAGACTTTAAAACTGTAATTGTGTATCTAGATTTTGCATCCTAGTAGACTTAAAAGGCTAAAGAGAGGTACAGGGTGGCTACTTCTCGAGCTTAGTTCCAAATCTCGAGCTCGAACGCGTGCTACTTCTCGAGCTTAGTTCCAAATCTAATGAGTAACATACGAAAATGTTGCTAAGAGTCTAGGGAATCTACATATATGCATGAATTTTTGATACAATGACTGTGAAAGATTTTATTGCAATTCTTATGCTTTTCAAAAAAGGCACTTTGCCCGCTGTGCGTTTTTTTAAAGTTTAGTGCAAAATATTTTGCTCAGAAGATCAAACTCACAAAAGTAAAAGTGCTTCAAATTTTGGTACCAATTTTTTAAAGTTAAAAACCGGGTGTATAAGATCACTTTTAGCTGGCTTTTAGACACCTGTTTATTGCTTTTTTTAAGAGATGAGAGCCACAAAGAACATTAAAATTTTTTTAAAATCGTTACTTTGAGCAAAATTCTAAATTATTACAGCACTAAAACATTTAGGGCAATATTTTGAAGCAAAATTTTAAAAGTTAGCTGAATAAATAAAAATTCTACTTGTATGAGAAGCTTAGAATTGACCTCGGACAAAGTGCCTTTTTTGAAAAGCATAAGAATTGCAATAAAATCTTTCACAGTCATTGTATCAAAAATTCATGCATATATTTAGATTCCCTAGACTCTTAGCAACATTTTCGTATGTTACTCATGAGATTTGGAACTAAGCTCGAGAAGTAGCACGCGTTCAAGCACGCGTCAATACTTTTTAGCCAATTGCTTCCTAGTGAAAAATCTAAAAAAGATTCGAGCAGGATGGGATTCGAACCCACGCGGGCAGAGCCCATTAGATCCCCGCACATTCCATAGCAGTCTAACGCCTTAACCACTCGGCCACCTGCTCGCCTGGGCGCCTCTTTTCTTTTCCCGTTAAGAGAGCTCGCCCTTTTTTTGGCTCTGATGTTTACAATTGCTGATCTGATCTGATCTAATTAATTAATTACTGAAGATTACCAAAGAAACCACTTCAATTTCAGGCAACTCACCGCTTTTTCCCTCAAACGATGCACGGCTCGTATCTCTCGGGAATCCGAGCCACCACGTGGATGTTGGATGACTATTTGGTGGATCACACCCGCTCTTTCAGCACCTTATAATCTGATTCTAATCATGTGAACTGGACTTTCAACCATTTTAGCTCACCAACTTCTTTCTCGATCCCGTTTCTGTCCATTTTTCATTGTGGATTCTTTTGCGTACTCTCTCTCAATCATATCTCATGCCATCATTTTACCAGTACTCTTTTTACTCTCCAGTGATATCCTTTTGCCAAAAACTCTCCTGAATTTTGAATTTTGTCCCGACTCATTTCTGTGATCTCCGGAATCATTTTCTTTTGTATGTAATCGTTAAATGCAATGTTTTTGTAATGTTATATTAAGAATAAATTGAAAATGAACTGCATTTTAAGAACAAACAGAGCTTGTGAGATTTATCCAACTTTAATAGCAATAGCTGATTCCATCAATTCCACGGCACTGTGCCTGCCGTCCAAGTAACATTTGATGATGACAAAATTGCTTAGCTGATGGCCCACAATCCTATGAAGTTTGCAATTAAATCCTAGCATTTTTCTTTTTCTTCACTGGATCTTTGGTGCAAACATAAAGACCATCTCGGTCAAACATATCGGAGATGATCAGACAAAAGAATGGAGCACACTCTTCACGTTCACACCGCTAGATTGATTCATTGATTGCTTCGATCGATTGATTGAATTGAATTGATTTAATCGCTAGATTGAATTAATCGACTAAAATCAAATTGTTTTTACATTCATTGAGTCAAAAAATGAAATTAAGTATTTAAGTTAAAAGTAAAGTTCTAAAAACCAATCTCAAATCAGAAAAATCTAAAATTTCACTTTAGCCGTAGTTGAATCGAAAGCCCAAAAGGTAAACATGATCCAGAATAGAAAGCGCATCATTCTAATACAATTTGTCAAAATAGCTTCAATAGATATCTATGAAAATAGTTTAATAAAAGCTAAAAATGCCTTTCGACAAAGCATGGAATTAAATAGTTTTCCTTTTGAAAGATGATCGAAATGAAGAAAAAATATTGGAAAACTTTGAAAGGATGATTATGAGCTATAGGATTCGAAAAGTTTATCCCATATTGCTAGACGAAACGACAATCCGATTTCTTGGACTCTCTTTTCGTTTTCGAAGAAACAGTACGCTGACAATGCTAAAAATAATGGTTTTTTGGATACCTTATTCATTTTGCAAATCAATAACGGTATTTTCGAATGTAAGAACTCGATAATCTAACCATACCTGGAAAGAAAAATGTACAGAAAATCCTGATCGATATGGATTAGGGATCCAAAAGCATTCCACACATTCAACCCAAAGAAGAAAAAGATAATGGTGTCAAGGAAAACAACAAGAAAACTTTCGATAATAAAGAAGGCTGAGTTGAATAACATCTGAAAAATTTGGAAAATTGTCAGATATTTTAAAAACTTAACCATAAAGAGCTACAAACTTAACCATATAGAAGTTCACCTGATACATGAGAAGAATTTCGGATCTTTTTGCTTTCCCAGAGCGTCTGCGCTAAATATTATCAATTGCGTTAAGCTGTTTTTTTTAGAAACCGCTTTCAATTTTCGGTTTGTTGCAAAATCGAGCGAGCACATAAGAAAATATGGACCATAGTAGAGAATATATCTATCATAGATTGTTGCTCGGGGAAGCCAAAGCCAGTCCTTTATCTAGATAGACTTTTGGATCAAGTCACACCGGGGAACCTTTTGAAGTTACATTTCAGGGGAGATCTGATTCCAAGGTGCAAACACACCTAGGGCAACCTGATGAAGAGGCAATTTTCAAGTGTTTTTATAAAAAAGAAACAAGAAGTCTGACCGACAGTGGATCCGAACCAGGTCGGAAGCTCTGTAGCGCCAGCACACTATAGGCTACCGATGCACTTCGATCAGCCCGCACGAATGCCTTAAGGCTAGCTTGCTGTTTGAAGTCTAGCTTAAGAAGGCTAGCTTGCTGTTTGGGAAAATTGGTCAAAATTTTGAAGGCTTATATCTCGAAAATGGCTTATGATAAGTAGGATTTGGAAGCAGTTTCGGAATGCCTAGAGATGTTTGCACCTTGGAATCAGATCGCTCCTTCAATTCCCTGGTCCAGAATTTTTTTGTTTTATATTGCATGCATAAATTACCGGTAATTCATTGATCCACCAAGAGATTGCATAAGACAAAGCTCGATAGATCCATGGAAGAAAAAGCTGAAAGAATGGCCATTTCAGTGTATACGCAAAGAGCATTCCATCAAAAGAAACAGCAAAGAAACGACTAAAATGTAAATCAAAAGGTTTATCTTCATAAAAACTACCTTAATGAGATCATGATCTGATAATATTGTGCAATATTGGCAATAAAAAACGTGTATTCAATCAGAGCATAGAACTTGTAAAGCCAATGTGGACAGCTACGATAAAAGATTGGTATGTTACGTTTAAAACTGAAAACATTACGGTATAATTGGGCGTCGAACGGAACAGAGACATCCAAAAGCTTCAAGAAGACAATAAAGCAATTTGTGAGAATGTTCGGCAGCAGCCAGTAAACTGAATGCAAATTTTAAACAAGGCTAAATCAAAGCTGACCGTATAGGTGTTGACAAATTATCGTTTAGAATCGAGAAATAAATGGCTAAAATAGTGATCGGGATGCTGATCAAGGTAATCTAAAATCTGTTGTAAACTAAAAACTAAAACTAAAAGTTTTCAAAAAGAAACCCCAGCTTGCACAAGTGTTGTAGTATTGATAATTTTCATCATTAACGAGAAAGAAATATCTGGTAGAGGTCCATTCATTTCAAGGTAAAGAGAAGAAAGCCAATTGAGAAATGTGAAGATAGCTGAGATTTGATGGTGGAAAGAGACTTGAAGACTCAAACTTCATTGGAGTTCGAACTTCATAGTCAGTGTAAGTCAATGAAACATTTCAAACAAAATGGGGTTTAACCAAAGACACCAATTTACATCCAACTAATTTCTGTATTGAACTATTAGGGTGGTGCAAAAGAAACTGTCGATTTGACGGTAAATTCAAAAAAAAAGATGGCATTTGATGGTGAAATGATCACAATGGAATATTTTCGCAAGATTTCGAGCAGATTGGCATGGATCGGCTTGTATAACGTCCCTCAGCTTGGCTTCTTTCACGACTTCTGGCCTCGAACCGTGCTCGTAATCTTCCAAAGCCTCGTCTCCCTCTCGGAATCGTTGAAACCATGTCTGACACTGCCTGAGAGACAAATTGATATCTCCGAAAGCAGCACAGAGAGAACGATGGTCAGCAGACTTTCCAATTTTGAAGTTAAACAATAATGCTGCTCGTAGCACAAACTTTTGCTCGACCATGATCTAAATAAAAATGTAAGCATTTTTAAATAAAATAAACAACAACCAAAAAATTCAAATGTCGAAATAAATAGCAAACAAATATGCGAACAAAACATAAACAAATAATGCCGTTAGCATCGCTCGTTTCTGATAAATGAGAGCTGATACCCATCGGCAGTTTCTTTTGCACCACCCTAATAGTTCAACTTTGTCGTTTGTCGAAATCAACTTTGGCTTTTCAGTTTCTAATATAAACAATGTTATTGACAAACAAGCTACCGTAAATACTGTAATAGTACCGCACCCCCATAATGACGGTGCGGAGTGTTGGGTAGTCTAGCTTTGAACGAGTTTTTCTCGACACTGGTTGATGCTACAATGCGCGCTTAGGTATCAAAAAATAGCTGAAATTCAGGGCTATTTTTTGATACCAAAGATGCATTTTTTGAAAGTACGGGCGCTTTGAAAAAAATGAAATACTAAAAAACTTTTGCGACTACGTGACTGTACGAGGGGGGCAGGGTATTATTACAGTATTTACGGTAGTTAGAATGCATCGCTAGCAGCGCATGCATGTATTACTTACCCAGCAATAGAATACAGTATCCAAAAACAGGGCAGAAATCACCATAATCCTTGTATAACTTTCTGCCAACGATTTGCCATATCTTCAACGATTCCATTGATAAAATATTCACTCTATTGCACACTGTCTTTAAAATAAACCCAAATAAAGTACAATATTTTTCTATTCAAATGTGCCAAGTAACCTTTTCGCTCGCTTTTTTTACTCTATTAGTTTGTTTATTTGGAGCCATATTCGCGTAAATTAATTTATTTTAACGATTGTTTTTTTTGTTGTTGGTTTTGGAACGATTTTAACGATTTAACGAAAAAGAGCACTGAAAAAAACAAGTTACTTAGCTTTTAAGGGTTTTAAAATACGTTTAATCTTTGAAAATCTTTGAAACATTTCTCTTTGAGTGTTTAACAAGTTTTAACAACTGCGTGAACACACATCAAACATAAAACCGAAATCGATCAACCACAAAACTTCTAGTACCTCTCTGGTTTATGAGTTCAAATATTTATTTTGCTTCCAAATGGAATCTTTGGCCTCTTCTCACATCATTTTTAGGGGTTCTATTTGTTGAGAAAACTGCTCAAACGTTGGGAACAGTAAAAACGAAAGAAAAGTTTCAATTCAGTTCCAAAAACATTTTCGAAAGTTCAGTCCGTACTTTTAGATCGTTGGAATTCATTAATTCATTAATTGGAATTCATTCATTTATCTGCAGGATGTTGCCCTCAAATCAATCGGCGCTATTTTCACTGTGCACATCTATCCTTCTATTATGGTATCGGCTCTTTCCTATTACTAGGTGTAACCTAACCGTGTAACGGGGTACTTTAAGAAAATCGGGTATACAGCAAATCACCAACCAACTTTTAGCATTTGCGTTTTTCCCTTTTTTTTAAAGCTTTTATTACTTTTTTGTTTATGTATAAATATGTTTTTTTGTACTTGAAATTACATTTACATTGAATTGCGCTAAACAAAACTATCATCAATACAATCAGAATTAACTTATTACTAGTTAATTCTGATTGTATTGTTAATTCTGATTCTTAAGGTACCCGTTCCACGGTTAAAGTACCCCATTTCTTTAAGGAATCCTAATTTTTTAAGTAATAGGAAAGAGCCATGGTATCATTAAGATAAACTAAAAAAGATTAGCTAAATTTTAAGATAAAAAACTTTAGTGTCTCTGGCGCTGGACTGGATAGTTTCATCAGCTCGGGAATTGTGCCCGATGTGATCTCATCTCCACCACAATCCGTTCTCCAAGTCACTTACAATAATGGACTCACGGTTTGCTAAAACACATTCTTGATCGAAAAATCTTGATAGGTAAACTTTGGAAACGAATTGAGCCGACAACAAATGATGAATCGGCCAAGTGTCTCTTGGAATGCTGATCCAAATTCTTTATATACCTTGATCTTTACCGGTTTGTTGCTAAAGCATTAAAATGTTCAAACAAAAGCTTTTTTCTAGACCCAGACGCTCCATCAAGAGCAAATCCCACGTCTCGAGAGTTCAAACATTGGGTAGTTGTGAATATTCCTGGAAATAATGTGACTCAAGGACAAGAAGTGGCTGGATATCGACCAGCTGGGCCTGGACAAGGATCTGGTCAGTTTCAAATTACTATAAGAATCGATTAAACCTTTCGGCTTTCTTATAAAGTTGATGAGTTGATGCAGAAAGATTTCTTGAAAGATCTCAACGAATTTCAGGTCTCCATCGCTACGTGTTTCTCATTTACAAACAAAACAGAAAAATCGATGCGGGCTTCAATGTTAGTTCACAATCATTTTCACAATTTTTATCTTTCTAGACTCCAAGCAAATCGACTGATGCCCGACCCGGGTTCAATACAAATGGCTTTGCTCAACAAAAACAACTCACTCTTGTAGCAGGGAATTATTTTATGGTAAAAATTATTCTTTATCGAATCAAACTTGAGAATTTTTAGTGTCAATATCATCAAGGCGACGAAAATCTTTTAGTTCTCTAGAAGATTCTCATTCTAAAATTCTCAAAAGTGGACTAAATGTTCGTTTGCATTATTTGAATAAAGATTAATGTTCCCTTTTGAATTCGGTTGAATGAATTCCCAGCTATAGCAAAGAGTTTGAACCGCAAGGACAAGAATCCGGTCTTGCAAGAACAAGAGTTCGGTCTTGCAAGAACAAGAGTCCAGTGTTGAAAGAAAAAGAGTCCGGTCTTGCAAGAACGAGAGTCCAATGAAAGAACTTCAAGACTTTAGGAATTCCAAGACTATAAGAAAGCAAACCAATCAAATCATATTAGTCTGAGGCAAAAGTCAACAGGAACAAGCTTCTTCACTTTGAAAAGCTAAACTTTTGATGTTTTAACTTGTTTAGTATTAAATATGTCGTAATTCGTTGAAAATGTTTTCATCAAAAAAATAAATATCAGAAAAAGCAGCACAGGGTTCTCTGGTTTGTTGGAGACATAAGCCATGTTCATACTTTAATCCAATTTTATTTAATATCCCATCCAGGTGCCACCTCAGCTTTCTCGTGTCTTTCGATAGCACTTTTTAGTAGAAATTGCCGGTGCTTGTTTGCAGTTACAAGTAACACTTCAGTAAAAGTGATTCAATCATTTGGAGTCAATTTCTTGGCTTCATCTTGCAAAGCAGCCTAAGCCGGTGCTTCCTAAGCCTGAAATTTTGATGAATTGAACTCATAGCCAACTCAGCACAGATCTAGCCTACCAGTTTTTCCATTCTCTCGACAATTTGATTGACTTCTGCTGAAGATTTGTTGTGTATTAAAGCATGAAATAAAGGAGTTACCTTCGAAGTAATATCTATTTCATTTTTCATTTATCTATTTCAGTATTTCCTTGTCTATAGATAACTTTTTGAGAGGTCAAAGACTATTTCCGTTTTGAGAAGGCGAAAAGGCCTGATTCAGATTCAGTTTCAATTTAAAACAATGATGCAGCCCTTCACTTTTCTAACTCTTTAGATAAAGTTCAGGATAAGTCTAATGTCACTAGGTTTCCAAATTCCAAAACCAGCCAAATCTGAACCAACTAAGTCACTAGCTTTTTATGAGCCGAATTTATTAACAAAACTTCTTAGCGCTTCGTTTATTTCCTCATTTCAAGCTGTTCTTTGCGCTGTTTCGGGCAATCACTTCGAAAACGATAACCACCAAAAAACCGCATCCAAGATGTGTTGAGACGCCGTACCTTTGTCTCAACAGAAAGAAATGTGTGTTCAATTATGGAGGATATATCTGTTGAGATAATTAGATTGATAAAGTCTAGCGAAACAAGTTGTAGAACTACATTATCTTATTCAATTCACAAAGTCGAAGTTCAAGGTTAACTAAAGTCTTTTCAGGGTGCAAGTTCCGCAAAGAGTTAATTGCTGAACTTTAATAATCAAGGGCACATTTCTAAAAGCACCTGCCGTTAAATGAGCTTGAGGAACAAGAATTTCCCAACTTTTTCTTGAAAGATTATTATTTGTTCTTGTCATGGATTACGAGGCGCCTATATATTATTATTCTTATCTACGAATCATGGCGTTTATTGAAACGATGGCCAACTTTTCAGCTCTCTGGTTGATCATAAAAGTGTCTCCGGAGAGTTCAGGGTCATATCGCTGGCACTCTAGATTTTCTGATATCTTTCTGATATTTCTGATATCTTGTGGCAACTCGCCATCAAAAAACAGCTGAAACAGCCTTTTTTAGTGTTTCCTAAAGCGTGGAGATAACACCAAAAGTACCGTAGGTGTCTAGAAACAAGTTGGGTCTAGAAAATGTGTCTAGAAACAAGTTGGGCTATAAAAGCCGTCAATTTCTCATGATATTATTCGCCATTTCTTGGTGTTAATTCATTCTTTTGTTTTTGTTGTCTCCGTCAGTCCCACAAGAATCCTATGTGCCTTCGATTGTGTGTGATCGTTGATCTTCGATCATTGATCGATTGGATAAAGTCATTGATCATTGATCGATTGGATAAAGTCAAAGTCAAGCACTTGATACACCGCCAAATTATCTCTCAATATATGCAAATTGATTTCCAGACTGCAGCAACTATAATGGAGTCATTCCTTCACGTTCTTCATCCAGAATTCTTCTTTCCCACTCCATCTGGTCGAATCACCGGCGTTTGTGCGTTCATTGGGGCTCAAATTGCTTTAGTATGTAAATTTCTGACTTCAAAATTGTTCCATATCAGTGTATTGGTGCCTGTTTGGTGGCCACGATGATCATCTCCACATTCCAATGTTTTTTCTATCGTTATCAACTGCTTTTACCTAATGGGAGCCCACTAAGGTATTACAACTTGATGCAATGAATGAAAACCATCTCAGATTCACCACTAAAACATTTTTTATCTTATTAGTATCACATTATCTTTTCTGTAATCTATCAATTCTAATTGTTATGACCGCTTTGCCATTAGAGTACGGGCCAACTTCAAAAGCTGTTAAACTAATTGTTGAGGTTGGTGAAGCTCTGCTAAAGCTTGCTTGTTGCTTATTGAAGTGCTAATTATAAGACGCCAATCATTAGTGTTCAGCAATTTCCAAACTACACTTTCTTGGAAGACTTAGCAGATGTTTATGCCTCATACTCAGCTCCAATCTATCCGCCAATGATCATGGTTTCGAGTTGGTTTATCGGTTTCTCCGTCTACTTTGCTTGGGTTATATATCTAGGGATTACGGTACTGTTGATGTAAATCTAATATTTCAACTTGAAATATTTAGTGGGGTTTAATCTATCTCCACTCGATCTATCTCTTACACCAAGAATTGAGTTACATGAGTAAAAGACAAAAGCGATGCATGCAAAGTATATAAAAGTCCTTTTGGTGACGGTTTGTGAAAGAAAAACGACATAAATAAAGTGTTTCCAGATTTTGATCCCTTTTATTTTCATTGGTTTCCCACTTTTTGGCTTTGGCTTTATTACGGTATTTAATCTTGAGGCGCCGATGGGTAAGTTTCAATTGATTTCGTTGATAATCTGGGGTAGGCTAGTTTCCGCAACTCTTTTTGCGCAACTCGCCATAACTCTCTTCTAAGTGGACCAATCTTTATGATTTTGGTTTCATTTTGTTACACTTATTGAGATCTACAGAGTGAAACCAAAATCATAAAGATTGGTCCACTTAGAAGAGAGTTATGGCGAGTTGCGCAAACGACCCAGATGCGCAAATAACCCTGTTGCGCAAAAAAAGTTGCGGAAACTAGCCTACCCCGATAATCTATTATAGAGTGTGTGTTCCTCACGAGTAATGCGTTTTAAAACCCACGCTTAGGAAAAGTTACCGTACTTTAGCCTTTTAGCCAAAAATTATTGCAAAAAATCTGAGCAAAAAATCACGAGCGCTGACTTATATACGTTTTCTTTTAAAGATATTCAACCGTTTAACTGATTTGGTGGCAAATTCACTTCAAACGTAAAGATATTCAATTTACTCGTCGTGTAAAGAGGACTGCTCGTAGTTACTCGGCGAAAAACGTCGATTAATCGAGTAAAACTTACTCAGATTAGAGTGTGTTCCTCTCGAGTAAGTAATTACTCGAGTAAAATTTGCATATTATAAGTTTACAGAAGTAAAGTAATCAGAAAGAATAAGCTTTCGAAACTGATCTTCAGCAATCATCAACCTTCTTTCTGCAATTTTCGGAAGTCACACCACGATCTCTTCACTGACTCTAATCTTTTACACGGCTGCCTATCGGAAATGGGTATTTGAACACATGGCAAAAATTTTCAAGCTAACTGTTCATCAAAATCCACGTGTCGTCTCACTTGTTGTCCATTCTATCCAGACTAATCGCTCTGTGCAATAAATTGATAAAAACTCATTTGCTTTACATTTGAGTCTTGCAGTTGTTTATTGAACAATCTTGGAAATTGAATAATTCAACAATTCGACAATTCAACAATATCAAACAATTTTAAGCCTTTGCCCTCAACACTCCAACTTTCAGTGATCCATTTGTGGCTCTCGTTGACTTTGTACCAATTGATTCTTTCGGTTTAATCAGTTTCTCTTTTCGTTTCCGGAAACAAACCAAACTGATTAGGCTGAAAATCTTTTTTGAATTTTTTAAACAAACAATTCCCACCTGGTCACCAAGAAAAACAGAAAATAATCTAATAAAGTCAAGACTTCAGCAAGGACCAAGTCGAGGTTGAGTCCCAAGAAAAACGTTGCCAATATCATAAACAGAAAGTAGCTGATGTATTCACCGACAATTAACAATGAACTTGATAGCATCTAAGATTTGGAGATTAAAGTTTATCACTTTGTCGAAACTGCTTAACAAAACAAACCTGGAACATTAACAATGTTTCCGCGTGAGACGAGGCGTTCGATCCTTTCATCTAAACTTTTTTACTCAAATTAATAAATTTGAAACAAGCTTTTGAGGCAAAATGGTTAGAACTGAAGAATTGCCACATCAAGAGCATTGGAAGCGGATAAATATAATAGCTCCAGATCCTTAATCGCTTACCCTTTTCATTTTGATCTTTGTCACAATATCTAGTGAACACATCAAGAACATTGGAAGCGGATAAATATAATAAAAGTAAAGAGTATTCAAATTTTGATCTAATGGATCGATGAGAGTTTGAAATTCTTTTAATGCGATTTCATAAATATATGGTAGGAAAAGCTGTAGAAATGGCCATTTTAAAGCATATCGAAAGTAGATTCCGTTAAAGGAAATCGCGAGAAAACGGCTGGAATTGGGTACTTTAATAAGCCATTAATAGCTTTAATAAGCAAATATCTGATTCGATAGCAAAATTAACTTTAAATTGTACATTTCACATCAACAATTCAGCATTACCTCATTGAAATGAGCAGCTGAAAGTTCTTCGCAACTGCACTTAGATTGTAGTTTTGTGTAAACTCGTAGATATTGTAGAAAGTAGTTGTCATATTTGTAGAACATCTTAAAAACGGATAATGATTAAAGATTGAAGCCTTTATACCCGATCTTGAAAGTTGCAATTCTAAAATTAGGGTTCACAAAAGCTGGACCATCTTGTGGAGCACAGATTTCCATGAAAAGATAAGGCAAAGCACAGATTATTTTGTTGAGATGCTCACTAGTTGCTAACAATCTAAATAGATTACAGTTTTTAAACTTTTATTGGCTACCTGATTGGAAAAGCCAATCGATCGTTTGTTATCGCATAGTAGGAAGTGAGGAAATTGATCGGAAGACTCACTAGAATAACCTAAATGGCATAGAAATCCTATTTTTTTCCGCTTAAAGCTTAGAACAAAAAGTTACAATAAGTTAAGTGCACTTATTGTTAATTATGTAGATCTAATCTGAAAGCTCAAAGATCTAATCTCAAAGATATGTATTAGGTTGTCCAGTTATGAATGCACGCCTGCTCTTGAACAACTTGAATAGCTTTTTTTCCAACTTCCTTAGCGCTTTACAAGTTTACCAGGGGGGTAGTCAAAATAGCGCCGTCAAATTTCTCACAATCCAAAAAACCAAACCGGTTCAAGTTTTATATCAAAAAATTCCTTGCGTTCTTGGCTACATGATGGGTGAAACAGTTTTTTAAAAAGGTCAATATTTCATAGATAAGGAAAGCACTCAAAATTTGTGTCGAGTGATACTCAGTTGGTTAACTGAATATCTTTAGAGACCCATTTTGAGTGCTCTTTTTATCTATGAAATATTAACTTCTTTAAAAAACTGTTTCATCCATCATGTAGCCAAGAACGCAAGGAATTTTTTGATATAAAACTTGAACCGGTTTGGTTTTTGGATTGTGAGAAATTTGAACGTTTTCTATTATGGCGCTGTTCTGACTACCCCCCGTTTATCAAACCCAATTTTCTATATGCTGTTCAGGATTTCTTATTTTATTACAACTTTTCGTGTTTTTGACGTCAAACCAATTTTTGATTTAATTTCGCTTTAAAACTGGACAACCTAATAGATAATACCAAGAATTCGGCATCCACAAGCCAATCGATCAAATTGGTTCTCAATTTTGCGTGAATATCGATTGGGTGTTGCAAAAGAATCCATTCAGCTCCGATAATCGATCGTAAGACATTTGTTAGAACTGAGAACACCTTTTCTGGGTAATATTTTGCAAACAAACCCATAAAAATTGAGCACAAAAGGCAAACCAAAACTGGAGCAGAATAGTTTTCCCAAAAACGATGCCCAAATTCCTTTAATCGAATCATCGAAGATTTCAAAATGATTTATCATGAAACAAAGTCAATCACCGAATAACAATAAACTGTTATTCTACCGGGAAAAGCTGAAAAGTCTAATTATTGGTTCGATTTTTGATCTGATGTTTATTTGGAAGTAGTACTTCTTGAAGAAATATCAAATTAACGCCGATCATTCAATTGGTGGGTTGGCTGAATGTTTGAGGTTGATTTATGACTTCCAGTCTATAATTAGAAGGCATTCACGCAAGTGTTTACCATGCCAAGAAATCACACTCAATTACATGTTTGATGTGAGATTCTTGATGTCAGAATTAGATTCAAAATGACTTATCATGAAACGAAATTGTTTATTGCCTGTGAAAAGTATGGCTATTGTTATAGCGGTTAAAGTTTGCTTTTTGGCTGTCAATTAGAAAAATGCGATGTTGTTGAATAAAGAGTATCAGAATAGACAAGAAATCAAAGGCTTTCTACATGATTGTCATTGACCAAACGATGAGTATTATACAGTACACATTTACTGTATAGTAAATGTGTACTGTATAGTACTCATTTACTTGATGCATTTCTCCACACAGCCAACCAACTCTCCGTGCATTCTTCGAGTCATCATGCAGACTTGAAAATAAACTTTTAAAGAAAATTCGTTTACAGTTTCTTATTACAATCTTCAACTAAAAAAAAATATAAGTACAAATGTAATTTCTTATTTGAAAATTTGAAACTCAAGCATTTATTCCATTTCATGGATGATTAAAAGAAAGCTAACAGTTTTGTTAAATGAATATTTTGATTTAATCAAAGCCTTCATTGTAACAATAGTTCTACTGGGTAATGGAAAGCATTAACAATCTTTTAATATCATTGTTACAGTCTTGAATGAACTTTTCAAATTCCTTTACAATGCTCATTTGTCTTTCTTCGGTAAAAGTATGGCCCTGGAGATCGATGAAGATTTCTACAACAATTTTCTCCGATATGGAGAGGATGCGATATTTTGGGTGGGTTTAAAGCCAAACTCGATAATAACTAAAGAAAATTAAAGATATTATTGTTGAGCTTGCCTGTAACAGTATTGGCTGCTTACTTTTCAGTTACCAACGATCGATTGAGCTTTTCGATTCGGTGAGTGAATGGAAAGCATGAGAATCTAAACTTTAGACTGTTTGCCTCACTCGAGAATCTAGAAATCTCAATCGATCGTTGGTAACTGAAAAGTAAGCAGCCAATGCTGTTACAGGCAAGCTCAACAATAATACCTGCAAATTTCTGTTTACTTTAAGCTATATAACCGACTTTGCTTGTATTTTCATCTTTCAGTAAGATGACTTGGCTTTTAATAACCTTAGATATGTTTTTAAAAACCCTAGCTAGATGCCCAGCAAGCATTTTGTTGAATTTCAACTCGATCTACTATTTTATTCAATTCTTTTCTTTGTAAGAAGTCGTCAAACTGTACCAAGTGCTTATTTCATTTAGGTGAGAAGAAAAAAATTCAAACTTGATTTGTAAGCCGATCCTTCGCCGTTTCTTGTAATGTAATATTTCCTTCAAGTCAATCAATGACCTCTTTTGCAATGTTTATTGCCTTGGGTGCCCTATGTTTTTGTCAATATTGAGAATTTGATCTCTAAAGACGACTCTCTGCTATTTGTTCATGATATATTTGTAACTACTTTCATAACTTTTTCATATAAGCTCTTGATTTTGTTACAAACAAGAATTTGAAAAAGATGAGTCATTTGGTTAGATTAACAGTAGTAATCGCTTCTTTTTTCAGCTCAAAAGAAGCGGCAAAGTGTCACAAGCTGAATCATTATTCATGCTACAAGTAAAAATAACCCCCAACTTGACTCAACCTTGTTTCTAGATGATCGCAAACCCTATCATCATACTATCAACAACGATTTTCTTAAATTTCCTCAGTGTCGTGATCAATTTCTGCTTTGGTTCTAATACTCAAAAATTTTTCATATACTTCCTCACCTGTATGCTGTTTTTTTCTGGGTTTGACAAATTGATATTGAAAAAAATCAGCGGAAAATTTAGAATTGTTAACGTACACTTCTCAAACGGAAAGAATGAGCTCTTGTGTTGGCTTCTAAATATTAAAATTTTTGCATTTTCTTAACCTAAATTTGTTATCAGTTTAAAAGCTCGTTTGTACGCTTTATTTAGAAAAAAAAATCAATGAGTTTTTGATAAATGCTTTGCAAAAAGAAACACATTAAACAGTTCCCAACTTATCATTAGAATGAAAGAAAATAGACCATTTTACGATCTCGTGACAGAAAAAAAAACACTTTTTAGTTGAGGGTTCAAACAAAAGTGTTTGCAGACAAATTCAGCATGCAAACCGTGGAGGAACACTATGATTATTTAGAATCAGTTTCCGGTAAGTGATTTTCTTGATTAATTAATCTTGATTTAAGCATTAATTTAACATTATATTGGGTTGGGGAGAATGAGTCGGCGCCGAAAATGAAAGAAATTTCTAAAACTTATAGCAGACTTTGTCAAATGATATGCGTTTGATATCCGTAGAAGGGTAACTAATTCTCTACAAAATAATATTTAAAAGAGAACTCAAACAGCGCCTCAACTCAACAAAGGATCATTTTTTTCACAAAATCGATAAACTGTCATCTAGAGTAAACGGTTGGAGGGATCTTCCTGAAAATTTGGTAACTTATGTAATTGAGTGTGCTCTATCTTTTTTATATAAACACCAAAGGAGGTTTATGTGGAAGAAACTGTTCAAGCAATGAGTCGGACTTTTTGTCATTTTGATTAGCTGTGTTTGGGAATCCATAAAATCCCAAAAAAGAAAAGCTTTGTGGAATCTCTCAAAAGCCATTTTGTAAAGAAATAGTGGACCATTTTGATGAAACAAAACGTGTATTTAAAGAAGGTTTTATGGGTGCAAAAAGTTTCTTTAAATTTCGGCGCCGACTCATTCTCCCCAACCCAATATTTGCAGATAATCAATACGTCTACTCGCCCAATCACTATGTGACAAGCTGTGAAATAATGGAAATCCCTAAGACTCCAATCCCAAAAGCTCCACATCAATGTGTACAAAATTTTATCTCTTAAAATTTATTGCTTAAACTTTCAGAAATTAAATCTGAATTGGTCAAAGACGCAGAGGAAACATAAAGTCGGTGAAACTGCTGAAAAACGTCAAAGGATAAAGGTTTCTTTTTAGATAATTCTCTTGGCTCTTTTAATAATGTCCGACTTGATATTAGTGTTCATTTGGGCGATGATGGATTTGGTTAATATTGGGTAAGTCAAAGAATTACGAGTTCATCTGATCATCATCAGTTCATTTCGTTCGTTTCAGCCAATTAAGAGATATGTTCAACGATGGCTTCCTTAAAAGACTCAACCTCCTTTTTTGGACTCTTTTTATTCAAATTTCATACAGTACATTTTCAATTATTGGAATTTATGGAATTCTATTAAAGAAGAAATTGGTGTTGGTTGTTTTCCTGGTATATTTGGTTTGTTTCTCAAAAAGTTTAAAGAAAAGTTTTGGAATAGTTTTGTTGATTGTTAAATGAAACAAAATTCCCTTTTCTAGGTATTGATTGAGATGTTATGGGTGATGGATGGAATATTTCATTTTATTCGGAAAGATTCCTACGATCGGACAGTCAGTTCTGTCACTTATTCTCTCTGGTGTCCAACATTATTCTCATTTTTCTTTTTTCATTATCAAAAAATGAAATATTGCGCTAAATGCTATTGAAACTTTATGCTCAACGCTTCTTAAAACGCTTAAAATGCTTCTCAACGCTCAACGCTCAACGCTCAACGCTCAACGCTCAACGCTCAACGCTCAACGCTCAACGCTCAACGCTCAACGCTCAACGCTCAACGCTCAACGCTCAACGCTCAACGCTCAACGCTCAACGCTCAACGCTCAACGCTCAACGCTCAACGCTCAACGCTCAACGCTCAACGCTCAACGCTCAACGCTCAACGCTCAACGCTCAACGCTCAACGCTCAACGCTCAACGCTCAACGCTCAACGCTCAACGCTCAACGCTCAACGCTCAACGCTCAACGCTCAACGCTTAAATTCAATCCAAAGATCACGCTCTGAATCATTAAAAAACACACCTTTTTGAGTAACTTATAAAACACATCTAGTAAAGATGTCCTGCAATTAAAAATTTATTGCCTTTTTGCAAATGTATCGGCTATTTTTCAATCCAGTGAGAGTCCAGTTCGATTTTGGTGGTTCCCAAACAAGGCCATCAGCATAAGTGCTTGCTATATCGTTGCACATCTTAAAATTCTTTAAATTCACTAAGCCATATTTCTTTCTACCGCATGTGGTCGTTCAGTCATCAGAACGGCTATATGAGTGGGAAAATAGTCATCAGCTGTTTCATCACTGTATTCCCTTGTGCCATTCTCTTTATGTAAACCAATCCAAGTCGCGTGATTTGTTGAACATCCCATTTGCCAGAATTGAAGATGAAGGAGTGATTTGAGATTTGTGAGGATTAGATCTGTACTATGATTGGGTTGAATCGAATGAGCTAGCTTGCTATTTCATAGGTTTATTGGGTTGGTGAATTGAAAACTGCCGGCTATTGTCATATGTGACAGTTTGAGGACTTTCTTCAAAAGAAACCCATTTTGGTGTCAATGGAAAGGTTGTAGAGAATCAAAAATGAAGCTTATATCCAAATTTTCAGAACGATTCAAAAACTGGTTTTCAAGAAATGCCAAATTTACGAATTTTCACAAAACTTGCAACAAAAATTGCATTTTAAGCGAAACTACTAAGTGTATCTTTTTGGAAATTTGGCTATAAGCCTAATTTTTGATTTTCTACAACTTTTCTATTGACACCAAAATGGGTTTCTTTTAAAGAAAGTGCTCAAATTGGGACATCCTCGATCTTTGAGTCTCACACTTGTCTCACACACAAACCAAAATCCTACTACGAAAGAGGAATCCGCAAATTGCCTGTAAAATGAGCAGAAGTCGTCAATAATAATGGAAATTATTTGGAATGAATTCATGCTTTTATGTTGAATAAACCTTAGTTCAAAGTCCGGCAGTTTTCAATTCACTAACCTAATAACAACGCGCCTAGATTCAGCTGGTGAAATTCGATCCTATTTTTTCACATTCAAGCATATTTCGAGGATGAGGATGATCAATTTTTAAGGAGTCAATTTTTGATGAACTAGTGGATCTAGTGAGCTTAAATGAAGTTCCTTCAACTGTCCCGCAGTTTTCAATTCACCAACCTCATATTTCAAAGTTTAAGTAGCTTTCAAGAGGTATTAAAATATTGTTTGACTGATTTGTTGACTTTAAATGCTTTACCATACCTTTAATAAACTCTCGTTCAAAATTTGAATGAATGGATACTAAATGAGAGTCCATTCTCAAACAGTTCTCTTCGGCTTCTTCCCATGAAAACATTTTCGAATTTACAATGAGTGGATCGGTGAAATTCTAAATTTAAATTCTAATTTTAAAGTTTATCTTTTTATAAGTTTAATCACTGACTTGATAATAGTAGCAAGAATTTGTCTCTTTCAACAAAATCCAGCCAGCATCGCAAGTGTCGTTTGTTGTTGAGACGAGGAAAGTTTGAGATCGAGGAGGGCTGAATTCAGTAGTTCAACAGAACTGAGTTCAAGGCAACATATAATTCTGAATGCAAAACTAACCTTTTCTTACAAACCACTCCATCAACTCGTTCATCTGGATTATACCAAGCTGTGTTCCTCAAAAAGTACCATATTCCTTTGAAGGCTTCGACTGGTCCGGGGCAACGAATGCATTTCTGAAATTGTTTTGGGTAAAACATAGATTTTTAAAGCTTTGACTGATTCACTAAGGATCAATCGATTCACTAAGCTTTAATTAAATCGACTTACAGCCGTGAAAGGTCTATCAGGATCCCAAACAAAAGCGGAGACTCGAGACGGATTATCCAAATCGTAGATAGCATTTTGATAATACGTTTCATACGACCAATCAGACCACATTCGTTTGCGTTGAATTGGCTCAATGATTGTTAGTGTTAGGAATACAATAGTTGTTTTAAATCATTTCCACAGGTTGTTTATTTGTTAACTTAAATGTTTTCTAAAGTTGGAACCGTATTGGAACCGTATTGTTTTATTTAATTTAAAACCGGATTTAATTAAAGCTTAGTGAATCGATTGACCTCCTACCGTACCCCTATTTGTCCGCCATTTCACGGCATTGTTTCTCTTTGGTAAAATTCGTTGTCGAACTTTTGTTTTTAAAAAGGAATTGTCCAATATTTCATCTATTTAAATAAATTTCGTCAACTTCTCAAATTGTATCAAAGATATCATGGAAACATACGTATACAACAGTTACCGTAAATACTGTAATAGTACCCCACCCCCATAATGACGGTGCGGAGTGTTGCGTAGTCTAGCTTTGAACGAGTTTTTCTCGACACTGGTTTAAGCTACAATGCGCGCTTAGGTATCAAAAAATAGCCCTGAATTTCAGGTATTTTTTGATACCAAAGACACATTTTTTGAAAGTAAAAAAAAATGAAAAAAATGAAATACTAAAAAACTTTTGCGACTACGTGACAGTACGAGGGGGTACTATTACAGTATTTACGGTAGGTACATTTTAACTTGACAACTTACAAAATAGGTAAGTCCCAGCCAGATCTTTGTGATTTTCGGTATTTTGAATGCCACTTCTGAATTTGAACTCTTTTTGAACAATGAAATCTCGTACTGTACACAAATTCGTCTTCCGGCTGCGATTTGATGGAGACAAGCTGTGATTGGCGAGCATTACAGAACTCCCAAGCCTCTCCTTGAGCTATTTTTTCAATGTAGAAAGCCTGAAATTCTTATTTGTTCAAATTTTTGTTTAAACTATTCACAGCATAACAATATCCTCTAGCACCATCAACCAAAAAGTATTCCCATCCTTCTCCACATCGATCATCCAACACATCTATTTCCAACTCTCTGCCATTCTAGGAAAAGAGATTCAACATTTTTAGTCATTAACATTGAAATTGATTAGTGTTAATCTGGACTACATACCTTAATCTAGACTAAATACCGTAATCCAGCTAATCTAGACTGAATACCCGATCTAGACTAAATACCGTAATCCAGCTAATCAAGACTGAATACCTTATTCAAGGCTGAATAACTTAATCTACACTAAACACCGTAATCCAGCTGATCTAGACTGAAGTAATCCAGCTGATCTAGACCAATCTGAAGACCCAATTGAAATTGACTATTCTTGAATAGTCAAAGTAAAAAAATCACCGTATTCTTGTATACAATAGTTCTCGAAACACTTGGCTTTTGATTTGCCAAATCACTGAAACTTTTTGATGAATATGAGCCAGTTTATTGTAGTTTATTGTAGAAATAAAGCCTCTTTCAGTGTTATTCTCTCAAGACTTACACAGTATAAATGATCAAAAACGCATTGTACAGAGTCGAGCCAATTGCATAGGCTGTCAAGATCAAGATAACAAGTGAAAGCTTTAGATTCCGTTTCGTTAACTTGTCGATCAACTCATCTCTAGTGTTTCTAAATTACAAGAACGAATTGAAAATGTTATAAAGGATCAATACCTTATTGGTAAAAACGGTTTTTGATAAGCTTCTTGCCAGCTATTCCAAAGATTTCGCTCCAAATAATCGTTCATCAAAGAATTTCAAGAAGTATTGATAGAGGAGAATGTTTAATCAAAAGTTTATATTATGTTTTTGAAAGATTAATGAAAACCAGCTGTGATTGCATCAATTTCGCATCAATTTGATAGACCTTTCATGTAAGGAAAGTTCTCAAGTGATCGTTTGTTATCGATCATTTTGCGGAACTCGATGGAACTATGAGATACTTGGAAATCAAGAGAATTAGTGATAGCGATTGAAAAAGAAAAGGTGCGAACATTTTTCTGTTTCTGTTCCTGGTTTCTTGTGTACTCAGCAAATCGCATAATAAACTCAATTGATAGATTGCGACTTTGTTGATATTGCTTGATCGTGTGTTTGCTCATCAAGTTTTATCATTTATTAAGGCATCAGAATAATTATTCAGACATCTAGTTGCACATTGGTGGTCCACAGGCCTTCACCTTGGGCTCCTCCTTGACTTCTTCGACGTTGGGGCATTGTGGGGGTCCGCAGGCTTTTACTTCGGGCACAACCACGACCTAAAATGAGATTGGATTGGATTGGGTTGGATTGGATTGGATTGATTGGTTGGATTGGATTGGATTGGGTTGGATTGGATTGGGTTGGATTGGATTGGATTGGATGGGATTGGCTTGGCTTGGCTTGGATTGGATTGGGTTGGATTGGATTGGTTGGATTGGATTGGATTGGATTGGATTGATTGGTTGGATTGGATTGGATTGGGTTGGATTGGATTGATTGGATTGATTGGATTGGATTGATTGGATTGATTGGTTGGATTGGATTGATTGGTTGGATTGGATTGGATTGGATTGGATTGGATTGGATTGATTGGTTGGGTTGGATTGGATTGGATTGATTGGTTGGATTGGTTGGATTGGTTGGATTGGATTGGATTGGATTGGATTGGATTGGATTGGATTGGATTGGATTGATTGGTTGGATTGGTTGGATTGGTTGGATTGGATTGGATTGGATTGGATTGGATTGGGTTGGATCGGATTAGTGATGAGCATAATTTGATAAATATACAATGAGTAGTGTCGCTTATGAAGGAGTCTAATGATTGGAAGAGATTGGAAGCTTACCTCTTCAACATTAGGGCATTGAGGGGGTCCACAGGCCTTTACTTTTGGCACTTCCACTTTCACTCCATCATCGTAGGGGCATTGGGGTGGGCCGCAAGCTTTCACTCCGGGCTTCTGAAAAAATATGAATATGTTTATAAATATGAATATGTATAATACAAGCATTTTTGTTTATCTTATTCACTCACAACATGCTCGTTCACAACATCGAATGGCATACAATAGGCCACAGCCACAACAACAACCAAGCAAAGAAGAGTTCTCATCTCTCAAATAAACATATAAAATATAAAAAATGTCAAATAAAATACAAATGAATCTCTGAAATATAAAAAATGTCAAAGAATTTGCTCTAAAAACTGGAGAACCCGTGCCTAAAAATGAAAATGGGGATAATTATGGCTTTTCTAGTAGCTGATAACAGTCAAGCCACTCAGGCGATCAAATAAAAACTGAGGTCCAAGTTCAATTTGGGTTTCTTTATTGGTGATAAGAGGTGACGTTTCCACGTGTTTTCTTTGTTTTTTGAGAAAACTTTTACTGATAAAGTTTTTTTATTTCAAAAATGATGCTAAATCCGAGGATTTATATGCGCTTTGATTCTTTTTATCAAAAAAACAGTTATTAATTGCACAATGTCTGTTTGATCTAATGTTTGATCTTCGTGACTGGTTTTGCAAATGGCATGCCTGTTTGATGCCTTTGAAAATGAAGCCTGGACTCTGTATTCTTCTAGGAAGTACTATCTAGATCATTTTGCTTGATCAATTCAGATTACTTAATGCTTAATCAAGTCGTGTTTTCTGTCTGTCTGTTGCCTGTTTTCTTTCAAAACAGTTGATCCAGATGGTCAGATTGCTTTATTCATTTTAAAGAAAACCAAAAGTCAACTGAAAACAAGCACAAAGATCAAGTAAAGATTTTATCAAAGAATCAGCTTAAGCCATTGGATTCGCTTTCATTAATTTGATGTCACTTTCCATCATTTCTGCCACAAGCTCCTGAAGTAGTAGTCTTAAAAGATAGCTAGCCAAGGATTTGCCTTAAGCGTGGTTTTTGGTTCCCATCCAAGTTTGAGACGAGCCTTTGTAGGATCACCCAACAGTTGTTCGACTTCTGTCGGACGATAGTACTTCGGATTAACCTATAAAGTGCCACTTTATTTGAATCAAACAATTTATAAACTTGAAAGTGATGTTTTCCAACAAACCTTGACTCGAATGATTCCTGTGTCTTTCTCTCGACCAACCTCGTTAACCCCTTCACCGTTCCAGCTGGAATTTGATGTGAGATTCGATTTAACTTCAACCTAGTACACTAGTAAGAGTTAGTAAAACGCCTACAACCTACACAATCTCTTTATCGATTTCTTTGAAAGCCATTTCCACAAAAGTGCGCACTTTTGTGTACTGACCAGTCGCAAGGACAAAGTCTTCTGGGACATCATGTTGAAGGATTCTCCACATTCCCTGAAATCCATGTTTTCTTATTGAAAATGGTCTTTATCTTTTACCTCAACATACTCCTTTGCATGTCCCCAATCTCTAAGTGCATCCAGATTTCCTAACTCCACAATATCTTGTTGACCAAGCGAGATTTTCGCCACTCCACGGGTGATTTTCCGAGTGACAAAGGTTTCTCCTGCAATGAGTTAGTGAAGTAAAGGTATTGAATTGTTTGTATGAATGTATTGCCTATGTAATTTGAATACTTTAGAATGTATTTTATAAGAAATAGAAAGATTTAGCATAAGAAATAGAAAGATTTTGCAACCTCTTCTTGGAGATTCATGATTGAAGAGAATTCCATTACAAGCAAACATATTATAGGCTTCACGGTAGTTGACAACGATCCAATAAGCATAAAGCTTGGCAACAGCTTGGTTTTGGGATACATTGCTATTGGATATGATTCACCTACCATATGGTGATCGTGGATAAAATGGAGTTGTCTCTTTTTGTGGCACCTCTTGAACTTTGCCGTAGAGCTCAGAAGTTGAGGCTTGGTAGAAACGGACCTTGCAAATGTTATCTTATCCTTGACCTTGCAAATGTTATGACCTTATCTACTAGCATAAGAAATAGAAGGAATCTGCAACTTCTTCTCTAGCTTCTCGAGCTCTTTACCTTTTCAGTAAGGCCACATGCAAGAATTGCATCCAAAAGGATCAGTGTCCCAACTCCATCAACTTCCGCTGTATATTCAGGTAGATCAAATGATACCTGGAAAAGTTTAAGTATCAGTTTTTCTTAAGCTTTCTCACTTTGACATGAGATTGAGCAGCTAAATGATAGATTTCAGTCGGTTGAATGGTTGAGACCAATTTGATGAGACACGAGGAATCCGTCATATCACCATAGTGGAGGTAAAACTTTGCGCCGGCTAAATGAATGTCAAGGAATTTTTGAAGCCTTGAGAAAGGCTTCAAGCTTGAAAACTTTGAATGTTGAAAATATCATAAAGCTGACATCCCAGCCTCGTTTCAAAACGGTTAGATCTGTTGACTTGATCGAGATCCCCGAGATCTTGTTCTCCAAGATCGACTGCTGTAGGATCAACCCTAGTACCAGCCATAAAGCTGGCACTTACCTTGTCAGCTTTATGGCTGGTGGCTAGGTTGCCTATAGCTAATCTCTCCACTAAACCAAATACTCCAAAGTTACCATAGTGTGAGACGGGGTTGGAATAGAGATGCTCGATTCGAGAAGTGTTGAATGAGGAAGAACGACGAATGATTCCATGAACTGCGTATCCCTTTGACAATAACAATTCAGCAAGATAAGATCCATCCTGAATCCTTGAGTTAAGTAAAGATTATTTTGCTTTGATGCCAATATACATTAAGGCACTTTAAATGCATCTCTTACCTGTCCAGAAATCCCGGTGATAAGTGCAACTTTGCGAGCTCGAAACGCTGCAAGCTCTTCCTTTGTCGCACCCACTTTATGCACTTTGTTTGAAATCGCTGCCTCTAATCCCTAAATAGTAAACTAGGAGAAATTAGATACTTTGGTTCGTCCTTGATCATACTTTGGTCGTCCTTGATTTCTTGGTTTGTTAAAATTTTGTTAAAATCCTTGAATCAATCAAGTAAGCGGCACAAACACTTGTGTAAACTGCAAAACCAACAATTCTACCACCAGCAAAATTAACCCAAACCTTTCCAAAGACTCTTTATATTTATCATTCAATCTAAAATGCCGTTTATTTTCGAATATTGGTCAAGCTTGCCTAAAGAGCTGAAACTATTGATTTTGGGGCACAATCAAGCTGAAGAACTGAAAGAATTATTAAAGGTGAATAGTCCCTTCGCGAATTGACAATTCAAAGTGGTTTGCTTTCGAAACAAATCCATGAGATGAATCTATCTGCGCTTTATACTGGTGAAAGTGAAGAGGAAAAAGAATAGGGATTCGAATTGTTCGTACAAGGCAAAAACGATTCTGGAACAGAGAGTTTAATCTTCATTCTACATGATTTTCTTGAATCGCAGAAGGCTGTCTGGCAAGCTGTGAACCGGATCACTTTCTGTGAAAAAGTGCATATTGATTCTGGGATCCATCCATCATTTCTTTTCATGTTAGAACGATTCAGCAAAGCCAAGATCTTTTTCGGATTCAAGCACATTCGCTTTTTAAAAGTCAGTGGAGGAATTGAAATAGCTGAGGTGATCGACTTGAAGAGAGACTCAGAGGAGAGAGTTGATCTTGTTTTGAATCCATTCAACGATAACGATCAGCATTCAACGATCAACTTGAGGATCTTGCTTACCAACTTCTGCAAGCCCCTTCTCTATGTAATTGTTTTCATTTGACTCTTGTCATTCCTGGCGTTGACATTTGGAAAATTGCCACTCAATCAAACGCTTGTTGCATTCAAACCGATTTGGAAACTTTCGAACTGGTGAAAGACTTTATAACAACGCTCCTAGATTCAACTGGTGAAATTCGATCGCATTTTTTCGCATTCAAGCATATTTAGAGGATCGGGATGATCAATTTTTAAGGAGTCAATTTTTGATGAACTAGTGGATCTAGTGAGTTTAAATGAAGTTTCCTTCAACTATCGTTAAAGGAAATATTACTGATATGTAGCTATCAACGTCAAGAAGATCTTACTGACTTTCTTAGAGAACGACTGAACAAATTAGAAATAAGAAATCCCGAATTTCAGCAAGCAAATAGAGGGCTGTGGCAAGAAATTGATGGCTTTTTTTCTACATCCAGCTCTTCCGCAAATCGCTGCCGATCCTTACAAATTGATGAGAGGACAAAGCTCTGGTTGGTACATCGTTGAAACGTTCAAAACTTTACAATTCTCACATTCCTAGCAATACTCACAAGAAGAAATGGAGCCAAGTGAGCGATTTGAGAAATTGTTCATTCAAATAAATGGTGATAAGAGGAGAACAATATCTTTGCTAGTTGAAAGGCAAGGAACTTCAGGCATTCTCTTTTGTTTTCATGCTATTATTCAATGATTGATTCAATAGAAAATGTGCAATGAAGAGAAAGATTTTGGCTGTCTGGCAGTCTTATATTTTTCTTAAATTTTTCAATCTACAACAGCTAAAATAAATTTAGACCAATTAATCGGATTTTCATCGATCGGAAAATCTAATCTTAGTTCTAATCTTAAATTTTCCTAGTTCTTTTCTATTTTACTCGTCAGCACTTTTCATTTTCCCCTGATTACCAATCTGTAAAATCTGCTATTTCTAAAACTATGAATCAATACCAATAAAGCTTGAAATTTCAGGTCAAAATAGCTTAAAAAGGCTTAAAAAGGCACGAAAAAGGCTAAAAAAACAACTAGAACAGAGTTTCTATACATTCATTCGTTTAAAAAAACAATACCTCTGCACCTTTCGATTCACTCATCTCGCCAAACTCAAACTAAAACGTTTGTGTTAAAATTTGATGCAAAATTGCTATGAAATATAGAAAATCCTGTAATTCAATTTGCCACTTGCCTAAATGAGCTTCTGAAAACGAATCGTTGTTCGCTTGTTTGATCAACTGTCAGAAAACAACTCTTGCTTTCTGCTGTCTTGTTGGCTTCCAACATTGTCTTGTTGGCTTCAATTGCATTCATTTGTCTTGAATTATTGGAAAATGAAATGAAGCAGCACGAGAATTTCTATAGGAAAATATAGATAACTCGGTTTTATTTCGGTTTTATTCAATCGAAAACCATGAACTATTGCTTAAACCAGTAGTAACCTTAAGTAAATTGTTGTAGAAAATTTTCAAAATCACTCCTAGAGTTTATTTATTTGGTTTTGGTGCTGAAATTGGATTGTAAATTTGTAAATCAGCATATTTTATCAACTTGGGACAGTGCAATACAATTGGAATCACAAAAGAACTCAATAAGTTCACAATGTGAACCTCATACCAAGAAAAAGTTGAATATTATTGGGTTGGTGAATTGAAAACTGCCGGACTTTGAACTAAAATTTATTCAACATAAAACCATGAATTGATTCCAAATAATTTCCATTATTATTGACGACTTCTGCCCATTTTACAGGCATTTTGCGGATTCCTCTTTTGTAGTAGCATTTTGGTTTGGGTGTGGACAAGTGTGAGACTCAATGGAGGGCTCAAATGGAGGACTGAAGATGTCCCAGTTTGAGCACTTTCTTCAAAAGAAACCCATTTTGGTGTGAATAGAAAAGTTGTAGAGAATCAAAAATTAGGCTTATATCCGAATTTCCAAAAAGATACACTTAGTAGTTTCGCTTAAAATGCAAGTTTTGTGAAAATTCGTAAATTTGGCATTTCTTGAAAACCAGTTTTTGAATCGTTCTGGAAATTTGGATATAAGCTTGATTTTTGATTCTCTACAACTTTTCCATTGACACCAAAATCGGTTTCTTTTGCAAAGAAAGTCCTCAAACTGTGACATATGGCAATGGCCCGCAGTTTTCAATTCACCAATCCAATAGAAAATTTTCGAAATCAGTCCTAGAGTTTATTTATTTGGTTTTGGTGCTGAAATTGGATTGTAAATTTGTAAATCAGCAAATTTTGTCAACTTGGGACACTGCAATACAATTGGAATCACAAAAGAACTCAATAAGCTCACAATGTGAACCTCATGCCAAGAAAAAGTTGAATATTTACATTCAATCTATTCACTTTTTACTTTCATTTTTCGAGGCTAGTTCTTTTGAATAGATCTTTTGAATAAATTCGCATCAAAAATCTAAACACTATAAGCTCTGACATAGATTGTTTGAATGTTGAATGTTGAATGTGAAAAAAACAGTGACCAAAACGATTCAATAATCCGATTGAACTGACGAACACGTTCAATATAAGACTGAAAATGGAACAAAGGAAAGCAGTTAATCCTCATGATTTTCTACACTCTGCCAATATTTCTAGGTTAGCACGTTTGTGTTTTGTTTAAGTAATCAAATATTTAGGCTTTTTAACAATTTCAGCCGCAGATTGTCCGGCTTGTCCAAGTGGAGGTAAGAAAAAGAAATTTATAGGCTTAGTCAAACCAATTTTTCTTAGTATTTCTTTCAAAGAAACCCAAACTATTCAAAAAAATTTCCCAATTTCTGAATATCTAGGAGTTTGGACAGCTTGGCAGACTGTTTCCAGTTGCACAGCCCCTTGTGGTGGTTGTGGATGGATGGTTCAAAAGAGAACTTGCTCATCCCGTCGATGGGGATGTCCATGCGAGTTGGTTTTTACAATTATTTATGTTAAAAGGTTTGCTGCAAAGTTTCTAATACTTGAAATAGTGGTCCGTACTCTCGCAAGCGTCAATGCCCAACGACTCCTTGTCCTGGTCCAAGTGAACCGTGTTGTGCAGCGGCTCCACTCAAAAACGGTCAATGTATTGCACCACTTCCCAATCCAGCGCCATACAATGTTACTTGTGGTGGTTGTTGATAGATTTTCATTGCATTGAAGACTTTAGCCCAAAATGCTGATATCTGTTGGTGCCCGGAAGGAACAACGCAATCCGGTGAGGATTATGAGCTATGGAAGTTAAAATTACATATTATTTAGGAATCTGGAGCGCTTGGTCAAATGTGGGGACATGTACGAAAACATGTGGACTTTGCGGAACGATCAAACAGACGAGGACGTGTCTTTCTGAGGCCTGGGGATGTCCGTGCAAGTGAGCTTCTAGGCAACTATGTAATTGCAGGATTATTGCAATCTCGCAGAGTATCAATGTTAGTTCCAACAACTAAGATCTTCTTCCGTGAGCCAAAAATCACTTTGGCAAAAGGATTTGGTGTTTTATGCAGGATGCTTATGCTCACAAGGCTCGAGTGGTTTTTCCCGCTTTGCATCCTCAAGTCCTGATCTTAATCCGATGGATTTCAGTCTTGGAATTTTCTTAAAGCAAAAACGTGCTCAAAACCGCATTCCAGCATCGATTCGCTTAAGAAATCTTTTCAAATAGCATGTGATAATTGCTTTACCATTTGGCCGCTTACCATTTGGCCGCTTACCAATTGGCCGCTTACGATTTGGCCGCTTATCATTTGGCCACAATGGATGCGTTTCCCGAATATCACCAAGCCTGCATTTCTGTTCATAGAGATCTTTTTAGAAGGAAGCAGTTTTTCTTGTTTAATATATCTTTAAAAATCAATTGTTAAAGTTTTAAAGTAATTTCTCTTTTATCGGTTTCTTTCCTTAAAAAATATTGGTTGCAATAATCCTGCCACACCCTGTACATATGTAAACATTGTAAATTTAAATGTAACATTGTAATAACTGTGTAAACATTGTAAATGTAAATTGATCGTGGATAATTTCAGCGCTCTTCCCACACAGACAAAAGACTGTCCGATCACTCCATGCCCAGCTAGTGCTGCTTCCGCTTGCTGCAAAAGTTACACAGTGGTACAGATTTAACTAACCAAGTTTTAGTCCACTTTAAAACGTCAAGCTGAACAAGATCTTTAGTTAACAAATACTGGTGGGTCGACCAATTCGAGCACATGGAAACAAGTCTGTGGCATCACTCTGCCCGATGATCCGACCTATCCAAACAATTGCCGTTAGTTTGCCGTTACAAACAATTGCCGTTACAAAATCTCAAATTAAACCAAAGACCAAAACTTTCCAGATTGCACGGACTGTACTGCTGCAAAGATCACAAAGGTACCAGCTGGAGGAAAGTATTCTGCTTTCACAAGTGGTGCGTTTTTACTCTAAACTTACAAGAGTCTCCAATAAGCCAGCTTGAATTTAAGCAGTTAAATTAAACTTTATATTAGCTGGAGTCACTTCGACACCTTTCACATCATGCCCAAATGTCTATAAGGCAAGCTGTATGGCTGGAGATGGGAAACAAGCGTCTATCGAGGTAAGGAAGCACAACCTGTCTATTTAAAACCTCTGAAGGTTACTCATTAGCAAAACTGCATTTTCGTAGCTTTTTTATTGGTATCTGTAATAAGAACCAAGTAAAAGCATCAAAATTGAATCACTTTAGTTAAACGGTGGAACCCTGCCCAGCGTTAGTGGGACACCAAGTGTCGAACTGGATCTAACTTGCGCTTCAAATGGTTCAGGATGGGAATACAATGGGAAGATTATAACGAAAATTGGATGCCTGATTGGTTAATGAAATTATTAGCAATAAAAAATCTGATAAGTTGAATCTGATAAATCTGATAAGTTTATTTGTTCAAGAGTGAAGACAATTGGATGCATTCAACTCTCCGCAAGTGGTCCAGTCCAATGCTGGCCTTCTCGTCCGAAAATCCATTGGCTCAAGAGGATATTTTTGGGTTTTCGTGGTTTTTCATCCGGACTGAAAGTTGTTTTCTTTTCAAAAATGATATAAACATTGACGGAACTCGTTCCTAGTATTTTCTAGTAATAAGAAGATAATATAATAATAGCAAGACATAATTATTGGGTTGGTGAATAAGTTTTTTCGTTCTTTTTCATACTTCCGTTGAAAAATAACAAATTCACCAATTAACCTATAGTTTGCTCTAAAGAAGAAGTGTTTATTGCTCAATTTCCATCTTTTTAAGTCAATTTTGGTTCACTTTCAAGCAAATTCGAGAATAAAAACGTGTTTTTCGTAAAAATCTATAAAAACCTCTACGAAGAAATTGGCTGAGGCAATTTCTCTGAAAATTTTGCTATCGTGACCATCGTGGCTCAGAAATTTCATGCATAGGGAGTCATGAAATCGGGAAAAAGTCAAAAAATATCAAAAATTTTCCAGCCCAAAATATTCACTTTGGCACCACAAAGATAAAGGCATCAGAAAATGAAGGGGGATTGGCTTTTGAACACCCTGTATATGATAAGAATATTTTCTTGATATACTCATCAGTTCTCATCCCCATCATCTTTCCCTTTTTCATTCTTTTGCGAAAAATTCTTTATCATAGTAGGGTTTGGAATAAGCTCCCGTCTGGTATCTTCTCGTCTGTAGGAAAATTGAAAGTATCTGTAAACGAATTAGATCTTATTGCCATGTCAAATCTGCCCTATATTTAATCTTTTTGTACCTGTTTTTCCTAACTGTAGTCCTACTATACTATTTTTAGTACAGTAGGACTACAGTTAGGAGTTTTCTTTCTTTTTTTGTGAAAGTATTGTAGCAATATGTTATATGCGGTTATGATTATCCGATTCGCTTCAATTCACCCGCTGAATAAAGCATATATATACTAAAAATATACTAAAAAATCTTTATACTAAAAATATTCCACGTAAATAAAGCAAATGAATGCCAAAGAAATCCCAAAAGTTGATACCATTTTTGTGGTAGTTTCAAAGCTTGGCGATAAACTAGCTGTCGAGGCAGTGTTCTGAAATTTGAATGAGAATTTTAACATTTAATTCTCCAGTATTAAATTCAATCTTACTGTTGTGGATGATTCAGTCATTTTTGACGTTTCAGTTTCAATGATTGGTGAGAAAGTTGGCATCGGATCGGCGTTCTGAAATTTGTATACGATAGAGGCGCAATTTTGACTTGAAAGCTGTTTAAGCTTACAGTAGTTGAGTTGTAATCGGGTTTATTGTCCTTGTCGGGTAGGATAAAATTGGTAATCATTTGTCTTGAGGCACCGGGACGATCAGTTGGCACAAAATGACCGGCTCCCTAAATGAGCAAACGAAATGAACATAGGAACATAGGAACAAAGGATAAATTTGTTTTTCAAGGTTTTAGCTCAAGTTAGTGAATTGGATAACTGATGTTAATGTAATCCCAACCTTAACAGTGACTAGATCAACAATGACTCCATTTGAATGAGTGTATCGTTGTGTATAGCCAGCTGTTTGTCCCGCAAACCACCACTCTTTCCGATCGCTTGCCTAAACAAGTTGAACTCTGACAGTCTAGATCAAGGACAAACAAGTACCAACAATTGATTGAGTTGGTTAAACTCATTAAACTCAAAAATCCCACCGACATCCCATTTCTTTTTGCCAATTCAAGAACAAACCACGCGTCACCGAGATAGTTGCAAACTGTATCCACGTCACCGTTATAAATCAAGAAACGGAAATCTTTTTTCTAAAAACCTTTGATCAGCCTTATTTATTGACTTAACTGTATTTATTTTGAAGAAGATCTCAAAGAATTGATATTGTTCAATATAAGTCATCACATATTTGTTGTACATGTCATTGCTAAATTGAGAAGAGTAGGGCAAAATCTCTGTTCCGTACTTGCAATCAAACCAAGTGTAGTTAGAATCAATCCATGATTCATCAATGTTGAGAGCCTGGAATGAAAGAAGAATTGAAACGAGTTAATATCTTGCTTACTTTCTTGACTTCAAGTGAATTCACCCAATGCCATCGAGGTACATAATTCCAACAAGGGTAACCATTGAATGGATCAGTTGAACCATAATTAAAGCTTGTCTAAAGAAGTAGAACTTTTGAATAAACAAGTTAGCAAGCTATGGGTAGTTATTTCAAAACCTTCAGGCTCATTTGATTTCAATATTCTTCAGCAGTTTGACTTACCGCAAAACTCTGGTAGAATGAAGCCTTCTCATGAATGGCTGCTCGTCTTCGAATCCTTTTTAACTTGGCCGGATGTTTAGGCAAAGTTTTGTCTAAACGAACTAGTTTTGTAACCTGAAAGCTACGAATAAGCTTACCCAACTTTTCCATAGAGCTCTGATACCATTTCGGATCAAAACAATCTTGATAGTAGTTTTCAGCATCCATCCTCAAATAGATTCGTTTTTACAAATTAGATAATGACTTACCCATCAGGAACCGTCACAAGTCGCATTATCTGTAAATTATCTGAATATTAACAGTTAAAACTGACAAACTAGATTTCCACAAGTTGAGTTATCTGAAGCAAAATCGGTTAGATAGTTGGTGGTGCGCAGGTAAGAGAAGAAGTTGTACGTGTCCATGTCGCCCATTCGACTCATTCCCGAGGTACATTCAGACTTGAGAAAGTCCCATTCTCTAGAAAAATTAATTTTATTGCAGAGAGAAAAAGCACATACTGTACAGAAACGCGACCATGATAGCCGGACCACAGGACGAGAGAATTGTACAATCTTGCCACATCTAGGTAACCATTTCCAATAGCTGCACCCTAAAGCAATTTTATAAGAAAGAAAATAAAAGCATGAGTGTTTGATAAGCGAAAATAACCAACTTGAAAGTTTGGATTTGGAAAAGTTCCATTAGCAATTCCTTGAACTAAGCGAGCGGCAAGCATCGGAATGTAAACTCCCGAATAGGACTCTCCGGCAAGGAAAAACGAACGATTCGTGTATTTTGAGTAGCTGAAAAGAAAGGATCGAAATATGCAATCATCCAAACGAATTGAAAAAATCGCTGAGCGCCACGTAGTTCATCTCTTTCGCTTGATCGTCATTTGCATCGTCAAACTGAGGATTCGTTTTGTCGTACGAGAAGCCGACACCAATCGGTGATTCAAGAAAGAGTAAGTTAGCTCTCTGAAAATGTTTTGAAGGATTCTCAAAACTTAAATTTATTAATTCTTACATTGTTCCATGCGTATTTGTTCTCGAAAAGACTCTTTCCGTCAGGCGACATGTAGAATGGGCCTAACTCTTCGAAAATTGCCCCAAAAGATGAACAACCGGGGCCTAAAAATAAAACTATTCTTCTCTGAAGTTTAAAAAATAAAAAGAAACCCTTAACCTTTCAAATCTCATTGTTTCTTTGTCAAATATTCTAACCTCCTTGCAGCCAAACAAGTATTGGATCGTCATCCGATTTTGGGCCTTTTGACTCAATCAACCTACAACAGTGCTAAAACTTTATAAGCAAAAAAAAAAGTTTGACTTACATATAATGCATTTTCCAGTCTCCATTTTTGCCAGCATTCAAATAGCCCGAGTAGAGATCATAATTGATCTCAAAGTTCAACCCGGGTAGATGGTTTACCTATGTTTAACTGTACCAGAAATTATTTAAATGAACGAGTTCTTATCCTGGTCAAAAGTTCGCATTCAAGCCAAGACTAATCACTCTTTTACCTTATCATTTTTGGGATCTGCTGCGAATAAAGTAGAAACAGTTGAATAAACAAATAAGACGCAGAAAAATTTGTCCATAGAATTTGGCTAATTCAAAGTATATTCGTGATTTATCGCAGCAGCTGTAGGCAAGTCAATTCCACGGGAATCGCCTTAGTCTTATCTTTGTCTCTATTCTCATCATTTTTGCGCAAAAATCAGCATTGGCTCTACTTTGATTCGAACTTGCACAAAACAATATTGTGCAACACTGTTTGAGGTTCTAAAGTTTGGTTTAAAAGCCAAAATGTTAAAAATTTAACCATATCACCCAGTTGGCATCACAGAATGAAAATCGAACAAGACTAAATAACGATTCACATAGAAAACAAGTATTGGATCGTCAGAAAACAAGACAAATGACTTAAAATGAAATCGTTTTGTATTATGTTGTAAGTTTTGCGATGTATTCATCTAGTAATGGAGAGGGGAGACGCAAATCGAGTAGAACTTCACGGAAATATTCTAAAATACTTTGTTCGTTTAAAATTAATCGCAAGTTTTTATGTAAAATATGACTTTTCAAAACTCGTAACTGCTTGTCAGTTTCAGATTTTGATTACCTGCATCCACTCGTAGCTGCTTGATAGTGGTCGGGGTGAGTGTTGACGTTTCACCGATAGCTTGAACAAAGCTTCGAATCGAGATATTGCACATATCACGCATGATCCTCATCAAGAGATCTTCTAAAAATACTTTACTATGAAGGATTCATATGTACCAAACCTGGTTTTCGATTTGGATTTCTCAATTTAGCTACTTTTTAAATAACACAATACTTTCACAGAATCCAGAATTTGCGCGCAAAACATAGTCAAATTTAAGACAAAAATTGATCCCAGAGGTTTGGGTATAGTGATGCCCAGAGAGCAAAGGGGCTCAGTCACTCACTGCTCCTTCTCCTTTATGGTAATCAAAAGGGAAGCACCCTAAACCAGAGCGGTTTGCTAAATGGTGAGCGATTACGCAACAGCACCAAGAACATCTCATTTGTACAAGAATTTTTCTTTTGCTTTGTAGATGGTACAAAAAGAAGATATTTGGCTGTAAATTTGTACCCGGAGGTTTTTGGGGTCAGGGAATCGATTGGAGCTATTCATTTTATTGAGTCTATCAAATATAGGAATCATTCTGTCCATGTCCCATTCCTGGCTTTCTCATCGAAAAGGCAAAAGTGAAAAAAAGGAGAAAAGAAGCCCCTAGAGGAATTGAACCCTCGACCTAAGCATGCGCCAAATAGCGGACCGAAATTCGATTCTAAATTTTCAGCATGAGCCAAACAGATTCAATTCGATAAAACTTAAACTTTTTGAGAAATTTGAGTTGAAATGGGAATTTTTTTTTGAACACCCTGTAAGTACAAAGATTAAATCAACCAATCATTAATTCTTCACAAACCTTCCCCTTCTCCTCCTTTTGACCATACCGTAAACGCGTGTGCTGTGTTTTCATCAGCCAAGAACATCTCGAATTTGTGAAAATGTTGCAAAACCTAAAAAGCAACAACAACAATAACGTGTTTATTATATTTATCAAACCTCTTGAGCGACTCCCGTCATATATTCTGAAGGTGTCAATGAGAATGATGGCAAATCGGGCGCATTTCCGGTGGTGGTTGCGACTTTCCGTAAAGATTTTTTTTAAAAAGGAGTAGACAGTAAACTTTTGGTCAACGAACCAATTCATTGACTCCTCGTTGCACTTCACTGCACATTTGAGCCGATACAAGTTGGAGAGTCGTATCACAAACACGGGCATTCCATTTGTTAGCGCCTCTAGTCGGGACGGAAAGTGACTCTGAAAGATTATTTTATAATAAATCTGATTCTTATTAAAATTCAAAATTAGCAAACACAAATCCCCTTCCAATCTAGGTACCGTGTATTCCACTGGCGATCGTCTTCAATCGTGTGATTCCCGCAATGAAATGCCCAGATGCTTCACAAACCTGCCAAAATACTGTTGAAATCAAATTCTAGCCTACAAACCTTAATAATTTCATCAATAGAGCGCGTTTTTCCTTGTGAATCTTTTGAATAAGTCCAATTTTTGATCTTGTCGAGGAACTCATCGAAAACTTTCTGAAAACGTTCTTAAGTATAGAATGTCCGTTAGCTTACATCAATTGGTTTCTGTATAATATTATTCAATCCATCAGCCGGATAAACATTTGATAGTGAAACGAGGATATCATGTAAGATGAGTACCTGAATTGGGATATTTGAAGGTAAAACGAGGAAATTGTTACCACTTCGTTGACCGTCGAAATGAAGGATGAGATTTTCGTGCGATGAGAACCAGTGACCCAAAATTTACTATATATAAAAGCACAAAAAGGCCATAGATTAAAGTACAGATCGGAATTTTTGATTAAATCCATAAAACTTACAAGATCCATTCCACTCACTCTTGTTTGCAATTGTTCAATGATCGTCTCACTCAAAGGAACTTCAAGCCGGCTGAGGAATTGTTGCCTAAAAGAAAATCCGATTTACAGTCTAAAAGTTTCAAACCTCAGGAAGTCATAAAGATCACTCGCTGTGTCTCGAACATATTCTGTGTAGTTTTGCGGAATGCTGTCATACATGGTGCTGAGGGACTGAATTTTTCAATAAACACTCTGTTGAAATTATTTGTACTTTGTTCAAGTCATCCAAAAACTTGATCGAATCTGGTGCAGATTTCAAAAGTTCTTGAGAAGCCGCTGTCAAATCGTATTCAGTAAGTGCCAATCGTATGGCCGAAGTGACCAATTGCAAGCATTCATTTGCATCAAGGAACTCTTTCTGAGCCAGAACAGATGAATCACTAAAGATTGAAGTGTTTTGTCAGTGAATTCTTCAATTACCTAAAGAACATGTTGAGTTGAGTCTCAATTTCTCGACTAATTCCCTCAAAAAATTGATGTACTGATGAGCGATCAACTTGAGCATGAGAGAAACGATTGAAGATTCCTTTCGAGAAAATTGCGATGAACTCTAGAACAAAATGTTTGACGGTAAGCCAATACTGGGAGAATTCTCCCTAAGTCTTACAGTCTGCTTTAAATTTAATTGTTTTAGCTATAATCAAACTCCAAACCTTTCTTCCGATCAAGACTCGCATAAGTATTGTATATTTCCGCGACTTTTCCTGTGTCTCCTTGTTGTAGAGCCAAAAAGAAAGCGGTTGATTGCCAAGCAAGAAACGTGTCCTTTTGATTGTCAAGTTCTTTTTTATTCACAGAAGCTTTAGGTACACACTAAAATTTGAGTCTTAAGTAAATTCTTCTTTCACGTACATTCTTGATGACATCAATGCTACTTTGCAGCTCTTGCAGTGTTGTCAACACTGTCGCATGATCTTCTTTTGGCACTTCTTTCATCATTTCCCAGGCTTTCTCATATTGTTTGCGACCCTGAACACAAATAATTTGTAAAATAAGATTTACCTTGTTAAAATCGATGTCAGTGCTTTACAATTGCTAGTTTACAAGTCAATCGAACTACAAGTTTAGCTAAATCTTACCGAAATGCACTTTCTAAGTGCTGTTGCTCTTGTTTTTGCAGCTTCATATTGCAAAATCGATTGATTGACGGCAAGCGAATTTTCATTTAGTTTCAAAGTCTGAAATCAAAAAATTGTTAAAATACAAAGAAACAAACTTACTTTAATATGCTCATCAAGGGATGTCAACACTCGTTGCACAGCTGTGTCCATATCCGAAAGATTCTCCAACCTGAAATATGTTTAGAAATGAATCTATTCAAATCTACTGACAACAACAATTATTATAATTCTTTCAATTACTGTTCAACCAACGTTTGTTCTTGATCTTCGCACTCCTTTGAAACATTAGTCAATTCATCGCGAAGAGTGGCTGTGTTGCGTTCAGACTCGGCCAGACGAGTGGCCACATTTCTCTTCATCTCCTAAACGATATGTCATGAAGTTGAACTCGTATTGTTTCCCAGATCACTCACCTCAATAGACATTCCCTCAAGTGATCTCAACCATTCAGTCAAATTGCTCATTTTCGTCGATGTTACCGCCTTTGATTCATGATGAGAAATACGTCTCTCTCGCATTGGTCTGTAAATATAAAAGGATTTATATGTATGTAAATATAAAATGTAAAACAATCACCAAAAGCTAAGATTGAGAAAAAAGAATATGCGAAAGCTATTTGCACAAGAAAATGAATACTTGTGTAAAACGAGAATTATAGAAAAGAAATTTCCTGTCGAACATTATTTGATGTGGCAAAGTAACCCTTTAGGCAATTTATTCCGTTAGTTGGGCAGTTGCCAAGAAATGGATTGGAGTGTAGGATAGAAAAGACAGCTCTTTCACGATGGGTCATCCTTTTTTGTCTACGTAATAGACGTCTTTTCCTTTGAAAGAGCGATAGACTCTGTGAAACAACCATTTAAGTAAGTTGGATTGATCTCAAACTAGTTCAACTTCATCGTAGCTTAAAGTTATTGTCAACTTTTCAGAGTAATGAAGACTTTTTGGTTGATTGGACCCTTATTGTCAGCAGCAACGGCCTATTCAAGAAGCATCGAATTCCCCAAAGCAACATCTCAAAATACTGATGAAAATCGTCTCTTTCCCTTCACCGAGAAACAGTTAATAAAGAGAAACTATTCCATTCTTTGTCATACATTACACTCAAAAGCAGCTCTTTCAGACAATAGTGAGCAATACACCTTTTTTGCGTGATGACATGAGCCTTTTTGAGGGTCGACGAGAATGTGTCTTACCTAGCTCTATAGAAAAGAAATCAATTTTCAAATGCTATTTGTTAGCCTTGCTTTAATTTTTCTGTTAGCAAAATGCTCCAAAAGTGATTGCGCCGGTGGCCCGGATGACTTTTGTGATCCAGGTAACACTTTGTTTTCTTTAAGTACAAGGTTTTAACAACAAAATAATATTTTTCTTGTTATTCATAGAAAAAACTTTCACTCTTAGTTTCACCATTGCCTGATCACCGATGGGGAACAATCAAGGTTTTCTACCTTTAAAAACTTTTACCTCTTGCAATTCTGTGGCTATTTTGTAAATACTTTCACAATTACTTTTAATAACAACACAATAACATAATATCTAACATCTAAAGACTACTTTTAGTTAAACCAAGGTTTTGGAGTCGAGTTCTGCATGATCCCGAAAGCTGGCGTAACGATCACATATCAAATACTGTGTGATATTTCACGAGACTATCGAGGGATTTCGTACACGCAAAATTTCACACAAAAAGTCGTTTATGAAAAGTGGATTTGTTTGTGTTTGTGTACTACAACCGTTTCAGTGATTGTCATGAACACGGAAATTATCGTTCGATGACCACAGCGGCATGGGCTCGACCACTTTCGTTCGTTCGGTTCACCCTCGTGCGCGAACCGATTGAGCGTTTCGTTTCACTTTACGGATTTGTTTGTAAATTGTAAATGAGACAAATATCTTGAACATTTTCTGGAATCTAGTTGGTCCTATTGCCCGAGCGAAGTGACAAACATTCACCAATTTGCTCGCTGGCTTTACCAGCTTCGGAAAGATGACCCGCGAGAAAGGAAACATCCTGAAGGGACTTACTCATTCATACTCGTTCACTCTCGACCACAAACTGGGTTTGCTTACGTGTCTTTTGTTTTCAATTTCTTAAAGATTTCAGGTATTGTGATCTAGAAAAATACATGCTTGTGCACCACTCACGAAATAGAACGAAAATGATGGAAGAAATGGAAGCCGTTTTTCGAAAGGCTCATGTACCAGAGAAGATTTCAAAGAAGGTGTACTTTATTGGAAACATTTCGAAAACCATGAAAACATAGATGCTTTTTCAAGATTTTCAAAATTATGCATGCAAAGATTATACTACTGTAAAGTTTATACAGCGTTCAGGCTCTGCTCCACTTGCTCCTCTCGACGACAAATCATGCGGGACAAAGCGATGAAGCACATAAAAGAGACTTGGAGAAGGATGTGAGGCAAAATTCAGAAACAATGAAATATCTTGAAGCTATTTATCACGAAGACTTTAGAGTTCTTAAAAATCATAATTTTAGTTGATAATTTATTGTTTTTAGATTGTGAGTGATGTGATTGATTAATTTATTCAATTGGAATTGAGCTTTTAGGAAAAAGGCAGCAACGTATGATCTACCTCAATAAAATAACGATGTCTGATTTGCATGCCCTAAAAACATTAGACAAGTATAGCAAAGAAATTGTCTGAAGAACACTAGAGTGTGTTCCTGGCGATCAATTAATTACCGTAATTTCTGTAATAAAACTGCGCTACTATTTTTACTAGTAAATAAAATTAAATAATATTAAATTACTATTAAAAGCTAAAAAAAAAAAGCTAATATTAACCAATTTCTATTCCAAATGTTGTTTTTCTAGGTAATTTGAGGGTGTCGAATTCAAATTTTGACATAACAGAGCGTGTGTGGAACCAATTTGAAAGACAAAACGGCAAGGTCAAATTACAGAAAATTGTTGATTTTTCTCTTTGTATAACTCCGTCCGTTCGCTTCCACAAGCTCTGATATGCCAAAATTTCGATTCTACACCCTAAAATTACCTAGAAAAACAACTTTTGGAATAGAAATTGGTTAATATTAGCTTTTTAGAGCTTTTTTAAAACGCGAAAAAAGGTGCGCTAATGGGCAAGGTGCGGAAAAAAGGTGCGCAAATGTCCGAGTGCGCAAAAAAAGGTCGCATTTGTCCCACTCCCCTTATTTTTATATTTTTTTAAAAATTTTGTCTTGTTTTTCCCTATTTCTCGTTAATTTTGTTCTCTTGTGCTTTAATAAAAAATAATACCGCATTCGTTTTTCCTATATCTTTTTTGATTTTCGCTTAATAAAGAGGATGGTTTCTATCGGTATATTCTAAAATGATAAAATTTGAGAAGAAGTGGCTAACGGATAAGAAAAATCAATATTTTTTTTAATGAAACGGCGCAAATGAAAAATAATGTTTTTCTGTTAAAGATTTGCATATATTGCGCTATTTTCTTGGTTCTAAAATCATTTAAACATTCCCTGATTTGCTCTGTATCTAAGTTTAACTGTGAAATTATAGTGGATGTTTTCTTGCCAAAAAGACCCCTCTTTCATTATTTGTCGCCCTCCTGATGTAAATTTAGCAGACACATCTTCTCTTTTTGGCCATTGGAAAATTCTGTTGAGTTAAACATTCTACTAGGTGATTTTAATTTCCGTGTAAGCTTTTTCAATGATTCTTTTGCATTCGATAAGTATCAAAACCCCACGATTTCACTTGAAATTTTCCTTGTTACGAGCTCTTTTTTCATTTTAATCCATTTTCTACTTTCTGCCGCTCTTCTTCTATTTTAGATATGGTGATTTGTGACTCTCCGGACAACGTAATCGATCTGCAAAGTTTGCCGCCTCTCCCGGGCTTTGACCACCTCTCAATCAGCTTCAAAATTGGTTCAACCTGTTTTATTCCGAAGGAAAGGGATCAAGTCTGTTTGCATTTTGATTTTGATTATGACAAAGCGGCGGTGTGTATACTAGTTTCTCTAAGTCGATCAGATTTTTGTGCCTCCTTAAATTCTATTGAAATATTTATGACATCTTTTGCGCTGGTCTGCTAGAATCGATGGATTTAGCGTGTGGTCATTCTCCACCGATGACCCCACCACATATCTTGAGAGCTAGACTGGCCATTTTTTTTCCGTCGTTCCTATTATTCAAAACCCTTAAACGACCCTCTAGTTAGTAAGGAACTGAATAAGCTTCCAAATATTATCGTAAATTTGAGGAAAATATTGAAAGAAATGCCATTAAATCCAAGAACGGGAAGTCTTTTTACACATATATTAATTCTAAAACTAAGCTTCAAATCCCTTCCTTGATCCATCCAATTCTAGTGAAACCTTTTTAGACCCCAAAAAGAATTGTTCTTGAGTTTGCTAAATTCTTTCACAGCGTTTACAATAACCAGAAACCTAACAAACCCTTTCCGGCTTTTTGACCTAAACAGATCCCACCACAAGCTAATTTTCTCCTTACAGCCAGCTTTCAAAAAGTTGAGACTCAAAAAATCACCTAGTCCAGACAAAATTACTACCTCTGCTCTAAAGAAACTGTGCAAAGTCCTAGTCTATCCTCTTGCTAAATTTCTTTATTACTGGAAACAACCTCTTGTGTCGCCTCTTCTCAAAAGATCCCCAAGAACAGATTCGCTAGTTACCGTCCCATTTCTCTAACCTCCCCTGTGTTAAAAATTTAGATCACCATAAAATCATTCTTCAGTTTGTCAAATATAACCTTTTCTCTAACCAACAGTTTGGCTTTCTTAAAAATAGATCCACCACTTCTCAACTTATTTTAGCCTTTCAATCTTTTCTCAAAGCTTTAGATCAAAAAGAAAAGTTCAGCTCCCAATTAGAAGCCGTCTTTTTAGATTTTACCAAAGCTTTTGTTTCTGTTTCCATTGATTTTTCATTTACAAACTGTACGCTTACTGGATGAGCCCACTCGTAATTTCGTAATTTCCTGTTAAAGCCGCTAGGTTATGGAACTTGCCCCCAAATGACATACGAGGAATTCGGTTGCTTTCCATTTTCAAGAAGCGAATCGATGCTCTAGATATAACGGCTCTCTCGTAGGTAGTCTGATTATTGGCATATTCACTCTATCTCGTATCTTCGTATCTTTCTTTTGTCTCTACATTTATGACTCGCTGTGCGTTTCTCTATGATTTATTGGGTTTCACTTTATCATCTGAATAAAGTATCATTATTGTATTGACTTTTTCATGCTTTCTCGACGGGATTACGGTACTTTTTCTCGGGGGCGCTTTTTAGAAAATGTACTAATCGCGAGGAATACACTCTAAAGAACACTATTTGATGTGGCAAACTAACCCTTTAGGCAATTTATTCTTTCGTCTGGCTGTTTGCCAAAAGCAATGACTAGGCTGTGGTATAGAAAAGACTTTTCTTTCAGGATGGGTCACCCTTTTTTGTCTACGTGATAGACGTCTTTCCCCTCTTTCCCTTGAAAGAGCTCTTGTTTTCGCAACCCTTTTCTTGCCTACGTCAACCTAATTGTCTACGCCCTTTCAATTTTCTCGAAACTTTTAAGGAAAAGATTATGGTTCTAGAAAAGTGGCGAAGCTTTGATAGAACATTTAACAGTTTGAATTTGTTTGAACGTTGTGAAATTGCATGCAAATTATTAACATGTGATTTGTAGCTATCTTATTTACTTTCCTTTACAAAATTTTGAAAATTCATGCATATTCGAACAATAGGAAGGAGAATATGGAATGGATAAGGCTGGGGAATTGGCGTTGCAGCTTTGCTCGGCCTTTGACCGTTTAAATTATGAAAGAAAGTGTTTCATTTTAAATTTTGCACTTTCTTTTTTTACTTTACTTAAAGATTTTTCAATTAAACCTCCTTTGTCATCTCATTAAATTTCTTTGCAGCGGATCGATCCCGTGACTCAATCAATGAGAAGATGGCCGGATTAGGGAGAATTACGTCGGGCGATAAAAACCCTGATGCGAGTTTTTGTTCTTTGTTCAATTTTTACACAAGCATTTTGCAAAGCTTTACAAATTTAAGATTAGTTTCTGAAAAGTTAGAATGGTTCTCTTCAGGTCGATCAACCATTGGCAATGGCGGCCGGTATGGAAAAGATAAAGGAAAATGGAGTTTTGGATGTGCCGAAATTGGACCTTGACGGCAAAAAGGAGGTAGGCAAACGATTTAATGTTGCTAGAAAATGAATGCAATGAATTTAGAAACCTGAAAATGAAAGCCCGCCAAGCAAAGTTGCAAGGATCAACAACAACAGAACCTCAGCCTCCTATAGTCCTGGATCTTCTCATGGTAAAATTATGCTTTAGGATTTTAAATTAAACCAAAAACATTTCCAGACGGTTCACCAACAAGTGGCGCAGTTATTTTGGGCATCAACACCGACAAGCCAAGTGCTTCTAGTGGTTCGGTTATAGGTATTGAATTGGATAGGATCAGCATTTGAACTTTTAAAAAATGTAACTATTCAGCAAGCATTTACAATCCATTTACAGGTGAAGAAGTCGTGCAAACCCCGCCCCCATCGCCAACTCAAAAGGATCAAGTAGCTAAACCAAGGTAAGTAAACAAATTTGAGTTTAAATACCAAGTTTGCAGTTTGTTTTCATTGGCACAAGTCACCTCAAAGTTGGGCGATTTGTGGACATCTGCAAGGGAACAAATTTTTGGTGAAGACTATTGGATTCCATCGGATCCACATGAAGTTGTCGCCTTTCCATCAGAGCTCTTGCTGGCGCATAAGGTGAGTGAAAAATCAAACCCGTGTGAAAATACAGTTTAAAAAATCCTATCCATTTTTCAATTCCGATTTAGATCATCTTTCCCCAAGATGAGGATTCAATGCTGCGAATTGTGAAGGGAAGTCTGAAGAACGATCCAAGCACACCAATCTTTCACGTGGTCTTTCAGAAAGAAAAGCACAAATTTGCCTATAGGTGAGGTCATATTTTTAAGTTCAAAAAATTGCCAATGATAACATTTTTAGTTTATTTCGTTGCAAAGGAGAAAGCTCACAAGATGACGCGTTTGATTTGTGCAGGCGGTGTCTTGAGTGTCAAATGTTATTCTCAATCATAGGTTAGCTTGAATTGAATGAGAACCATTTTAAGAGCTAAACAAAATGGCGAAAATCGAAAAATTCAGATGACAAAGATCCTCGAGCGACAATGAGAGAAGTGATCAACAAACTACGAGAGAATCCCTTGTGGAGAATGGTTTGTCAGATTGAATGGTTCACAACATACCAATCCATTAGATTCACGTGGCTATTGCTTGTAATCGAGAAGATATTTTCACAGAGGAAAACATCGACTTTTTGAATAAAAATGGAGTACCATTCGAAAAGTTTGTTAAAAGTTTTGATATCTTATGCCAATTTTCAGACAAATGCTTCAAGTTCTGCAAAACGATGGAAAATATCCTTTGCTGATGGCGGTTTCGATGAATCGATTGGGAATAGGTAAGAAAACGAAACAGTAAACTTGATCCTATCATTGCAAAACCTTGTTTGATTGCTCGTTTTCAGTGAAACGGATGTTGCAACTTGGAGCCGATCCGACTGTTCGTGATGTGAACTTGAACAATGTGTTGCACATTGCTGCCTTGACAGGAGCTCCAATGTTAGAGGTAAAATATAGCTGGCATTTACAGTTGTTCACTACAATTTTTAGCTTCTCTGGGAATTCGATCCAGTGCATGGGCTTCTCAACAATATCAACCAAGATGGATGCACTCCTGTCACTTTAGCGATTAGGAATGTGAATCCCAGGTAATTTATCAAAAAATATACTTTTCTGATTAATAACCAAACCAGCAGTTAATCTCCGTCTAAACGCTGTGGGTTAACTGCTGGTCGATTTGGGCCAACGCATAGTTTACATGAGTTTAATATTAGTTGTTAATAAATTTACTAAAGTACATTATTTTACTACTGAATTTGCATTTCAATAACTAAACTGAGTTTAAGAAGTAAATTTTCCCGTTTACCTGAAATCCCTTCCGACCCTTTGAACTTTTCTACCTTCGCCGTTTTCTCAAAAACTCAAAAACTTTGAAAAGGTGTTTAGTGCCAAAATATTTCCCCCAATATATTCTGAGAAAATAAACCTAAAATTAATTTTTTGAAGTACCCCTAAGCGAACTTTGATCGCCAAATGAGATTTTTCCAACTTTGCTCCAACAAAACGGGTCGAAATTTTTAAAATCTAATTTGACATGCCAAACCGCCGCAGTCGATTACATATTGTCCCAAAAAATCAGACCGAAATTCCTACCTGGGACTCGAGTTATGAAGTGGACGGACAAACTTTGTGTCTTAGAATAAGTAAGATAGGAAGGTGAACTTTAAAATTTATAATAAGTAAGATGTTATTTGTATCATTCCTTTCATTTCCAGATGTGTCACTTCACTCCGCCGTTTTGGGGCTGATTTCACAATAGCCGCTGCTGGAAGAAATGCTCTATTTGAAGCAATGATGAACAAAGGAAAGGATAGTGTGTAAGTTCCAAAAATTTTAGAATAAACAAAGTAAACTTTTCAAATGTTACAAATGTTGTTTCAGGATCATCCGGACAATTCTCGAGTCTTCGCCAAGTCTCTTGAATGAAGTTGATTCGTCGGGCAACACGGCACTTCACATTGGTTAGTAAATAATTCACATGCAATACCTAAAAAGTAAATCTAGCTTTGGAAATTTTAATAGTATATCTAATACTCCTTTAGCTATGTACAAAACGCCTTTGATGTCCTTATTGCTGCTAAAAAGTGCCGAGCTGGATCTCAACAAGAAAAACAATGCTGGCCAAACGCCACTCCACTTGTACACATATCGGGTAAGATAAGAGAGATTTGGATATGCATAAATAGCCGTGGATAATGCAAAAATAAGTCAATTTCCAGGGTGACATTGGATTGATGATAACTTTGGCTTCATATTGTTGTGATATCAACGCCCAAGATGCCACTGGAAATACTCCACTTCATATTGCTGTCAGCAAGAAAAACCTCGAAGCAACGCGGTAGATTTTAGAATTTGATTGAGTTTTTGAAAAAATGTTAGAATGTTTAGAATGTTAAATTCAATTTATTGATCGTTTTAGACTGCTACTTTGTCTTGGAGCTGATCCAAACATCCGAAACAACCACGACGATTCACCTCGACATTTGGCGGCTCGTTTGAGACAGTTAGTTTTTTTAAAAATTCTGCTAGTGATTTAAAAAATATTATCACAAGGAAATACACTGTAACCATTTTTTGTAGAGCTGACGTTCTGAAAGCACTCATCCTATGCGGCGCAGAGAGGTGTGGGGCAAAAAAGACCGGCTGTGTGAGTGGATGCGTGATCGAAAAGATGGCTCCATTGCTGAGATCAAGTTAGTAACTACAATCAAATATCTTGTATGTGCTAATCAAATAATAAATGAGTCGACTAAAGTTCAACAAATTTCCAGACACCGATGATTTCGCCTCCCCAAGACCTGGCCAGTTGACTGATCAACCAAACCCATTAAATTATGCGGCACCCCTTGAAGAGCATCGAATAAAAGATCATATGCAGAAGGTTTGAGAAATAAAGTTAGTCAATATTATCTAACCTTCAGATATTCTACGATAAGCTGTGCACTCATCTTCAAAATTTGATTGATCGAGGAGAACGGCCGAGGAATATGGTTAACTTGTTATCTCTGGACGGTGGAGGAATTAGAGGATTGGTCATCATACAGGTTTGTTAGTCTAAATATAACTAAATTATTGATTCCGGTTTTATTTTAGACACTAATGGCTCTTGAAGAGGTGATGGGCGAATCGGTGTATCCATATTTTGATTGGGTTGCCGGGACTTCAACAGGAGCTCTAGTTGCCACAGCACTTGCGCAAGGTAACTTCTGCAGGAATATATAGAATGCTTAGATAGTAAAAATCTCATTTGTTGAATCAAAAAGATATTTAGGAAAGTCTCTTCGAGATTGTCAGCACATCTACCTGCGATTTAAAGATTTGGTGTTTGATGGATGGACACGACCCTACAATTCGGCTCTTCTCGAACAGTTCATGAAAGAACAAATCGGAGAAGGAAATATGGCTGATCTCAAGGATCCAAGGTTGTTAAAGATAACAATCTAATATTTTTATAGAATCTAAATAACCTGTTTTCAGGATAATGATCTCAACAGTGAAAGCCGATTTCTTTCCTGTGAAGGTTGAATTCATGCGAAACTATCGATTGCCGATCTCAGACAAAGAGAACCTGGAATTGGGATTTGAAGAACCATCAGGTTAGTAACCGAAACGTTACACAGGGTGGGGCGAAAGTTCTGTCCTTTTTAAATTCTCTTTAATTGAATTCTCTCTGATTGTTATTATTTCATAAGTATTTATAGCCAAAAGATAGCCAATTTTCCACAGAATTTAAATCTTATTACCTTTTTTAAATGGCTCCTTTAAATTTTGAGTTATCACAATTTGCGCGAGCTCTGTGGTCGCATCCGTGATTAGTATTACCAGTATAACAAAATCTGTCAAACTTAGAACTTAGACGATTAGGAGTATTGAAAAAAATTGTTTATCAGTTCCAAACTGGAAATACAACAACAGCTTTCGATAAGTTTGTCATTTTTATAGAAACTTTTGCAATTAAAAAGCGCAAAAATATTTGCAGCCACAGATATTTTTTTCGAAGAGCATAGAATAAGCGATAACTCAAGATCTAAAGAAGTTATTTAAAAACCGTAATAAGATTTAAATTCTGTAAAAGATTGGCTATCTTTTGGCTACAAACACTTATGAAAAAAAATCAACCAGGAAGCTTTTAGGGAGAATTCTAAAAAGGACAGAAATTTTGCCGCACTTTTGTAAATATAGCCAGAGTACCGCAACTCTTGATCAAACAGTTTATCTTCATAGCTTTAGATATTCCAACTTGGAAGGCTCTTCGACGGACATCAGCCGCTCCTATGTTTTTCTCACCTGTTGATGACAAGTCAGTCATAAATCTGAATAGAATGCATTGCTATTTAGATATATTGATGGAGGCATCATTTCCAACAACCCAGCATTGGATTTATTAGCCGAAGTTCAACTTTACAATGGCACAAATGTTTATTTGGTTGGCTTGGGTATTGTTCTGATTCAACGTTCATTCTTTAGAATCGACCCCACGATAAAGTTGAGATCGGTTGTATGCTTTCATTGGGAACAGGACAAATACCTTTGAGGTTGGAATATTTAAAAGTTGAGTCTATAAATCAGTTTAGCCCGCTCGATCCACTACATGTAGAAATCACAAATCCCCTATCGTCCACATTTGCTTTGAAGAATCTGGGGTTGATTCTAGTTGATCAGGTACTGTTCAAGCTTACCAGATAGTTTATTTTCCAGATAAGAAAACTTTATTTTTTTCAGGCTATAAGCCTTTCTATAAACCTTTCTATATTCAGGTAACCGCGACAGAAGGAGCTCCAGTCGACCGTTCTCGTTCTTGGTGTTCTTCAATTGGCGTTCCATTCTTCCGACTCTCAGCTCCATTGCACAAAGTATATTTTAGCAATTAAGTAAAAACCCTCAAAACGTTCAGGATATTTCCCTTGGTTGTAAAGATGATCACGATATTGCGCATATGATGTGGGATTGTGTTGAGTACACTTATCAACAAAGGCCATACTTGGAGAGGATGTGTAAAATGTTGAAGCTATTAGGTTAGTTTTGTGAAAAGCTAGAAAATAGAAATTTTTTATAACCAATTAATGAATTTACTTTTGAAATTTCACCTAACTATTATGCTGTCCACAAAGTCTTTTCGTTCCTTTTCATTGTTTCGTTGAAAAATAACAAATTCACCAATTAACTTATGATTTCCTCTAAATAAAAAGTGTTTATTGCTCAATTTTCATCCAATTTTGGTTGACTTTCAAGCAAATTCGAGAATAAAAACGGGTTTTTCGTAAAAATCTATAGAAACCTCTACGAAGAAATTGGCTTAGTCAATTTCTCTGAAAATTTGGCTATATACCTAACTTTTTATACTCGATCTTTTAGCTATTGATACGAAGATAGGTTCCCTTAGCTAAAGTGTCTAAACCGTTTTCAAGTCGTTTTTTGACTACCCGACTTCAAGCTCCCAAAAAATCAAGCCATAAGACAATTTGAACCGGTTTTAATGTTATTTTGCAGAAAAATGATTGATTTTTCTAATGAAACAAACCGTAGCTCAATTGGTGTATTTGTTATTTTTCAAGGGAAGTACGAAAGGAACGAAAAGAGTTATTCGCCAACCTAATATAAACTCCTTACAGGAAGACGCGACGCTCGAGGGGTTCAATTCAACAATGGTCGCACGCATAACATTCAGACACAAACCTCTAACCCTTCTACGCCATCTGGATCTATTTAAAATTTGAAATTTTCTTTTTGTTCGATAGACATTGAATTTTTTTTTTGTATAGATGAAAAGTGTCATTTATTTGCCTTCTTTCCGCATATTTTCTCAGCTTTTCATCGCTTTATTTGGCTTTTCTCTTGTCTTACACAAAAAAGCTGGTCACTTTTGCACTTTACCCAGAAATGAGTAGTCTCTTTATTTACCTTTAAATTCACTTATTTCAATTAATAGCTTCATATTAAGTTCACCCTTGTTGTTACCATTCCTTTAGGAGCTTTAAGTGATTCAATCTTGATTGATCTTATCCCAACCAGTGAACCACTTCTGCAGCTATAAAATCTTGCATTTACCAGTATTTGTCAACTTAAGTTTCATTGTCAAATATCAAAATCTCTCATTATCAGTAGTGCCTTTGTGAAGATCTAATACCTATTCGATTATCCATTTTCTATTCGTTCTTGTTCCCATGCTAGAACCAACAATTTGTGATGACATCGTTAATCTCATCTTCATTTTACTGCTCTCTTTTTCATTCAAATCACGATTTTCGTAGAATTTTTGTTGATAAAGCCCTTAAACCAGATAATTTAAATTTTCAATCATCCAGGGCAAGCAATTTTTGAGCTCAATCTCAAGACAGACAATGTTATAGAAAGGATTGATAATTTACATAATTTGATCTTTATTGTTTACTTCACTTAGTCACTTATACATGCCATATCGGGAAACCAATCATGACAAAATTTTTTCCCGTTTTCATCGATCTGATTTTCTTTTACAGAATCAAGGCGCTCCGATACGACTTTTGCCACTGTGTACATGCAACGAGTTTTCTATAATATAAGTTTTTCATTGAACAAACTTACTCTAATCGTTTCAACTTACGCTTTCTATTATATCCGGTAAATCGGGATAGATTTGACATCTCTTGAAGAGTTCTTTCGTGATCAACGTTCTGTTTGAATTCATTTCTTCATCTTGAGAAGTCGAAACAAAATCTTTAACCCAGCGTAAAGTCAACTGAAAATGATAAACGTCGTATCAAATTTGTGAACCTTCGACTTACTGGACAGAAATCGCAAAAAGAGATCATTGTGAGGCGATATGGAGGAAGAGGTGGTGGTTGAGGAGTGTCACTGTCACTACACAAATGAGTTCCCGTTGTTTCACGAATCCATTCACAATATTGGACGACATCCGTAAATGATTCTAAACAAAAACTCAAATATAGAGCAAAAATAAGCAATTTTTGACTGAAATATAGAGCAAATGTACGTTAGCTGTACCTGGCTTTGAGCTTCGATAGAAACAAAGTCCTGACCCACTTGAGATCACTCCAATCAAAGTGTTTTGCCTGAATAGCGGACCGCCAGAGTCACCCTAAAAGCTATCCAGAAAGTCTTTTCATTCCTTTTCATACTTTCTTTGTAAAATAACAAATTCACCAAGTGAAAAGACTTTCTGGACAGCCTAATATATTGAAAAAAATTTCTAGCGAATTATAAAATCCTGACCGTAAAACTATTCATTGTCAGCTGTAAATTTGCTTTCAAAGGAATGAAACAATCAAAAAAAGTCAGTAATTTTAAAGGTGATCTGGGCGATCTTCTTCTTCTACTTCTTTCTACTCACCGAACATCCACCTCCTTCATCGCGATAAGCACAGAATTGAGTCTCATCAACCAAAAGCGTTTCTGACCTTCCTTTACACTCCGTATGATTCCAGATGATTCTCATGACAATTCCTTGTAACATTGGCGGAGTATAATCACCTAAATGTTTGATAAAAGATTAAGCAAGAGATCTGTCACTTATATTCACATATCCCCATCCAATCATGAATGCTTCGTAAGAGAATGGTCTCTTTTTTGGGAGAAGAATCCGTTTCACGTTATCATTCAAATCAAGCGCTTTTTCTAGCTGAACAAAAGCTTTCTAGCTGTTTTTGAAACTTGTTTAACTTGAAACTTTTTAAACTTAGACTCACCAAAAGCAATGCAATATCCCCAGACAAAAAGCTGCTATTTGATTCGAGTACCTTTGTGGTGTTAGGGTAGTAGAATTGCTCAACTCGTCGAATTTGCTAAATTGCAGGAGTAGAAAGTCTAGAAAAAGAAGATAACGTGTGTTTTGTCGAAATTCGGTTTGATTCGATTTGTGCCAACGACAATAAAGATTGATTTTGGATCACGTAAGCTAAAGATTTCTCTGACCTTTTTTTTTCAGATTGATTACACTTACACTTTTCTCCCATCCACTTCCTCAGCCAAGCAGTGTGCTGCTGTCAAAATCCAGTGTCTTGCAATAACCGATCCACCACAAAACAAAGTCGACCTTAACCTTCTTTTTTCGTTAACCCAAATTTATTACCCAGTTGCTTTATTGTCGAAAAGCCCAGCCATGAATGGATATTTTCCCTGTTCCACCTCAAAGCCATTGTAGATCTTGTTATGGCGATTAAGCTATAGAAAAATAAAACTATTGAATAAGTCATTGAATTGAATTATAAAATACCGGGACTTCTGTCAAAATTTTCGGAAACAGAAGTGCAATTGCAAAACTCGAAAAGAATATAGACATTTTGATCACTTCATAAACGTGGTATGTTTTTGAGAGAAGACAAAAATAAGGCAAAAATCGTATCAGCAAAAATAAGGCTGGCTGTGAATTTAATGACATGAATCGTACAAAGGCAAAAACTATTGTTGTGGTTCATTCGAAAAGTGATTCATGAGTGATACACAAGGTTAAATCAAAAACTTAGGTTTGTTTAAAACTTAGGTTGGTGAAGTCTTTACGTTTCTTTTCGTACTTTCGTTTAAAACCAACAAATGCACCAATCCTGTTAAAACCAGCAAAGACACCAATCATTTGAACTGATATGACTGTGCTGAAGTACTGTCTGTTTCACGTATTATTGTTAAATAGTTAGTTAGTCAATAGTTAAACTGTCAATTGTTAAACGTTTCATTGAAAACCATTTTGCAAAATTTATTCCTCTTCTCAAATGAAATAGAAAAGACGGAAGCACAAGTCGTTCACTTGTTTTTGAATGACAAATCCCGCGTCTTCTCCATCCACTCTTCCCCAAGACACATCACCATAATGTTCACAATTCCAATTCGGATAATATGTTTGAACAATGACTGCATGGGAAAAGAAGTAGTCTTTGTCTCCATTTGGGAAGTACCCAGCTTCACGCAGTTTCGCAGTGATTTCGTTCACTTCATTGTTTGAATCAGCTGTTTCACTGAATATCTTTCTGATCATAAAGCCAAAGATAAAGAAGGGGTAGGCTAGTTTCCGCAACTCAGGCTCATTTGCGCAACTGGGTCGTTTGCGCAACTCACCATAACTTTCTTCTAAGTGGGCTAATCTTTATGATTTTGGTCCCATTTTGTTGGACTTATTGAGATCTACAAAATGGGACCAAAATCATAAAGATTAGCCCACTTAGAAGAAAGTTATGGTGAGTTGCGCAAACGACCCGGTTGCGCAAAAGAAATTGCGGTAACTAGCCTATCCCATAAAGACAACACAAAGACAACAATCTCATCAAGCAACTCAGCTTTTAAATGCCTTCTCCTAAACTCACTCAATGATACGTTCAATGTTTGGTGTCCATTGTTGAATGAGTTCCTTTGCACGAACAATTTTTTCAGAAGCCCCATCTTTTTGATATCGCATCACCAATCCGTTGATCAAAACAAGTTTCTTTGGAGGTGCTTCAAATTTACTACAAAAATGTAGATTATAAGAGTACACGGTAGAGAAGCGAATATGCATTCCTTGCCACTCATAAAGACCACTCGGTGGATACATAATCACTTGTGTACCAAGTCTAGATGTTTAAAGTTGAGAATCCTTTAAGCAAGATAGAAATTTTAAGCTTTCGAAGTGGATCTTAAACGTTAATCATCAAATCCAACGCTTACTTTGGATCAAGTGATGTCGTTGCGTCAAGTCGGACCTTGATAGCATTGGATAATTGTGAATGCAGTGTTCTCAGGTCAACAGCTCCATTCCAAGCTTCAATCTCTCTTAAAGCTATCCACGCATACTCATCAAGCTAAATATTGTTTTAACATTTGAAGCCGTACCGTGACCAACTTCAGATGAAGCTGCAAATGAAGGTCATTGATAAATCATTGTTCGATATAAATGGTTATTAGCTTCTTCAAATGTAAGCACTTACCAAAATTTATGAACAGTAAGACAAAGAATAAGATTCTTTTATTAATCAGCATGAGAATCATGCTTGTAAAATCAGTCAAACTTTTTCTAACCAAATATCGAAGCTAGGACTGCTTGTGAATACAAATGCATTCCCTTGTCCAAATGTTTATAATGTATAAAAAAGTAATAAAAAGAAAGTATACAAGGTTTATTTCGTGAAACACAGCCCACTAAAGTACAATTTATAAAGAAATTTGTTTGAATGAAATGAGGAAAGAACTTGTTACAACTTGTTGGAGGGAAAAATGAACACACAGTCAAACGTCGTTACAAACTATTTTAGGTTACAGTTATGTTTAGTCGTTTAAAAGTTTAGTCCAAATTCAATTCGATTTGAATTCGAATTGAAGGGACCCTGAAGGAAAGGACTAACGAGGCTCAGCTAGAACTTTAGAGAAAAAAAGGGTATAAGGGATTAATAGACAAGTTTTCATATTTCAAAAATCTCTCAACCATGTTGTGCTCATGTTATCTGGATTAGAGCTGTGGGATTTTGAAAGTGGGAATGTAATCAGGGGAATTTGTTATTTTCAGCTCAAAAGCGAGAGGGGACACAAAGTTCTCTTTCCAAAGAAAGACTACCTAGAGGTAATCTTATAATACTGCCTCCAATAGGACACTATCCATTTTACCATTGAAACACTGTCCATTCTTCTATTGTAATCCATTTTCCTTCATCATTTACAATCAAAACTCATTTATTCAGTGCCAAAACGACAAAAACACGCTGAAATTCGCAAGATTCAGAGCTTGGAAGAAAATTAGAAGAAAGAAATTGCGTTGGAAGCAATGATGAAAAACTCTTGTTTTTACTGGAATTTTTTTTGATGAATCGTTTTTGCCTTCATTTTGTTTGACGCTTTGTTTGACTTTATTTGGAACACAATGCAGAATGATGACCACACAAGAAAGCGATGTGGTCCCAATGGAGAGAACCACGTAGATCCCTGAGATCATTGATTGTGGTTAGCCGTTGAATTTACCAAGCAATGGAAAGACGTCGGTCTTTGGGATTGATGTTGACAGCATGTCCAACAAAACGGTCATCGAGATGAGACTCGTCAAACCGATGCTCAACTGAAAACACAAAACCGTAAAAACTTTCATAAAAGCGAATTTTCTATGGAGTCCGAGTGAATAAATAATTTAACTTTTAAACAGGTTTTGGCACGTTTTGGGCTAAGGGCTATCGTTTAAAATAGTTTTTTGAACAGTTTTCAAAATTATAATTCATGCCGGAGACCCTTACCTACTTTTTTTTGGCTGGCTGATTTTGGAGGATTGAAAAATAGAAGCACCGGCGCTTCTATTGATTGTGGTTAGCCGGCGCTTCTATTAGAGTTTTACGCTAATGTACTTGTCAACATTATAATTAGATAAGCTATTCATAAAGTTTTTAAACTTTTACTACATAAATCACTAGAAGTCACTATTTCTCAATCCTTCAAAATCAGCCAGCCAAAAAAAAGCAGGTAGAAAGCAGGTAGAAACGTAAAGTACACGTGGCTTCGCATCGAATCGGTGCCTGGTGAAACCGGACCAAGGCATTTCAATTCGAAAATCTTTCATTTTCGTTTCGATTTGATTCGATCTGTTATTGCGTTGTGTATTCTGTTTATATTGATGTTAAATAAATGTAGTTGGAACTAGAGCAGATCAAAAACTCGTGCGCCACCGGGACTCGAACCCGCAACCTTTCGCTTATCGAGCAATTGTGCTAACTATTACACCAAAATGTACTCGCTCTCCCGCACTCCAGAGGAAGTTAACTATGTATTTTTATAGTGAAACAAAAGTAATTCGATTCGAAAAGTCAGACTATTGTATTGGGTTGATGGAAAAGTCGTTTCCGATTTTATGGGAGAGTACCTTAAATTTATCCAATTTTGACGTTTTATACCTCATCCTAAAGCTGAATTCAAGACGGATCGATTGGTAAAAACCGTTTTGAGATATCTCTTTTTACAGCTATTTTAGTAAAGGGCGGCAGAGCCAAAAAATGGCTGTTTTCACGTTTCGTTAGTTTTCCGTGCAGAAACCTAGGCTAAAAACATGTGTTTCGTGATCGGCGTCAAAAATAACCCCTACAACGCATTTTCAGAATCTTAGCAAAAAATTTTTTGAAAAATATTGTCACCGGTGGAAGTCGAACCAGCGACCCTCAGATCAATAGCCTTTCCGCCGCTTTTCGCGATTTTCCTTCGTTTTTCCCCTTTTTTTTGTTTTATCATTTTTTTTATGTTGTTAGAAGGCTTTTTTCAGGAATGTCGTGTCAAGTTGAATCGGAGGAGCACCAGCGACACCTGTTTTTGTATGCATTCAATCGAAAACTCAATGCCTGGTGGCTTGTTGAGCGGTGGAAAGAAGTCCTGAATAAGAACAAAAATTTTTTGCTAAGATTCTGAAAATGCGTGTCTAGGGGTTATTTTTGACGCTGATCACGAAACACATGTTTTTAGTCTAGGTTTCTGCACGGAAAACTACCGAAACGTGAAAACAGCCATTTTTTGGCTCTGTCGCCCTTTACTAAAATAGCTGTAAAAACTTTTAGAAAAGAGATATCTCAAAACGGTTTTTACCAATCGATCCGTCTTGAATTCAGCTTTAGGATGAGTTATAAAACGTCTAAATTGGACAAATTTAAGGTACTCTCGCAAAAAATCGGAAAGGACTTTTCCATCAACCCAATAGATGAAGTAAAGAGGATAAAGAACCTTTCCCATTTGCTGTTGTTGATAGTTGGGTGTCCAGAACATTCCAACAATCGAGAGCAAGGTGAGGGTGAAAGTTGGAAAAGCAATCATGATCACGTAATAGTTTGGAACTCTTCTCATGTCGACATTGAATACAATCGGAAATTCATTTCTTTCTTCACTTTCTTTCAGATGGTGATAGTTTGATGCTTGATGAAAATTCCTTTGACATAGACTTTAGTAGGGTAAAGTGAAGGATTATAAAACTTATAGTTTGGTTTATTAAAATAAAATACTAGGCAATGTTTTCAAAAGGATTTTAATCGACATAATCGAGGATGAAACTTTTGAAAGATTGAAACAGACCACTTGCATCTCGCCATACATCATTTCTCCATAAGAAAGATTTGTCACCACCCATTCACCATTTCCCTAAAACGGTTCAAAAATTTACAAAGTTTTTTCACTAACCGAAATCACCATTGGATCATCGTAATTCTCGATTTTTGCCGTCAATTGAGCAAGACTTAAATTCTCAATTTCAAAGAGAAACTTTTTATTCTCACTCAGTCAAAGTCAGAGACATGATTGGGATTTGGCATTGTTGTTTGTCGAAAGGGAATTTGCTGATCTAGAATATTGATATTAAGAAGCATAAAATTTAAAAAGCTGACTTTTTCGAGTAAAAGAGTAAAAGCTGACTTTTTCGAATCGAATTGGTTTTGATTGAAAGCCAAAAAGCTTTGAATCGGCTCGATTTTGATCGATTCATTTGGAAAATTAATTAAGCATAGGCTTGAAGCGATATTGTGCTCAATTGATAGCAAAGAAGCCTATGCAGCCAAGCTAATCGTATAATATGAGAGCTTCGAAACTATAAAATTCTTATTTTGCCAAAAAACTTTGTAAAAGCAACTCGAAAGTAACTAACTCAAATAAGAAAATAATACCTCAATTTCACAGGAAACTTCGACGTAGTAGAAGCTAAAGATGACAGTCGTTCCATTGCTATAGATCTTAGCCATTCGATTTCCATCCGGATGAACAGAATCCAGAGATTTTCTTAAGTGATAGTTTCTATGTTCAAATTCTACTATTGATGAGCATCTTCACGACATTGGAAAGACGAACTGATGCGGGAAATGGCTTTTCTTAAGCGGAAATCTAGTTTATTTTGATACCAAAAACAAAATCATAGTAATCAAGCGAACATTTGAGCTTTATATACAGTGGTCCACAAAAGTATTGTCCAAATCCAAAAGTTTCTTTCGTACGAAAATCTTGCAAAAAAAACGATATTCCCAAAAAGTGTAGGGGTATTTTGCTTACGGTTGAATTTTGGTAGGCAGAACAATCAACTTCCTTTTTCAGATAGCAGAGATTGCCACAGAGAGTTGAGCCGGCTGGGCACAAGCCATCAACAGGCACTGAAATAGATCAGCTTTTATGCAATCTGTCAAGAAAATTATAGCACCTTTTGTTTAGAGGACAGTGGTCCACAAAAGTATTGTCCCATTGCCATCCAAAAGTTTCTTTCGTACGAAAATCTTGCAAAAAAACGATATTCCCAAAAAGTGTAGGGGTATTTTGCTTACCCATAATACTCTACTTTTCTTGTCAGCCATTTAAATAATGAAAAAAAACATTTAATGTTCATAGAACGCGAAAATAAAAAGAATAATCAAGGAAAACATCAATGGGACATTACTTTTGTGGAGCTATTTGTTAAGTAACTTATTGTTTTTGTTTTATACTTTAATTTTTCTGCAATTTATAGGGATAAATCTTATAATCTTGAAAAGTAGAGTATTATGGGTAAGCAAAATACCCATACACTTTTAGGGAATATCGTTTTTTGCAAGATTTTCGTACGAAAGAAACTTTTGGATGGCAATTGGACAATACTTTTGTGGACCACTGTCTGTCCGGCTCTACAGGGTGCGCGATAATTACCCGCACAACATTTCATAGGCAGGCCCATATTGTTAAAAGTTATTTTTTTCCTCTCTTTTTACTGGACAACATTCTTTTGTAGTTCTTCTCTCTGTTTTATTTCGTAATTCATTTGAAATTTTTAGTTGAACGTAAAATGGTGAAGCCATCGGCAAGTCGAGGGGCGATACTCGATCTTCATCAAAAGGGCGCTTCTCCACCCGACATCATTCGACGACTCGAACTGCCTCGGCGTACGGCTTATGATGCTATCGCACCACAGCAAAATACCCCTACACTTTTTGAGAATATAGTTTTTTTTGCAAGATTTTGGTACGAAAGAAACTTTTGGATGACAATGGGACAATACTTTTGTGGACCACTGTCTGTCCGGCTCTAAACTAGCAAAAAACAGGGTGCGTCTATAATTTTCTTGGCAGATTGTATAAAAGCTGATCTATTTCAGTGCCTGTTGATGGCTTGTGCCCAGCCGGCTCAACTCTCTGTGGCAATCTCTGCTATCTCAAAAAAGGAAGTTGATTGTTCTGCCTACCAAAATTCAACCGTTTACCAAAAGATTGGCTGTAAGTGATGTTAAGATTAGGTGTTTGTTAAGACCGCCACCGCTGCTCGTAAAGACTAAGACCGAATTCGATTCTAATCTAATTCTAATCTAATTCTAATCGAAATGAATCTAATCGAATTCGAACATCGCACCTCGAACACCAAGTTTCTGCTTATTAAGCGAATTTGATTTTAAAGAAAAGCAAACATTTTGGCAAACACTCACGCATTGCCAATTTGATGATCGGGCGTCCAAATGAGTTCCAGGCCTGTGAAGGTGGATGGGATTCCGGCAAATTTCGTGGAATTCCACGATAATCTTGGATCTTTCCAGCTCTAAAATTTGATCCTTTCTATAAATCCTTTGCTTTCCCTGTACCAAGTTGAATTCCAAGCATAGACTGAGAATTTGACTTTCTGCATTCTGAAAATCTTTGCTACAGTTTAAAGTGCGGAAAAATAAGGGTTGGAACTATTGAAACAATCAATTTATCTCAAGAAATATCTATAAAACTCGACTTAGCCATTTATGAATTGTTTGTTCTTTATAAAGAAGTTAAAAGTTTTGCTGTAAGTGGAAGATCAAGAATGTTTTTGAAAAGTTGTCGAGATGACTCACTAAACTAAACATTTTTAGGTAACGAAGCATGAATTCCACACGTAAACGCTCTTCTGTTGCATCTAAGTGAATGAATGAAAGGAATCGTTACAAAAACAATTGAAAACCTTCAAAATTGTCGAATATCGTTGGATAGATAGGAGAGACGAATTTATTATATTTTCTTCTGATAAATAGCTCGTTGTGTAGATTATTTGCATGATTAATATACTCAAAGTATTTATCTAAACAAAGCACTTTCTATTAGGTTGTTCGGATATAAACGAGCGTTTGCACCGCTTAACTCGTGAGGAAGCCATTTCCCGCATCAGATCGTCTTTCCAATAGCGTGGAGATGCTCATCAATAGTAGAATTTGAACATAGAAACTGTTGAGAAAGTTCGCGCGTCGTTTGACATGGATCCGATTCGATTGCAGCCCTCAAAATATCGTTGTCTACCGCTTGAGATCGACGAGAGTGTTCATCATCCTCGAGACTTTCATCACCATTCCGAAAGCGTTGGAATCAGACTCGGCATCGGCTTTCGGACAATACATCTTCCTAAATGCTTTGACCAAATCTCGATGGGTTTCCGCGACTGTTTTGCCCAGTTTGAAGTCGTAAAGTAGGCATGCCTAGTTTGCGCAAGCTTGATATATTTGAAGTCGGTCATCTAAAACCAGAAAAAAGATCTTAAAAATAAGAAATTATCCGTTTAAAAAGATTCCAAATATGCACAAGATAACGTACTCTTAAATACAGAAGGACATGTTTTGACAGAAAGACATGTCATGACAAAAGCTTCTCTCACAACAATAAGTTTAGCAACGCTTGTTTATATCCGAACAACCCAATATTTTCTAGAATAGAGAAATTTCGTACCTGAAGCTCCAATCTCTGTGGAATTGAATTGCGGGAAACAGAGTTTTGAAAAAAATGATAAAAGAAAAAGATTGAAATTGATTGTTCTTAAACAAGTCATAGAATTATTGGCATTTCGAATAATGAAGAAAAAAGCTAAGTGATGTGGAAATTTGATCCCAATCACTTCAATTTTTTATGTCAACAATATTGTCAATGGCCGCTTTTAAAAAAAAATACAATATATTTCTTAAAGAATTAAAAAACAATAACCAAATAGAGTTTGGAAATCTACCTTATCTTGGTTCGTGTTGGGGTCATGTTCCCGGCTTCGTGACTCATTGAGAACTGCTCAGAAATCATAACTACTCAGGTCCGCAGATGTACAGGGTGAGACATAATTACGGCCTCACGCTTTTTTGTAAATATTTCAGCAATTTTTTGAGCGATTCACACAAACTCTTTTTAAAATAAAAGATTAAGGAGTTTTTCTATGATAGGTTTTTTGGTTTTTGCTGAAAACTCAATTGGTTTCATTTTGGGACGTCTCAAAGTTCGCTCCTCCGACAAGCTCGGCGCACATCTCATTTTGAGATTTTCGGGTTTTGTCAGCTCCGAGCCAAACTGATATTTTAGTTACTATTGTTATTATTGAATGATTTGTCTATTCTTATGCAAATGTGTCCTCCCCTGTGCTTATCCCTTTTATTGCCGAGAAGGGGCGGTCCTTGGGATTGCCTAGGAGGACAGTGAGGAGCCTAGCAGGACAGTAAGGAGCCTAGGAGGACAGTGAGGAGCCTAGGAGGACAAGGGAGACTCTCATTTGGAGCCCCCTTCCCCTTACACTTATTTGTAATCTATTCATCTGATTGTATTACTGTAAATAAAGATACGTATCTTCCGGGTTTATGCAACTACAATACAGGTCGGTCATTTCACAGGGACTCCCCTCTAATATGTTGGAGGAGTTGAGTTGGGTTGTCGGGGTGTTAGAGATGGCGGGATATCAAAAGGGATCCACTCTCTTTAACTTAACCCAAATTCTAGTCCACATCCGTTTATACCTAGGAACGTATAGTTTACAAAAAGCGCTCTAAAAGGTCTTTGAGCTTTTTTTTAGTGTTTATTATATTAGTTCACTATCCACATTAAAATTAAATATGATGATATGAAATTAAATATTTAATATGAGTTTATATAGTTTTTAAATAGTGTTGCTTTTTTCGATCTTTCGAAGCCTTTTTATACACATTTTTCGGTTAAGGGCGGACACTTTTTGGCTGTTTTTGGTTTTCGATTGACGAAAGAGTAGCATTTTAATATTTAAGCCAACGTGTTCTTGAAAGTTCCTTTTTATTGAGAGAACTTTATATCACAACAAGTTTTAGACAGCCAACGGCAACAATAAATAATGTACAATACAAAAATATAGGTATAAACTTATTCAACAAGTAACTAACAACAGTAAAATAACAATAAGTGAGGGAATATGTGAAGGGGGAAATGAATGAACCGAGAAATGAGTCACAATCGAATCATTCCTTCAAGCTCACCTTTGAGAGCAGCATCTCGATGTATTTGGCAGTGTCGATTTTCCCTCCTGAAAGTAAACTTACATGTAAATTGTTTCAATTGATCTTTCAATTGATCTTTCAATCGTATTTCCTCAAAACTCATATAGCTTACTTTGATTTGTTCTCAGGAGAGAAGATCCGAGCTCGGAGATGTCAGTGGACAGATGAAGCTCTGAAAATTGAACTTTTCTGGCTAAACTGGCACTGTTTCATTCATAATTTCAAAACTAAAATCATATTTTACCGACTTAAGCTACTAAAGTCGTTTAATCTCACAAGTACAACGTTTTTGTTCAATCAAAACCATACCAGAATCCCCGATAAATGCTTGGTCCAATGAGCTGCCCGTTTTCGCGGAGATTGTTGAGGAATTGGCTGAAATTAATCAAATTTTCTAGAAAATACTTTGATCTTTCAAAGAAATAGCCTTTAAGACTTACTTGTTGTATTTGCCTCTCGTTTCTCACTATCACAGAAAGCATCATTCATGTAATCAACCATTGAAACGGATACATTGGGTTTCTGCAGTCGATCCTCTAGCTCCTCACAACGTAGACGCAGGGTTTTCACCTGAAATTTGTCTTCTTTATTAAATCAGAATTTGTAACTTGAATGTTTGTAATTTGTAACTTCTTTTACGCGTTTCAAGTCATTTTAAAATACCTCCAGCTCAAGTAGACAAATGCGACGACGAAGAGCCTTCGATTCTTCCGCGAATTGCTCGTAGAACACTTCGAGTTTCTCGTCGAGTGATAGACTTGAATCAAAACGACCACCAACATCTTGTAAGGAAACATCAGCCAGTTTCTCATCAAGATTTTCCTTCGATCGTTGGGTATTCGAAACATCTTTCAAAACAGATGCTTTGGATCTGGAATATCATATTTTTTATGGACTTTTAAATGCAAAAGCGTTACCCTCTTGTGGTTGTCTTGATTGTGTTCAAGCTCTCAGAGCGATTTTCGGAGAAGATTTGCCCGGGATTTTTGTAGGAAAACAAATCCGGTGTCTTTCTTTGTGGCTTTTCAATGAAAATCTCTTCTGATTGATTTCGGTGAATCACTTCGTGGGAGTCATTTGAGCGGCAAGCGCTAAAAAGTTATTGTTTATCATTGTTTGGTAGTAAAAACTCCTGAGTCTGGTTAAAACAATTCTATATACAATTTCATAGTCTTTCACCTGCTTTTCATCGGTTGAGTTGCGTCGAAGCCATCACTGAAGAAAACATGGTTTGCGATGTTTCCAGGCAAGAGTTTAGGAGTGGAAACTTTGTCGGCAGTCACTCCTTCGTAGATTTCATCCAAGTGGCTTCTAGAAAGGTTTTATTGAACTGAAATGTTAGTAATGGGTCGTCTAATGCTTTTTAATTTCTCAATACCGAAACAAGAAAAAATTTTTTGTGATCTCCTCACATTTTTGTTTTTATTTGCTTGCATGCCAAAATATACCACTTTTTAAATATAACAATTTCGGCATCTTTCTTTTCTTTTTTTTTCTGTTTTTTACCCATAAAACTTGAGGAATAGCTAGCGGAATGATTTTTCGAACGACCCCCCCTTTGTGCGTCAAATTCCCAAAAGCTGACAAATCAAAACTTTTTTCAAAATGGGGAGTCTTCCTTTCATGATATATAACTATTCGTTCTTGAGAATTTACAAAAGTAAAACGCCATCCGGCCCCCACAATATGACATAAAATCTTGATTTACTTACCGATTTCTCTTTGGCGTTTCAAAATCATCATCTTGATCTTTATAGAAAATGTGACTTGAAATATTTCGAGGAATCCTTTTGGGTGTGTCTTTTGCGGAAAAGCTAGAAAAGTTTTTAAAGATTTTAAGCTAAAAACTATCGCTTAAACTTTAGAGTTTAAAACTTAATACAAAATTAAAGTTGATTTTCAGAAGCTAACCTCTTTGATCGTCGATAGGATTTTCCCCGCATTTCTTCAAAATGCGAGACAAGCTTGAAGACGGACATCTTTTTCGATCAAATTGATGACAAGGTAGTTGTGGTGAATGAGTGAATGAAATGCCATCAATGTCACCCATTCTTTTCACATCTGTCCTAGAATATTTTCAGGGCAATTTTGTACAATTTGTACAATTAACGAGTCTCCCCTTCAGTAATTTCCCCTTGTGTTTCCCCTCAAGAAAGTCCAGATGTTAAAGGTTAAAGGATTTAAATACTCTTTGTGAAATTGAATACTCAAACCTTCCTTTACTCTATATAAATACTCAAAACGAGATCTTTTATAATCTAAAATTTAATTTAAAACCATTTATTCAGAAAGGTCATTAGTAAACGAAAAATCATTGCAGTTCACTTCGCCAGATACAACAAAAGAACCAGTAGATAAATTAGAATAGTAACCTCGTAATTAGGGAAAGTTTAAAAATAAGGGTAGAACAACACAAGCACAACACAAAGATTGAAAACTTTTGAAATTGGAAGTGGTTCAGTTCTGGCCATTGAGTTAAACAGTGAGTGGAGCACGATCGTCTTGCTGCTCGTTCCAAAGTTGGAGATCTCTGAAATGCATTGCTGGCTTTGTTTTGGCTTTTTTCTTGAAATCTTGACTAGTTACACAAAGAAAAAGCTCTCACCTGATATAGCAATAGTAAGAATAAACAAAAGTGATCATCCAAATCGACACTGGGAGAGCGAAACAGAAGAAGAACAGCGAGTAGGCTAAACCAGTATTTTTCAAGATTCATTTTTTTCACTCACCGATCAGAATATGCAAAATATGTTCCTTATCATGTTTCTTTTCTTCTGTTTCAGGCATTTTTCTAAAAATTTCTATCAATTAGCTTTAAGAAAGATTTGTACGAATAAAGAAGAGCAAGGGCGATCATGACAAGAATGTGGAGAATGATGGTGAAGACACGGTTGATTAGCTGAAATAGAAAAGTCTAACTTTTTACAGAAGGATTCGCTCTATTCAATTATTAGTATATAAATTTCAAACCAATTTACCTGAAAAATCCAGAAGATTTGCATATAGAAGGGCCGCTTTGTGTTAATGGCTAAAACGGCCAAAACGACAACAAGCACTTGGAGAAAAACATCAACCTGAAAGAGATTCAGATGGCTTATTTTTATGAAACAAACTGTCAATATTGTTAATTGTTCTGATTGTTCATTGATATTTTCTAGTAAACGAACCCAATTTCCCGGTGCCGCTTTGTTATTTCCAATGAAGAGATCGATGAAGAGAACGCCAAGACTGACGAGATTGAGAAGGATGACAACGGTGAAGCATCTCTATAATACCATAAAAAAACTCTAATAGACGGTCATGACCGTCTATTTTTCCAACCTCTTAAAATCAAGCGCTCAAAAAAATATTGGGTTGGTGAATTGAAAACTGCCGGACTTTGAACTAAGATTTATTCAACATAAAACCATGAAGTCATTCCAAATAATTTCCATTATTATTGACGACTTCTGCTCATTTTACAGGCAATTTGCGGATTCCTCTTTCGTAGTAGGATTTTGGTTTGTGTGTGAGACAAGTGTGAGACTCAAAAATCGAGGACTGAAGATGTCCCAGTTTGAGCATTTGAGCACTTTCTTCAAAAGGAACCCATTTTGGTGTCAATAGAAAAGTTGTAGAGAATCAAAAATTAGGCTTATAGCCAAATTTCCAAAAAGATACACTTAATAGTTTCGCTTAAAATGCAAGTTTTGTTGCAGGTTTTGTGAAAATTCGTAAATTTGGCATTCCTTGAAAACCAGTTTTTGAATCGTTCTGAAAATTTGGATATAAGCTTGATTTTTGATTCTCTACAACTTTTCCATTGACACCAAAATGGGTTTCTTTTGAAGAAAGTGCTCAAACTGGGACCTATGACAATAGCCCGCAGTTTTCAATTCACCAATCCAATAAACCTATGAAATAGCAAGCTAGCAAGGATTTTCTTCTGCTCATTCGATTCAACCCAATCATAATACAGATCTAATCCTCACAAATCTCAAATCACTCCTTCATCTTCAATTTTGGCAAATGGATTGATCAATTCACGCAAAAAAGGATCGAAAAAGTTCGAAGAGATCGGAAAAGAAAGAGAACTTCGGGTCGGGGGGCCATCTATTGGAGAGTGGCCGTCAAATAGAGAGTGATTGTCTATTAGAGTCTATTAGAGTTTTTACCATATGTCTTTTCCTTATTCATTGGTAAACTTTTGATGATCTAGAAATCTAATCACATTGTTTTATCTTCCTAATGAACTTTATTCCAACTGGGAATAAACAAATTTTAACAGATAAAAGCTCTACAGATTGCCTACAAATTTGGTTGCTGACTGATTGGCTAAAAGTCTACAGCATTATTGTTTGTTTGTGCAATTCTTTGAGTCTCACCTCAGTACTGAAGCCGCCACAACAACAGCGATAATCTTCAGATTGAGGCTCACTCTCGATGATTTTGTTGGGACGCCATACCCACATTGGGCCACCGGTTGCTGACATTCTGCAAAAGAATTAGCATTCTGTGAAAAATCATTCAATGAAAAACAATCAGAAAGGGAGTTTTTGAAATCATTCGTTTTTTTGAAATCTTTTTTCTTTTGAATTCCCGCCCTGATTATGAGCTTTTAAAAGTTTTCCCTACGGAGCCAGAGAATCATTCACAAACCCAAAAACAACAAATCAAAAAGATAAGTTAAGTCTCGAGAACTGGATAGAATCAGGGTTTATGCAAGGAAAAACGGTTGTGAAAGCGTTTGTTTACGGGACTTGGCCAACGATATTTTTCTTTTTCTCTCTCATTTTCTCAGATCTCTCGGATGATCAGCGCCATTCCTTCCCTATCTCTGTTCTCCACAATCGTCTCTATTTTCGGTGCTCTTTCCCCCTTCTGGGTCACCGTTTGGCTTTTTTGAATGATGGAGCGTATGGATGTGAGTCATTGTTGTCAATCCCTCATTTACATTCAAATCAATGGGAATAAGTGGTTTATTCTGGAACAGTGGAACAATAGAACAATTGGAGATTTTCAAATCAAACAATTTTGACTTAAATTGGTAGGAAAGTTCAGAAATAAGGAAGATTTAAATTTTATATAGTTTTTGTACGATTGATTTTGTATAGATTTCCGACAATGGATTGAATGGAGTGATTACTTTTGTCCCATTTGTCTCATGAAGTTTTGAAAAGCAAAGACGTCGAGCTAGCTTCAGGCCAAACGGATCACTGTTTTAGGTACAAATATATGTCTTGAAACTGACGATGATTTTTGTAGGCAGCTTGGACAAGTATTCGGCATAAATTCCCCTATTGATTGACGTCAGGAGATCGAGCGGGTCAGTCCAAAGTTGCAATGCTGTTGTTGTTCAGCCAGTCTCGGGTGTCTCCGGCTCGATGAATTGACGCGTTGTCCTATTGAAACAAATCGAGAACGGTTGGATTTAGGAGCAAAAAAGGCAACAAGCAATTGTTCAAGACATCTATATAGTCAAAACGATTCATCCGTTTTGACACCATCTTTAGAGCGGTCGTTCCATCGGCACAAAAGGCGGCCCAAACCATCACAGAACCACCGCCAAAGTTTCGTGGCCCAAACTCCATCGGATCATATCAAAGATCCCTCCAATAGTAGTCAACACCATTGTCCTATTGAAACAAATCGGGAACGGTTGGATTTAGGAGCAAAAAAGGCAACAAGCAATTGTTCAAGATCTATCTATTAAATTGGTGGGAAAGTTCAGAAATGAGGAAGATTTAAATTTTGTATCGTTTTTGTACGATTGATTTTGTATAGATTTCCGACAATGGATTGAATGGAGTGATTACTTTTGTCCCATTTGTCTCACACGAGTATCATCGAGAAAACGATTCTCATTATTGGCCTCGGAAAGGGTTAGGATTTGAGCTTGAATTTGGTTCTAGATCTTGATCAGCTGTATAGATTTTTGGAAATATATATAGTTGTTTTAAACCATTTCCAACAGATTATTTATAGATTACAACAGAAAACTTACCGTAAATACTGTAATAGTACCCCACCCCCATAATGACGGTGCGGAGTGTTCCGTAGTCTAGCTTTGAACGAGTTTTTCTCGACACTGGTTTAAGCTAGGGGGGGGGGGGGTGGGGTTGGGGGGGAAGGGTCCTCCCCCCCCATTAAAAAAATTTTTTCCCCCCACACTCCCTCCTTATTATATCTTTTTTTTCAATAAAAATAAAAAACCCTACCTTACCAAAATTTTTTTTTTTATATTTTCCCCCCAACTCTTCCTTTTATATATATCCACAAAAAAAAAAAAAAAAAAAAAAAAAAAAAAAACTCATTCTTTTTTTTTTTTTTTTTTTTTTTAAATTTTTTTTTTTTTTTTTTATTTAAAATTATTTTATATTTCTTATTTTTTTTTTTTAAATTATTTTTTTTATTTTTTTTTTTTTTTTTTTTTTTTTTTTTTTTTTTTTTTTTTTTTTTTTTTTTTTTTTTTTTTTTTTTTTTTTTTTTTTTTTTTTTTTTTTTTTTTTTATTTTTTTATTTTTTTTAAATATATATATATATTTTTTTTTGAAAAAAAAAAATTTTTTTTTTATTTTTTCCCTTTTCCGCCCCGACCCACCCCCCCCAACCCAATACAATGCGCGTTTAGGTATCAAAAAATAGCCCTGAGTTCCAGCTACCAAAGACGCATTTTTTGAAAGTACGGGCCCTTTGAAAAAAATGAAATACAAAAAAACTTTTGCGACTACGCGACTGTACGAGGGGACAGGGGTGGGGTACTATTACAGTATTTACGGTAAGTATTTTCTCAGTGCGAACCATCTACCGTACCCCTATTTGTCCGCCATTTCAAAGCATTGTTTCCCTTGGTCAAATTCGTTGTTTTAGAAGGATTAGCCAATGGTTTGTATTTAAATAAATAGTTAAATAAAGTTCGTCAACTAATCAAATTGCATCATTAACATCAAGGATATCAAGGAAACACATGTTAACAGAAATGATAGCAAAATACTTCAGATTCTCGATCAGGTGGTGAGCACAAGTACTTGCAGCCCTCCTGAAGTACTTGCCTCGTCCAGCTGCAAGGTCATCGAACAGATATTGCACGAATAACGACGATTTCACAATAACCAAAAGTGTGAGTTTTGTCTTGTTCAGTGAATTGAAAGTTGGACTACCAAAAAACAAGCTTTAGGAAGATCTTGGTGGTCCAAACGTAGCTAAAGATGGTATCAAACCAACAAAACTTGGCATCAAACCAAAATCTGATGATGGAAAGCACCACGGTAAGCATTGAGACTAACAAATTTGATTTGATTCTATATGATTCTATAAATCTAGACGATCTGAATAGTTTAGTATTTACTTCAGATTATCCAACGGCTGTCGGTACCATTGCTGTGATTGGATCGAAGAAGAGGTGATCAAATCCAAAACTACAGAAAAAAATCACAGAAATTCGCTTTCCATAGCAATAAACTTTCTGAGCAATTTCTTATTCTGAGTTTATTTAAATTTACCTGCCTTTTTTAGCATGATTCATAGTGTAAAGCCAAGATTTATTTAGAGTTAACAGAATGCTAAAAGATCAGGTTTATTTCTTGTTGCCGCCTCCATATTGAGAATGGTTAGGGTTGAGTTGATTGGCACGGTTGTTGGTTGAGTGTTGAGGGTGTTGCTAAAAACGGTTAAGTCAAATGAGATTTGAACTTTATAAGGCAAAGCAAAGAAACTCTAATAACTAAGAAAATCTTAAGCTGTTACCGGATTGCTAACAGTGTGCCCTCCACTGTAGGTGGAGTTCATTTGATTTGCACGGTTCTCCGTCGTGTGTTTTGGTTGGTGCTGAAACGATTGATTAAGTCGATATTCTTGCTAGCAAAGATCATAGTAGCTATAGGACTTAGCTTACGCTTTTGGCTCAGCAATATTGCTCAGGTTCAGCAATGATTAAGGAGTTTTGGAAAGCAGGAAAATGTAAGTTTGATTTTGGCATGGCAAAACAGAACTCGTACCTTATCGACGGGCATTTTGTTGTCGGATAGCTTTAGAAATGATTTGGAAGAATTCAAACAAAAAGGAATATGAGTTTTACAAATTCTCGTTGCCCTTTTATACGAAAATTACCTGTTGAAAGCTAACTCTATTTCTCTCGTTTTTCTCCATCTTTTCACTCCTCATTTTCCTCGAGTAAGCGATCTTGTTTTGCGGTTTTCTAGAAAAATTTTTTCTTTCGAAACTCTGAACGGAAATAAGGTGTTTATTGAAGAATACGAAAGACTTCTCTGGTTTTTTTTGTAATTTTAATTTCCTAATTAGTGAGAATTTGCAGAGTTTGCAGAGCAGAGTTGAACAAAGCACATTTCACTGGAGTTGTGAAATACAGTCGAACTTCTATAGCGATATGCAAGGGACCAAGAATAAATATCGTTATACAGTCGAACTTCTCTATAACGATCTTCTATATAATGATTTTGAAATTCTAAAAGGTGTCCTTAATTTCTGCGTAGCTGCCCAATTAGGTGCAATCGTTGCCCGCACAGAACAGCTACGCTCTGTAGCTACATTTTCTAATGTGAGGCGCGTTTTAGAATCGTTATATAGAAACTTTTGGTCCCTTCGATATCTTTATAGAGAAGTTCGGCTGTATAGAAATATCGCTATACAGAAAATCGTAATGTAGAAGGAAAAAATCATACGGTTTTTAACGATGTAGAAGATCGTTATAGAGAAGTTCGACTGTAATGTGGCGATCAAGAGGGTACAAGTTTAAAAATACCAAAGTATGAAACATTTTGATAGAAAGAAAACTAAAAATATATCACAGCAAGTCAACTAATTCAAGGGAATTAAGCGAGCGAGAATTGAGGATGAAATGTGGAAAGTTTTGATTGGAATGGATCGAACGGTATTGCAGTTTCTTCATGAAATAGACTTTTATTTAACTTGATTCGACTTGTTGCCTGTATTTGTGCTTACTTTTGCACTGATATTGTACAAAATGTAAAAAAAGACATCTTTGAAATCATTTCATAGATTTAATCTCTCATTGTTTAACCAAGTTTTTAGATTTCCTCCTTTTCATTTTCTGACAGCTGAAGTAGCCGGGGGAGCAACGGTTTTTGGCGTTGTGGTTGTTAGCGCTTTTGTGGTTGTTGTGGCCGTCAGTTTGGCGAGAGCTTCATTGACTTTCGGGATGAATTTCACTGGAATTGCAAAGAGTTAATTAGAAAGGGAGTCGTTCCGTATCTTAGAACGGGAGTCTTTCTGTATCACTCAACTAATGAACAATGACACTCTCACAATCTCATCAATACCAAATCAAACTCTTGAACTTACTCTGAATGTAGACTGAGATAGCTTTGTAGGCGATTGGATCTTGATTTTGAAGATGAGCAAATAACTAAATTAAAAGGCTTAGGTAAGTTAAATTTGTTAAGAGCTTTTTTGCTTACACTATCGGCCATTTCGGGAATCGTTTGATTGTGATTGTTGACAATCGGAATACCGGTTTGGACACAGTTGTGAACCTTGCCAGATAACTGAAAGAAAAGCAATACTTCATGAACAGCTTTAGGAACCAATCATAATCGGAAATCCTTGAAAAAGTTGCTTTCTTTTGACAATGAGTCACCTTTTTGACCTCTGACTCACCTTTTTGACGGCGCTCAAGAAGTTTCGGCTTCTTTGAATGCTCTCACTGATCAATTTCTCAATAACTGGCTAAAAGACAACTGAATGCTTTTACTTTTTGAAATAATAACAATAGTTTTTGTAAACTCGAACCTTAGACGCAGTCGGGAAATAGTTGGGAACAGCGGCAAGCAGGTCACAAATTTGCATTTTGTCCCAGTTGGCCAGGCAGAAGAACTGTAGCTTGTGTGAAGTTGCAAAACGCAAAACAAAACAAACTCACCCCAAGATTCATCGTGTTCACTTGATTTTTGGCAAAGATGTTTAGAAAGGCGTTGGTCCATTGAGAGATAGTGGTTGAATTGATTCCCAGCAATGCGACAGTTGCGGTGGCTGATTGAGTCTGAGCAGTGACCGCTTGACTGGCTAACTGGAAAGATGGCTTAAGAATGGAATAATAAAGAAAAGTGAACCATTTTTGAATTACTAAACCTAATTGTTAGGACAAGACCCGTTTTTCACAGATCCGTGGCTGTTCTTCACTTAATAGAGCACCCCAGCTACCGTACTCCGCCGTCGCACCAACAAAACGAGTATATAAGGCGCTTCCCAGTTCATTTTTCACTGTAACAATCAGAAAATTAGTCTTGAATTTGATTCTTTTATGTTTTCAAAGTATTTATCTTACTTATTGCTTGAAGAACTGATAATAAAGTTGGGTTTTTCATGGAAATATGGTTCTTTTGAAAAAATCCGGATCTTTTTCACATTTATAGTCTTCAACAGTGCAAAAAAAACTTATTGCAAAATAAAATAACATAAAACTATTGGAATAATCAAATTTATGACTAACTTTTGATTGTTACAGTGAAAAATGAACTGGGGAGCGCTTTATATACTCGCTTTCTTGGCGCGACGGTGGAGTGCGGTAGCTGAGGTGCGTTATTAGTGGAGAGCACGGATCTCTCAATAAGAACTGAAGTAGGACAAGTTTTCAAATAAAGTAATCCCAAGTCCAACTCACGACAAGAAAAATGAGCTCCTTCCACATTATTCACAGGCAAAGTCTCACTGTTGGCAAATAAATCGTTTAATGATCTCACTTATGGCTTTTATAGGTTTCAGTAAAGCTTTTCTATGCTTTCAAATCTTTTTTTTCTACTTTGTGCTTTTTGGTGTCCTTTTAGTGGTAAGCTCGCATTTTGAGCGCATTTAATTGCATTTTGACCAAAAATCCGCTTATCGCGGGGTTATTTCTGGGTTCATTCTCATCTTTGATCTATTTCTTCGATCAAATTTCGGCAGATGGATAGATGTGTGGAACGATTTCTAAAAGATCCACTCTAAAAAGTTTTAATGGTCATTTATAATGGAATTCTCGGAATGTTCTTTCAGTTCAGTGGTTTACGGTTGATAGCCAGCAAGCATATTGATTTTGTTGAGTGCATAGTATCTACTATATATAAAAGTGCATTGTCTGTCCGTCCGTGCGTCCAGAACCAACCAGACTGGTCTTGACTATAAAAGAAAAGATATGCACTCAGAAATTTGTCTGAGAATGCTGAAAGTTTTCTTTATTTTGACCGTTCTTGTGAGCTTTGATATACTTTTGGCTCAAAGCTCTGATGATGGTGAAGTGATTGAGAAAAAGTGAATAGAAAGTTTCGCAAACAATGTTCATTCTGTTCCTAAAAGAAAACGTTAAGCAAGCTCTATAGATTAAACTAATACATCCAAATGTCAGCGTTGGGGCATTGGTGCCCGAAAACAGGAACAACGACGACTCAAGAACTGTTTCCACACCTGAATAAAATGCGACCACTGGGATAGACCCGAAATCTTCAATATTGAATTGAATTTGAAAATAAAACCTATTTAATCGTCCTTTCGAAGAATTCAAAGAAGTAATTCAAAGTCTCATTGATTGAAAGCAAAGAATAAACACAGCCAGCTTCCGGAATTGAAAATCATGTACGAGATTTTTAAATAATTGCATGCAGTTCAATTTTGACAGCCGGCTTGGTTCAATGCATTATAAAAAGTTTTTTTTGCACTTTATTCTCCTCAGAGGAATGCCAAGAGCTGATAATAGAAATGGACATCTCGCTTTGGACTTTGAACTTTGGTTACATTTTGACAGAGCAAATATGTATAAAAGTACAAAATGGACATCAATTCCGACATTTCCTTACATACAAAATAACAATTCCGACATTTCCTCACATACAAAATACAAAATAAAGCGATAGCTTGGCTGCTTCTTCGTTTGCTACAGTTCTAAGAGAATAATAACAAAAACCTTTAGCTTTACTGCTCATTTCTAATCTTGGCAATGCCTTGACTGTTTGTACTGAATGTCCAAGTGAAGTGAGGCTATGAAATGTGTTTTGAAAAGAAAACTGTTTAGGAATTTGGTTGGTTAGATTACACTATCTGGTTAGATTACACAAACTGCTCAAGGAATTGTGGCCTATTCGGTCAGAAGGTCAGATTTGATCTGAGAAGTTGTCTTTCTTGTTCAAAAGGATGTCCGTGCAAATTGGTTTAGCAGAAATCTTGTATAGAAACACAAATACGAGCCTTGCGATGATTCATTGAAACTGTTTCATTTTAGTGATCATGCAAATGAAACGCGCTACAAATCCAACCAAATGTGCGCCCGATTATAAAGTGGTGAATCAATGTAATAAAGTAACTTGGCTATTAAATTTTTTAGTTTCTCAAAAATGAAAAGAACCTTGTGAGCCAGTGGTACACTCTGTCTGCCTTTCAAAATTTCTACCTCAAAAATTGGCGGTGTTCTTTTCTTTCAAAGCCAATCCTAGCACGATTTCTTTCGAAAGCTACTGATTCCGATGGATAATTGGAATAATTAGGTGCAAAATGGACCAAAGAACAAATCGTTTATTGCAAAATCCCCTTGGCAATCGCGCCTAGACAGGTGTGTAGAAAGATCATTGGGAAGAGACAAGAAAGACAAAGTTTAACCGATCTATGGACAAGATATGGACATAAAGGTGTCACTCACCTTGTCTAGACTGTACCTTTTTCAGTTTTATTATCAATAACTTCAAAATGCAAGTAGCTGTTGAAACTGAAGATATTCACGATCATGATGAGTCGTTTTTCCCACTAGAGAGAACAGGTATGCTTGTAGGTTGATTGTTTTTACTTTTCTACTCATTTCCATTCTATTAGATTGTTCGGATATAAACAAGCGTTGCTAAACTTATTGTTGTGAATGAGTTGTGAGTTAAAGCTGTTGTGTTGTGAGTGTGCGTTGCTAAACTTATTGTTGTGAGAGAAGCTTTTAAAACATGTCCTTCTGTATTTAAAAGTACGTTATCTTGTGCATATTTGGAATCTTTTTAAACTGATAATTTCTTATTTTTAAGAGCTTTTTTCTTGCTTTAGATGACCGACTTGAAATATCAAGTTTGCGCAAACTAGGCATGCCTACTTTACGACTTCAAACTGGGCAAAACAGTCGCGAAAGCCCATTGAGATTTGGTCAAAGCATTTGGGAAGATGTATTGTCCGAAAGCCGATGCCGAGTCTGATTCCAACGCTTTCGGAATGGTGATGAAAGTCTCGAGGATCATGAACACTCTTGTCGACCTCAAGCGGTAGACAACGATACTTTGAGGGCCACAATCGAATCGGATCCATGTCAAACGACGCGCGAACTTTCTCAACAGTTTCTATGTTCAAATTCTACTATTGATGAGCATCTCCACGCCATTGGAAAGACGATCAGATGCGGGAAATGGCTTCCTCACGAGTTAAGCAGTGCAAACAAGACTTCACGGGCCGCTATTGCCGGAATTCTCATCCGCCACGCCAAAGATCATGGCTTTTTTGATTCTCTCATTACTGGAGATGAGAAGTGGATCTACTTCGATAATACTATTCGAAAACAGCAATGGCTAGGGCCAAATCTGACCGTGAAACCGGAAATTCATGGGAAAAGGGTCATGCTCTCAGTATGGTGGAATAACAAGGGCCTTGTGTATTTCGAGCTTTTACAACCTGGTCAAACAGTCACACCAGACCTCTACAAACAGCAACTTGATCGGGTAAATGAAGGTCTTATTTTTCAAGGAGTAGACACATCAAAGATAAAGTTCATCTATGATAACGCTAGACCTCACGTTGCAAAAATCACTCAGCAAAAACTGGAGAATATAGGATGTGAGCTTCTACCACTTCCACCGTATTCTCCCGATTTGGCTCCCTTTTACCGATTACCATTTATACCAGTCGATGCAAAACCTTTCGGCCAATGAGAAATTCAAAACCCGTGAATATATCCAAAATTGGGTCGCCAAGTTTTTCGAGACACAGCCGGCTGAGTTTTTCAAGAGCGGCATCAACTCTTTGCGCAAAAGATGGCAAGAAGCAATCAATAATAATGGTGAATATACTTTGGATTAAACTGTGTTGTTTCTGTTTTTAAGATAACTACTACTACTCGTTTATATCCGAAAAACCTAATAGAAATATATAAACTATCGTATTAGCAATTAGATCTAGAATAAGTTAATTCAGATGAACGATCGTCAACGAAGGCTCCCATCTCTTTGATTTCATTGCCAAACTGGAAGAAACAGCTTCTTCTCGTCATTCTTGCTTGGGCTGCACTTCAGGTTTGTTGATTAAAGAATACATGTATTGGGTTGGTGAATTGAAAACTGGCCGGCCATTGTCATGTGTCCCATTTTGAGCACTTTCTCCAAAAGAAACCCATTTTGATGTCAATGGAAAAGTTGTAGAGAATCAAAAATCAAGCTTATCCAAATTTTCACGACGATTCAAAAACTGGTTATCAAGAAATGCCAAATTTACGAATTTTCACAAAACTTGCATTTTAAGCGAAACTACTAAGTGTATCTTTTTGGAAATTTGGCTATAAGCCTAATTTTTGATTCTCTACAACTTTTCTATTGATACCAAAATGGGTTTCTTTTGAAGAAAGTGCTCAAACTGGGACATCTCCAGTCCTCCATTTGAGCCCTCCATTGAGTCTCACACTTGTCTCACACACAAACCAAAATCCTACTACGAAAGAGGAATCCGCAAATTGCCTGTAAAATGGGCAGAAGTCGTCAATAATAGTGGAAATTATTTGGAATGAATTTATGGTTTTATGTTGAATAAACCTTAGTTCAAAGTCCCGCAGTTTTCAATTCACCAACCCAATATTTAGTTTTAGAAACATTCTTGAACTTTAATCTTGATCTAGAGTTAAAAATAAAACGTAACATATCAAAAGCTGTCTAGAAAGAAGCAAAAAAATTCTTAAAAACTGGGTTCTTGTGATCGTACCTGCCCGCAAAACCGAATTTCCAATAAAAAGCGACCGCGAATTCTCCCTTAAATATTGGATGGACTAAGGCTAAAATGGGCAGAAGTCGTCAATAATAATGGAAATGATTTGGAATGAATTCATGATTTTATGTTGAATAAATTTTAGTTCAAAGTCCGGCAGTTTTCAATTCACCAACCCAATAATTTAAAGAGTTTGATTCCAAGCTTTCAGATAAAGTTCAATTTACTCATAATCAAGAAAAACTTTTTGAAATCTTCAACTTTTTCAGGTTGCCACTCGCGAACTTCAAAACCACAAAGGAAATGAACAAATTCGTTACATTAATGGATGGCCTAAGTGCTTTAAAATGAACAAAATTGAAGGTTTTTCTTTCATTTTCCAAGGCCTTCTCTCTACAGCTAAAATGGCTCTCTTTATCGGATTTCCTTTGTACTTAATCATCCGTAAAGGATTCAAATACTCAAAATGCTCTGAGACTGAAAAGTTTGATCAGCTAGTCTTTCTCTATGGCTCATTCCTTATGATTTTTGCTCACTGTTTCCTCGTGAATGGTTACGTTTTTGCTGAATTACGATGTCCTCCCGGTCTCCCAAGTTTAGACAATCTCTATTTCACAATTGTTGGCCTAACAATTTTAATTTGTAACATAACAGCTAAATTTTACAACGACTATGCCATGACAATGGTTGAAGATTCTTTCCTCGAAAAACTTTTTGGTCTCTTTATTGGTTTATTCTGGGCATCTGTTGCCCTTTTCTTGTATTTCATCTTCTCAATCATGTCTTCTTTCAGCGGCCAATCTGTTGAAGTGAAAGCTTTGACTTGGATTCTCACAACATCTCTCATTTCTCTTATCACTTGGCTTTTTGTGAATGGTTTTCATCCATGGTTTTATTCTTTCTAATTCATGTGAAATTTACTACTAAAAGATATTAGTTCTTAGCTTTTAAAAAGAAAAAAAACACGCACAATTCACAAACTATTGAACTCTTGACCTTTTAATCTTATGAAAAAACGGTTTGAAGCTGAGTAAAGCTTCCAAAAATCCAGAGAATCAAAGCTTCCAAAAATCAGAATTGATGTTATTCAAGCTTTAGAAATAAACGTTCTTCTTGGACAAATAGAAAATTTATTGTACTCAAATATTGGGTTGTCCAGTTATGAATGCGCGTTTTTACTATTTTGTAAATTTCTCAAGGTATCGAACAGATGTATATGGGTGTTATATATCATTCGAAAGCTGAAGATCTCCTCTACATTTTGGAATAAAAAAGTTTTTGAATTCATTCAACTTTTTGGGAATTTGACTGCACAAAGGGAGAGGTCGTTTTCGAAAAAACCCATTCCAGCTTAGCTATTCCTCAAGTTTTATGGTGGAAAATAACCGTCCAGAAAAGTAAAGATGCTCTGAAATTGTTATATTTAAAAAAAGTTGTATTGATATATCTATTGGCCAAACATCAAGCAGTTAACTCAATTTGAGCGGAGCCAAAACTTGATCCAAAGGCACCCTTCCATTTTTTGGCCACCTCTTCTTCTGTGCAGTCAAGTTTCCCAAAAGCTGAAGAAATTCAAAAACTTTTTATATCAAAATGTAGAGGAGATCTTCAGCTTTCGAATAATACTCATATATATTTTTTTCTTGCTTTTGGTATCTTGAGAAATTTACAAAATAGTAAAAAACGCGCATTCATAACTGGACAACCCAATAGAATGAAGTTAAGCGGAGAACACTGGATTCCCTTTGTGTTCTTTTGCTGGCTGAATCGTTTGAGCATTTGGATGATTGTAGGAAACGGAGGATTTCGTGATGACTGTAGTCTTTAACGGAGTCACTCCAATCTCTTTCACTATCCCATCAATCGGCAGCATTTCCGGTTCATCGATTGCCGTCTCTTTTGGCTCGACTCGATTTTGAACTTTTGGATTCACCATGAGATCGATTTTTTGATTAATCTTATCAAGGCCAAATTGGGGCTTGATAAAAAAAACTCAGAAACTTTAACATCAAATGCCAAATTAGGGCCAAATTGGGGCCCCTTCCACTCTTTCAGTAAACTTTCTAAGCCAAAAAACTTGCAAAATCAGACTTTGATGTTCTTTAAATGAAATCGTACTTTAAATTTTATGATGGTATGACGAAGAATGAATCTTGTACCAAGTTTTGAAAGCCTTGGTAAATTAGAATCAAGAAATAGAACTTTAAATGAATAAATTCATCATCTAAATCTTTAAAACTTTATTGGGAACAAAAAAAGTTAAAAATGACAAAAATTTGAAGCAAATGGCAAGTGTTCAGGTGTGTTTTTGTTATTGTTTCCTCAGTTATCCAATTGGCCCAACTTGAGTCGAAGGAGAGACTGAAGTTGTGGTGGTTCCCTTTCTGAAATTGATTTTATAAGTTGAGAAATCTTTAATAATTAACGTTTTCAAGTGTACAACAGAAAGTTGAAAATCATATGTTACAGAAATATTACACCAACGCCGCCTTATCATCGATTTAGTGAAATGCTTTAAAATTGTTAAAGGCATTCATCCCGACCCCCCTTTTTTCTGGTCTCTTTGAATTCTCTTTGAATTCTCTTTGAATTCTCTTTGAATTCTCTTTGAATTCTACGGGGTACCTCCAGAAGGCCTTTTCTCATACACGAACCTTCCGTTTCCTCTAAAATCCCCCACAGTTTCTTTTTTAACCGAGTTATTAAATCCTGGAACATTTTACCCCCACATGTTCGTGATATTCCCACCTTGGCCAGATTTAAAGCCGTAATTTCGGCAATTGATTTGACTACTCTGTGATTCTTTCTTGAGGTATCTATTTATCTTTTGGGTGTCTTTTGAGTGGTGTCCCGGGTAATTATTGTGATTCTGTTTTGTCGCTATTAAAGCGAATAAAGCATATATATGTTACGTCCATCTCTGAGTCGGACGTCCATCTCTGAGCCGGACGTCCGTTTCAGCGGAGAATGAATCTCCTCAGATTCGGACGTCCGGATCGGAGATGGACGTCTCCTCAGATTCGGACGTAACATATATATATATTTGAAAGGTTTCCTTCTAAACTGTACATTGTGCAACAGAGTTCGTTTATGGTGTGATAAATGAAATTTTGAGATACTTTTTTGATCTTTTCCTTTCCTTTTATAATTTTTATATTTATACAAGCACAATCTGATTGATTATTAACTAAATTACTTTACAATAGATCGGGAAATAAAATAATCACTCGATTATGAAAAATTTAGCATTTGTAGGTTATTCAGATGTATTTGGTGAACTTTGTGAACTTTTCTCATCTTTCTCAAGTTTAGGGAACTCCAAGGAATTCTGTTTTTCTAATTTCTTTAATTTTCAAAAAGATCAAACCATTAGCTTCATTTATTTTTTTCTAAAAGTAGCACATTTGGTTTTCTATTTCTGTATTTTTCTCGGGAATAAAGTCAAAAAGTTTCCCGATCTAAAGTAATTGATTTTTTGGGAAAAGGAAAGTTAAGAATATCTTTCTTGAAAAGAAGTTATGAAGAGAAAAGGAGTAAATCTCTTAAAATGGAATTGTACGAAGCGGATACCAAGAAAACTCCATTTTTCCAATGAATTTCCAGAGTTTCTTGAATTACTTTACCGGGAAACATTTTGACTTTATTGCCGAGAAAAATAAAGGAAACAAAATGAGGGGTAGGCTAGTTTCCGCAACAGGATCATTTGCCGAACTGGGTCGTTTGCGCAACTCACCATAACTTTCTTCTAAGTGGGCCAATCTTTCTGATTTTGGTTTCATTTTGTAGATCTGAATAAGTGCAACAAAATAACACCAAAATCATAAAGATTGGCCCACTTAGAAGAGGTGCGCAATGACCCTGTTGCGCAAAAAAAGTTGCGGAAACTAGCCTACCCCGTCTTTATCTTTGGCTTTATGATCAGAAAGATATTCAGTGAAACAGCTGATTCAAACAATGAAGTGAACGAAATCACTGCGAAACTGCGTGAAGCTGGGTACTTCCCAAATGGAGACAAAGACTACTTCTTTTCCCGTGCAGTGGGCCAATCTTTATGATTTTGGTTTCATTTTGTAGATCTGAATAAGTGCAACAAAATAACACCAAAATCATAAAGATTAGCCCACTTAGAAGAAAGTTATGGCGAGTTGCACAAACGACCCAGTTGCGCAAAAGAAATTGCGGAAACTAGCCTACCCCCAAAACGAGCTACTTTTAGCAGAAGAAATGAACACTAGAACTACACTACAAACTACAAACAACTACACTACAACAAAGAAATAAAGCTAATGGTTTAATCCTTTTTGAAAATTGAACAAATTCTAAAATTCCATACAATAATGTCAGCATTGAATTGTAAAGTTAAAGTTAACGATGTGATTCAAAAAAAGACAAAGCTTGGAAACTGAGCTTAGCTAATTTGTGTTTTGTGGCTATTTGGAAAGTTTCTCGATAGAAAACAAAGCTAAAAACGAAGAAATAGGCAACAATGTTAGTTAGTTTTAGTTTGAAATCAACAAAAACGAAGATATGAACAAAAATATCCGAACCTTTGCGCCGAGACGATCCGCGGCGTGGGAATTGCAGTGGCTTTGTCTTTAAATGAGCCCTCATCCATATTTAATCGAACTTTTCTTCGAATTCTTGATGAGTAAACCTTAATTAACTGAAAGCAAATAAGTGAATTGCATGCGAAGAAATAGAGAGATGAAGAGGTTGAATAAAGAAAGTTACCTTTTTACGGTATTCTTTGTGGAAGAGGCCATTGGCGAGGGTTGTTGCTAGGGAAATCAGACTGAAAATGAGTTGATTAGATTGTGAAAACAGTTATGATATTGTTAAGTTATTCAGAAAGCTTTGTTCAACCGTTTGCATGTTGTTTAAACTTAAATAAACTGTAAAACTTACCCTGGCATGCAGACTGAAACCCCAAAAAATACATCTTCTGTTTGGGAAATATTCCATGCGTTCGCCAATGAGGCAACAGCCGGGAAGCCCATTACAATCACGCAAAGTCCTGAAAAATGATTTAATGAAAGAACTACTGAAACTAGTGTACCTGTTAGCATCATTGTTGATAGAAAATACCCATGTCCACCTTTTGAACAGATCATTTTCTGAAGCACTTTGAATCTGATCAAGCTTTTTTCTGTGAACTCACTCTTTTGCTGATAAAAACAATCGCCAACGAGATGAAACTGATCGAAAATGTAAGAACCTATAAAAATAGATTAGTTAGAAGTTAATAATATTGTTGGTTACCGTAAAGAAGAAGTGAAAATTGCCGTACAATGGAGAAACACAAGCAGTGGCAGGGCAATGAGAAGTCGAATTTTCTAAGGTTTCATTGTAGGAAGACCCAGCAGCAAGTAAGAGAGATATCTGGAAAGATTGGCTGTAATTTGGTACTGCTAGAGTTGGGGATGCTAGCTCTTTCTTGGGTTGGAGCTGAGAATGCAAATACATGGTTGGCGCCGGAATTCGAATCCGCAAGCTCTCGTTTACTAGGTGAGCTAGTGCGATACAGACACGTTTAACAATTTTTGAGCCTAAGCCTAAGCCTAAGTCTGAGCCTGAGCTTGAGCCTAAGCCTGAGCCTGAGCTTGAGCCTAAGCCTAAGCCGGAGCCTAAGCCTGAGCCTAAGCCTAAGCCTAATAAATTTGCCTGCCTTGCTTTTGTAAATTTGAAAAAATACTACAACTACTTACCAATTCAAATAAACAAACACCCAGGATGGCCTTTGTCTTGAAAGCATCATCCCAGACTTTTTGATAAGTTGCCGGTTGGAAAACAGCTAAAGACAAAGCTAGATCGTTTTCAATTTAAAACAATATTATTATTAAACCTATTGACAGCTTGTTAAAGTTCAAAAGAGCAAAATTTACCTGTTAACCTCTCGACAACGGATATCATGATGAGAGCTGCTGGGATTTGTGTTCCCATCAATAGAAATACACACCAGGGTCGCTAAAAAGTGGCTATGATTACAGTAAGATGAGTCATTTATGCCAATTATGAAAATTGATTTACTTACATAAATGAAACATCCAAAAGTGGTGATCGAGTCAAAAATGACACCACTGAGAAGTGTTCCATACCGACCGGCACCCGTCGAAATGTAGGCAATGCCTGAAATGGTCAATGTTGAGTAGGATAGTACTATTAGGTTGGCAACTAAATAATGGCCCCCGCCCTTTTTTGATAAAATCTTTTAATCTTTGCGTTTAATCTACCCTCGCTTGTTGTTAATTGAATATTACTGAATTTCTGGTGCATTATTATACGTTTTTTACTTTCCTTGATTTGATACTTTTCAAATAATTTTGTTTAGAAATGGAAGATCTCAAATATCGAATGCGTGTCTGTCTCTGGTACGACTACAAACAAGACAAAACAGCTGCCGAAACCCACAGAGATTTATTGCGAGTTTTTGGTGATGAAGCTCTTTCCGAAACACAATGTAAGAGATGGTATCGACGGTTCAAGGAAGGGGATGAAAGTCTTGAAGATGAGCCTCGCCAAGGACGACCCGAACTTCTGCAGAACGATATTTTGGAAGCAGCTTTAAAGGAGGATCCAAGTCAAACATCAGGGGATCGATTGGGCTTTTCGCATACTGCAATCGAAAAGCGACTTCATGCATCGGGGAAAAGTAACCGCAGTGGAAAGTGGATTCCGCATGAATTGAGCGAAGAAAATAAGGCTACTCGTGTTATCACAGCTGGAATACTACTAAAACTTGCGAAAAAGGAAGCTTCTTGGATTCCATTGTTACTTCTGATGAAAAATGGATCTTTTATGATAATCGAACGCGAAAACGACAGTGGCTTAGCACAAACGAAGACCCAAAACCAACTCCGAAGCCGGATATTCACTCAAAGAAAACTCTCCTCTGTGTGTGGTGGAGTTCTCGTGGGTTGGTGCATTTCGAGGTTCTCAAAAGCCGGCAAACGGTTAATTCAGAACTCTATTCGTCTCAACTACATCGTGTAGATCAAGCAATTCGCTCTCAAGGACTCGAACCCTCTTCAATTCATTTTCTCCATGATAACGCAAAACCACACACTGCAAAACTTACAATGGAGAAAATCGAGGAGTTGGGCTGGAATGTTCTTCCTCATGCGCCATACAGCCCGGATATGGGGCCTAATGATTACCATCTTTTTCGATCGATGCAACACTTTCTAGCCGAGAAAAAGTTCAATGACCTTGACGAAGTCCGAATTTCAGTGCAGAAGTTCTTTGACGATCAACCAGAAGAATTTTTCAAGAGAGGAATCCAGTTGCTCCGTCAAAAGTGGAAAGAAGTAATAAAGAATGACGGAGAATACCTTTTGGATTGATGTTGATATTTGTTCATCTTGTTAATAAATTTTTTGTTTTTACTGAAAAGGGCCATTATTTAGTTGCCAACCTGATAATAAAGCTCGGATTGCTGAGTTCGACTTGGGTTAGATCTGGGAATACAAAACAATGTTCAACGCTGGGACTTGAACCTGAGGCCTATCGCTTACCGGACGAACTACCAATGAGCTACACTGACACGTATCCTATTGCCGCCAGGGTAGGGTCTTAAGCCTTACCACTTCTTACAAGGGAACGTTCAGAACCGATCGTGACATTTCGAAGCGAAACTTTGGCACAAAGGTAAATCGATTACGTTAGATTTAAATCCCAATAAGGTTTTTCGATCATTGATTAATTCACCGTTAAACCAATAGCATTATGCGTTGTATAAAAGTTGGACCCGTTGGTCTTTATGAGTTAGGGCTGGGAATAAAAAACATGGGCGCCACCAGGATTCGAAAATGCGACCTCTCATTTACGGGGCAAACACTCTATAGAGTGTAGAGCTCTATCAATGAACTACACCGATATGTCTCCCAATGCTAGGTAAGGCTAGATGTCTTATTGCAGAGCTGCAACACTTGCACATAGCTTTTTTTTTGACTTGATAGAAACAGGCTGTATTCTTTTATCTCCTAATTATCTCAAGCCAGTTTTTCTACATAAAACTTTACCAAATATCAAGCTGCTTCTCTTTGAATTAAACTGCATTACCTATCGTAAACTATTTGCTGTTCTGTTTGAACTAATTCCTTCTCTAAAACTTTAACTTGAACTTTTGTTTTTCCCCAGCTCACTGAATCATTTTCTTCAACCAAAAGAGGTCAACAAATTTGCATGAGAACCTACAAAATTCAGTTCGCAGGCATTTCCCGTGAATGTCAACCAACATTTTCTCTTTTTCTTATATTTTTTAGGAGATCTCTAGCTGAACAGTTTTCTGCTGGAGCTATGGGAAACTTCTGACACACCAGACAAATATTTTTGTTTCTATTAATTATCAAAGTGACTCACCGTTAACAATTTCTCCAATCTCCAAAGCAATGAACAATTTGTATTTCTTGGTGTGGCGTTGAAGGGAAATGAAAATACAAACATTGAGAAGATTGCAAAATAAGGCGATACATCCTGAAAGATTTGAATGATTGATGTTAAATTTTACTTTAAATAAGACATACCGTAAATACTGTAATAGTACCCCACCCCCATAATGACGGTGCAGAGTGTTGTGTAGTCTAGCTTTGAATGAGTTTTTCTCGACACTGGTTTATGCTACAATGCGCACTTAGGTATCAAAAAATAGCTGAAATTCAGGGCTGAAATTATAGTATTTACGGTAGCTTTTTCTGAATAACTTCTTGATATTTGAAAGTTTCAGAACAGCTAGCTGAGTAATTGTTTACGGAAGTTTAGTATGGTTTCGTGGATTCGTAATGAATCGTAAACAAAAAGTAGTACGGTAAAAATTTAGAAATATCCAAGAACACAAAAATTCAAGTTAAAGATGATGCTGCTAGTTGCAAGTTTAAACGCTAACTGGCAGAAGTACTTCCAATGTTAGAGTAAGAACACAAAACAAGCTCAAGTAAGTTTTGAGCACTGTTAAACAATGATCATCTAACTGTGACAGGTTTAGTTCTCTAGCACAATCTCGAGCAATTTTAAGGAAAAAGATAAAGATCGAAGATCCATAAATAAACGAACCTACGCAAAAATACATGATAGCGAGAAATTGTGTGTTGACAGGATCATCTGAGAAGACATAACTCCTCCCATCTTTCAACACCATTCTTCTCAAAGCACTTTATACAGCTAAAGGGAAGTAACAGGTGTCCGTTTCTTGTCCGGAAGTAATAGGTGCTCTTTGAAACTTATGATTTTACTAATGAGTTCGTTCACAAGTTCGCAAGAAATGAATGAAAAGAAATATAAAAAGAATGAGTTGAAACGAGTGCAATAAAATGTTTGTCATTAAAGAAAGATCAAAAACTAAAATGAAGTGTGAGGAATTCAATTATTTCTCGTAAAAAAATTTCAATTTCATTCGAAAGACCAAAAGATAGAGTTCTTCAAATGAGAAAGGCCGATTTAATGGAATCGTTTGGACAAATTAAGAAAAAAAATTGGAAACGGAGGCATTTTAATAAATTGAATCGAATTGAGTTGTTGTGGTTGGAGTCGGGGAAAGGTTTGCTTGGATAGAAAATCGACTCTTGCTAAAGATTAGAAAAGGAAGCTTTGGTTTGGTTTTGCTGAAAGTAGCCTAAGCTGGTAGCCTAAGCTGGTAGCCTAAGCTGGTAGCCTAAGCTGGTAGCCTAAGCTGGTAGCCTAAGCTGGTAGCCTAAGCTGGTAGCCTAAGCTGGTAGCCTAAGCTGAAGAAGTTATGTAAAAGTTGAACTTTCAAATATTTCAAATATTTCAAGCCTAAGCCTAAGCAAAAACTTTGAACGAGAAGATCGACTCTTTGCCATTTCCATGTTTAAAATGAAAGACATACGAGAGTTTTTCAGTTTTGTGTGGGAAAATTTTTGATTCCTGTAAATCTTTAGTTGAGAACTTTTAAAAGATCGAAAACTTTCAACTCAACCAATTAAAAGTGAAAAATTCAGTAGATAAACATGTGTAATTTCAAAGAATTCAATTCTTTCCAAGAAATTCAACACATGTGAGAAAATTGAGGTTTTACAAGCTATGATTAGATGAAGCAATTGCGGAAAGGGAAAGAAATAGGGGAATTGGAAGTTTTGAAACTCACTTATAACGTTTGTTTGCGCAAAGGAAAGCTTTTCAAAGCAAAACAAGCTACCGTAAATACTGTAATAGTACCCCACCCCCCTCGTACAGTCGCGTAGTCGCAAAAGGTTTTTCATTTTAGCATTTCATTTTTTGCAAAGCGTCCGTACTTTCAAAAAAAGAACTATTGTTACTCAATGGTTCTTAATGGACGGCCTCAAGATGCGATTCCGAATCTTCAAATTCTAGAGATGCGAGCAAAAAGACTGTCATCCCTACCATTGTTTGATTCTTTCTGATTTATTGAGCCGGAATGGTCCTTATATTTGCACTAAAGATCCGGTAGGGACAACTCTTTAAAACCCACATTAAAATAGTACAATTATTGCGTCTTGTTTCTTTCTTGAATTGCGGCCCATCAGCACAGAACTATTGTTACTCAATGATTCTTAATGGACGGCCTCAAATGTGTCAAGCGATTGATGGAATGTCATATTGTTATTAGATTTTGAAAGTCAATTAAGCAATAAGCCATTTTTATTGAAAAGAATTGTATTTATATAAAGTTTCTGTGATTTTGAGACCAATCAACATCTCATGTTGTTGAAGATTTTTATGGAATCGTTTCCCTTCTTCCTTGAGATCCCAATTGGAACGATGAGAACAGATAAGAAGCTAATTTTTGTTTTGTTTAACTTACCGTAAATACTGTAATAGTACCCCACAAATCTGATTTGACAGGCCAAACCAATAGTCGATTGCATATTGTCCCAAAAAAAGTAGACCAAATTTACAGAGAATCGAGTTATGAAGTGAAAGGACAGAAACACACACACAAACTTTGCGTCTTCTAAGAAGTAAGATGTCTTATTGGGAGTCGGAGCCGCGTGGGTATCGGTTGGGTATTGTGGGTTATTGGTAGTGGCTGGTGAAATAGAAGTATAAATGGAAATCGTGAATTTCGAATTGTAAATCTTACCCCAACATTTCATAAGCCGTACATTCCATGCAATCATTGCAAACGAATTGCACGCAGGAGATGGAGGTGGGGTTTCCGAAGTGAACTCCGGGGATTGGAGTGGCTTGTTCGTAGTAGACTTGCTATCCGATCGAAATTCTGTCGGATCGGATTGGATCGGATTCAACCCGATAGAGGCTTTTATCGGATCGGAGCGGATTCAATGATGTCATCGGATCGGACCATCATCCGATGCAATCCGATGCAATCCGATCCGTCGGATAGCAAGTCTAGTGCCTTGACTTGTTACAAAGTTGTAGTTCTCTTGAAATTTAATCAAAGCAGTGCAATAACCGAGATAGGTGATCAAGAAGATCTAGAGGGAAAGTTACTCGACGAACCATCGAGTAGTTATTGATTAATGTCCCTTCCGTGTCACTCAATTCATCAGAATTGAGTGATACGGAAGATCCGTTGATGAAAGATGAAGAAATGCAGACAAAAACTCCTTTAAGACCATCAACACCAGTCGACCCTATTATTCATCCATTCACAAAGAAGGAGGATTCATCCATTCACAAAGAAGGAGGATTCATTCATTCACAAAGAAATTCCTCCATCCATATTAATGCAAGGTATTAAACGATTACAATTGTACTCATGAAGAGACAATTAGTCCAAAGTTGACAAGCGTCTTTATCTTTTGAGTATTTCAATCACTCTATTGAATACGAGAAAACAATTTGGAGTGTTCTTCTCGTTTCAGATGTTTAAGAATGAAAAAATAAAGGCATTTGTAAATATTTTAGAGAAATGGAGTGGTTGTTTCTACAGGGTGCGTCATAATTATTGCAACAAGAGTTCAAAGACCGTTCAAAGACGTTCAAAGTTTTAAAGAAGAATGTGATGTCATGGGCGTGTAAAGCCAATAACAATTAAAATTGGACCTTCATGCAAGATGGAGCTCCCGCTCACACGAAGAAGACGGTTCAGGACTGGTGTGTGGCCAACTTTCCCTCAGTGATCACCAAGGATGAATGGCCTCCAAACTCACCGGATCTCAATGTGATGGACTTTTCCATTTGGGCAATCTTAGAGGCTAATGTCTGCTCTTTGACCTTGAAGAAGTCTTTGACCAAAGGATGGAAGGCGACTCCTCAAGATGACATTCGGGCCGCAGTGGAGGCATATCCGAACCAATTAAGGGCTGTTATCAAGGCAAAAGGCGGTCATATCGAATGATCTCTTGTTTCCTTTTTTGTTACTGTTAAATAAAGCTATTTCTGTTTAAAAATCTTCTTCCAGTGAAACTTCTTGGTGTGCAATGCCTTGAGTATCTTGTTGCAATAATTATGACGCACCCTGTATCAACAAGACTTACTTTTGGAAACTCACATCAAATGGGCAACTTTCTCTGTAGCTAGGCGACTTTGTGTAACTTTGCCTGTGTGTAACTGTGTAACTTGCCTTTCCAAGTTACAGCCTGCTATTGTAACACTTCTGCGATTGTAAACAATGCACCAATTTAATCAATTTTTATTTCTCTTCAATGAGAAATTTATTTATCACATTCAAAACATAAAATATAGCAAATCAATGAATGAAATTTGTAGAACGGTCCTCTATTTTCCATATCCACCTTTATTGTAACCTCAACCTGAATTTTCATTTGAACTGCTTTAGATTGAAAAGTATTCTATCTGTCTACTATAATAACTGTCTATTGTACGTAATAGTTTAGTTGAAATTATAGTTTTGTTTGAGAAAACAAACCCATGCCGCCCATACCGCCTCCGCCCATACCGCCCATACTGCCTCCGCCCATACCGCCCATACTGCCTCCGCCCATACCGCCCATACCGCCCATCGGGGGGTAGTTGTTCAAGGGTCCGAAGCTGAAATTATGATTTTGTAAATGAAAAACAAGCTATCACACTTCAAAAAGTTTGCAATTTCCATTGCATTCCCACACCACACACCCCAAACACAGGACTAGTTTATCTTCACTTCAAAACACTCTCCGAACCTAGTGATCTTTTCCTTGATTATTATTGATGGCCCGAATCCACCGGGACCTCTCATTGGACCATTCATTGGACCATTCATCGGACCGAATGGTCCACCCATCGGCTCATTCATTGCCCCCATTGGCCCTCCGATTGGTCCCATACTTTAACAAGAGCTTGTTCTTATTTATGTTCCTTATTTATGAAAGTGCATCAGTTTCTGGTCATCAAAATTTCAGCAAAAAACCTCACATTCACTCACTTTCCTCCTTGGCCGCCTCCTTGATAGCCGCCTCCTCCATAGCCGTTTCCTCCATGGCCGCCTCCTCCATAGCCGCCTCCTCCATAGCCGCCGTATGAAGGCTTGTTGTAACTTGGTGGTGGAGGAAGAGGCATTGGCTCTGGTTTAGGTTCAGGTAGAGGCATTGGTGGTGGAATGTAAGCTGGCTTAGGAACATAAGTGTGCACAACAGGAACTGGAATTGGCTCAGGTCTGGGCTCAGGTAGGGGAGGTGGTGGCGGCACGTAGGCTGGTTTAGGCATATAAGTATTCATTGGTGGTGGAACGTAGGCTGGTTTTGGTAGAGGCTCGGGTAGGGGCATTGGTGGAGGTGGTGGGACATAAGCTGGCTTTGGGGCATAAGTGTGCACAGGTGGGATGATTGGGGGTGGGATGTAGGCAGGTTTGGGTACATAGGTGTTAATGGGCATGGGTGGTGGAAGGATCGGCTTGCTGTACGAGTTGTAGCCATAGCCGCCGCCACTGAAATACGCTTGTTGAGAAAAATAGTGACTTTAAAAATCGATTACTAGTTTCTAGTGATTTGATTAACTATAGATAAGAATGAAATCAAATCAATTAAAGCCAAAAAGTTAAAACTTACGCTGCCGAACATACAAATGCCAAAGTCACTATTGAAAGCGGTCTAATCATCTGAAAATGTTTGTTTAAGATGGGAAAATGATAGAAAATGAAGATGAAAGCTTGCTGTTAGAAAAGAAATTCAATTTTAAAGGAATTATGGTAAGAATCCGATTGCGCAAATCTTTTAAAGTAATGCCTGACTCCAAAGAGAATCTTTATAAATTTTCGAGATATTCGTCAATGTCTCTCCTTTGCCGATTTGCAATTTGCGCAATCGGATTGGGAGAAAATGAGAGTTTGTCCAATTTGAGCCTTTCAATCCGATTGCCCAAACCAACGAGATTTCGCAGTCCGGATCTCTCTATCGCTTTTTTTGCTTATCTATCTTTCTCTTTTCACCTGAACATCAACATCTATTCGCTGTGTTATCATTTTAGGAGAAAAACATGCTGAGGAATTGCTCATCCACGCACGATTGAATAAATACTTTTTAGATGTTATTAGGCTTTCCAGAAAGTCTTTCTGTTCCTACTTTCGTTCCTTTTCCGACTTTCGTTTAAAGCCAACAAATGCACCAATTGAACTACGGTTTATTTCATTAGAAAGACCAATTATTTTTCAATAGAATGACACAGAAAAACTGAAAAGGAACGAAAAACCCTACTGAAAAGCCTTTTAGAGATTGGTGAAGGCCTTTTTGACAGTTTTTGACACATCTTGATAGTTTGGGCATTGAAAAAGCTCTAGTTTCCTCATTACTTTAACTAGTTCTAGATGGATTTACTAAAAGTTTTGGCTGACAGAACTTGGTTTTCCCATACAAATTTTCATCAAAGGAAATAACTGTAACTGTGCCCTGTAACTGTGAACTGTAACTGTACCCTGTAACTGTTCCCGGTAACTATTCCCTGTAACTGTTCCCTCTAACTGTGCCCTCTAACTGTGCCCTATAACTGTGCCCTGTAACTGTACCCTGTAACTGTACCCTGTAACTGTGCCCTCTAACTGTGCCCTAACTGTGCCCTGTAACTGTGCCCTGTAACTGTGCCTTGCAACTGTGCCTTGCAACTGTGCCTTGTAACTGTGCCCTGTAACTGTGCAACCAAAGCGCCCCTGAGCGGATCCTCTTCTCAATCACTTGTCTTAAATAGCGTTGCACTTATAAATTAACCAGAAACGTTTTCTAAATCAGTTTTTTGCGAGGAATTCGAATTTCCTACTTTTAAAATCGTATCTTTTATCTAAAATTACCAAAAATGCAGAAAATACAAGTACGGGCACTTTTGGCGCACCCTGTACTTACAATCGAAATTATCAATCGTTTTTCTTTATTTTCCCTTATTTTCCTTTCATTTTCATTGTTTTGCTGTAATATTTTACTTCACGATTCAATAAAATCAAAAATCTTTCTACTCTCTTCTTCCTTTCAATTTGCCATTGATGGGGTGTGGATTGATCTCAAGGTCACGAAGTGGGCAGTTCTTTTGAAAAGTGATAAAAGTATATTCACCATATTTGATAAACGAAAGAAATCAATCAAAAATGTAAAAATGTAAAGTCAAGTGCGTAAAAAAGAGAAAATAATTGAAAGTATTGAAAGTATTGATTTAGAGGATTCAGCTCATTTTGCTTGGCACTTTTGGGGGTGATGGACGGAGGAAATTCTGTAGAAGCTCGATTGGGAACGGGAAAATGATTGTTGAGTTCTTCTCGGCACTGAAAAAATTATAAAATAAAGTACAATAGTCAATCAACGACATTGCGTAAATATCTTTACCTAATGCTGTTCAATGTTTGCAAATATCGGAGTTGAATCGCGCATGGATTCTCAGCAATTACTGAGGCTGCCTCTCGGAGAGCTCGTGACGCTTTCTGCTCTCCCTCAGCAGCGATCACCTGCAAAAGTTACAAATGTTTTTAAACGAAAGTACGAAAAGGAACAAAAGCCTACTATTTCGTTGTTAATTCCTTCTTTTTTTACCTTTGCTCCAGCTTCTCGTGTAGCCTCAGCTTCAGCAGCCATAACCCTTTGCAATTGCACTGGCAGTCTAACATCTTTCACTTCAACCCGTTCCACTTTGACTCCCCAGGGATCTGTGGCTTCATCAAGTGTTAGCTGAATGGGAGATTGTAGATAGATTATAGATTTGAGCTAGTAAGATAGGCATACCTGCATTTGAAGGGAAATATTCTCTCGATCAGAGAGCATCTCGGCGAGAGTTCTCGTTCCAAGAATGTTTCTCAACGTTGTCTGAGCTAACAGTTTTGTTGATCTAAAATTGTTGTTGTTTGTTGTTTGAATTGTTGAACGTGTTAAATTCTAGTAAATTGTTAAATATTAAATGCTGGAATTACAAACTCTACAACTACTTTTAGTATTTTCTCGAACCTGCTCGCATCTTCAACATTTGTGACACTGATTGTGGCGTTTGATATCCGGAAATATACTACAGCATCCACAGCAACTGTCACCGAATCTTTTGATAGAATCTAGATTTTCCTTGAGAGATTGTAGATTTGAAAGATTGGAGTTAAGAAGGGTTTTTTTGAGAGACAAAACCAACAAACCTCTTGTGGAGGCACATCGAAAGAAACAACCCGAAGATCGATCTTTTTGTACGAGTCTATACACGGAATAATGAAGAAAATTCCTGAAATTCGGGTTTAAGGACACTACAAGTTCTGTATTTTCAAAAGTCTTCATTAGATTCTCTTAAGGTTCTCTGTAGATCTCTTAAGATTTAACCTGGTCCTCTAGCTCCGCCGGGCATAAGTCGACCCAATCGAAAGACGACAGCTCGCTCATACTCTTGAACTACCTAAAAGGATTTGTTTTTGATTTTAACAGGTTTAAAGCTGAAATGTACAGAGAATCTTCTCAAATTACTGATCAATTAGAATACCTTGATAAAAAGACACGCTGAGAGGGGCAGTGTACAAACGACGATGATATAGGCTATAATCGTAAGAATCCATGCGCATAAAGGCCAATCCTCAACACGTTGCACTGAAGATCGCTTGTAAATCTCTTGTTTATAGGCAATATTACAATATTATTGCATCAGTATATAGCATCAATATTATTGCCTTCATCTCATAGTTTTCTCAATAAAACTGTCCACTATCGAGAACTTGTTGATTCTGTCTTCGGCCAATTCTCTGCACCGAACTCTCCTTTCCCCCACCAACGGGGCTAAACGCCGACGGTGGATCCAAATCCTCCACCATTGTTGATAGAGAATTATTTTCAAGTTATTGTACCATTAGTGTAGGTTTTTTTCTCTGAAATATGCTTTGTTTTGCGAAGCGCTTTAACGAGAAATATCAGAAAAGGCATTGGATTGGAATGGAAAAGAATTGGAAAAGATTAAAATGGCAATTCAATGGTAATCTTTAAAATTGCAAGTAAATTTTAATTAATTTCAAAATATTGTATTACTAGAAGAGTCGTTTTTATAAGAATTCTTGTAGAAAAAGTTTTAAAGTAAGAAAAGGATAAGTGGCCTAGTTGGAGAGAATTGGAGAGATGGATACTAGCATCTTCGAGACTTTGCTCATTTATTTTTTTTCAAATAAATGAGCAAAGTTGTCCAACTGAAACTATCAACAATCTTTAACAATTTGACAATCTTTAACAGCATAATTTGAATTGAAGAAAGCAAAAGAAAGATTTTAGAGATGTCTACTCTATAAATATTAATGCAAATCTAGGCTAGTTGTCTGCTTTCAATCTAATAAGAATGCGCATAAAACAAGAAAATTCTGCTTCAGATTTTGAAGAGAATAAGCCCGCAAAGTGGCAATTGTGTCGAGATGCGAGATCTGCGAGAAAAAAAAACGTATAAAGGCTCTCAAAAAGGAGGCTCTTTTCACAATTCCCCTCGTGGATGGCATCGAGGAGATAGATGTGGAAAAGAAAGGATTCTCTTTTATCCGTCGTTTCTTCCAATTGCGGGCCTTGATGAATAAGCGATGGTTGAAGAGAGAGGGGAAAAGGGACACACAGGGGTATGAAGGGACGCGTGGAGGGGACGGGGTTGAGCGACGGGGTATTGAGCATCGATGGATTGAGGATGAAAAGGCAAGGCAAGGCAAGGCACCTATAGTGATAGTATTCCCATAATTGAAGGATCTGAAATTTGCTTTAAGGTGGTCATGTTATTGCTTAGGCTTAGGGGTTAAGCTTAGGCTTAGGCTTAGGCTTAGGGCTTAGGCTTAGGCTTAGGCTTAGGCTCAGGCTTAGGCTTAGGCTCAGGCTTAGGCTTAGGCTTAGGCTCAGGCTTAGGCTTAGGCTTAGGCTCAGGCTTAGGCTTAGGCTCAGGCTTAGGCTTAGGCTTAGGCTTAGGCTTAGCCTTAGGCTTAGATGACAGTTTACAATAACTACTTGTAAACTGTCACCTAGAATGTGTTCCTCGTGATTAATTCGCTTTCTAAAGCGCTTTTCTAAAGCATGCGCTTCAAAAACGTCACCATAGTTATGTAAATTTGTTTAGCTTCGAATTTCTTTTGATGGAAATTTAACTTTTCATCATTTGCAGGTATTTTTTCTTATTTGTGTGAAGTATCTGCATCTTTTCTTGCTTTCTTTCTTGCTCAGGAACATTCTTGCTAACAAGGAAAGGCCAACTGCGTGTACCGGTCAAATTCGACGCAGAATTTCACTCGGATTCTGTTTCTTTTGGATTTTAATGATAGCTGCTTCATGTTAATAGTTAAAAGTAAACATTTTTATGAGAAGATTTAAAATAAACTTGAATTTGAAACGGAGAACAATTAACTTTGCAAATCGAATAGCGGACTCGAACTAGAAAAAAATCTTTCTTTTATTCAGCTCTTAAATTGAATATCTTATTCAAATTTAATGACTTCGATCATTTCGAATGGTAGCTGCTTCCGGAGTTCCGGAGTTCCGGAAAAGTGGATTCCGGAGTTTGGGGACTTTCCTATTTTACTCTAGAACTCGACTTCTAATTGTCACATCGACTTCGGGTTGGTTTTAAAATGTTCCTTATGAAATTTGATTATAGAAAACCACAATTTGTTTTGTATACTCTAGTGTAAGAACATAGAGAAAATTTGAGTCAAAGTTGGACTTTTGCCTTGTATTCTAACGCACTACCACTGCCACGGCTTCTTAACGACTTTGGGAAATCTGCTTATAAGCTCTGGATGTGATTTTTGTAATCCTATACAAAACTTTGCAAGCTTATAACTTTTGACAGAGTGCTCCTTAGCAGAAACAGAAAGCAGATTCGGAAAGAGTGAAATTTTGCGTCGAATGGGTTATGGTTAATGTTAGTTGCCCTTCTCTTGTAGATATTCTTTCGGATTTAGATTTAGATTCGAGAAAATCCGTGGGATAAATATTTAAATTTAGCATAGTGACTCAGGTACAGTACTGGACAATGAAATATGATATTTGAAAAACGATCGTCACTTTTGCGTCACTTTTGCGTCTGTAACTCCCTTGTCTTTGAGTTTAAACTATTAGTGTTATACATTTTCTGAAAGCTCTTTTCAAGGGCTACACAATGGTAATATTAGTATTTAGAAATACGGTAAAGACAATTGAGTTACAGACGCGCGAAAGTGACGATCGTTTTTCAAATATGATATTTCATTCTCCAGTAGTGTATGTTATTTAAAATAAAATAATCGCATTTTAAACAGCAGCTGTTTTTTTTGGATCAGAAATAAATCTAAACGTTGTTATTCAATTGTTATCTCAAATAAAAGTTACTCAATTGAAAAGAAAGAGTAAAAGAAAGATAGAGAAAACGAAATAATAGGAAGAAGCGTTGAGAAAAAGTTAAAGTAAAACTTTTTAGTGCAAAAAACAACGCGCTCCTTATATAGCTCCTCCTCCAAAAGATATTCAGCTCATTACATTTCCATATGCACTAATTTGTTTAATTGACGCATGAATTAAGACAAATCTTGATTAATTAACCTTTAATCGAATAGATTTGTTGATTCAAAGTTATTCAATTAATTATTTGATCACGAGGATACCTAGATACCTATAGCTTCTCATCGAGATCCTTATTCAACAGTAAAGTTGAGTAAGGTTCCTTGAAAGAGTCCTTTTCTAGTTCTTGAGGCCAAAATCCTTGCGTGATATTCGACTATTACTAATGCTAATTGTTCAAAAGCTTCAACACTATCAAAAAAGTTGCAACTTCTCATCGAAGAATCTTTTTGAGATTCTAGATGGGTAATCTAATTACTTGTAATGAATATTCACGAGTCTTGTAATGAATATTGAGAGTGATTGGGTCGAAAAGCCTTGAGTGTGCCTTTCTTCCGTCAATCAGATCAAATCGAAAAGAATCTTTTTTCTCGATTCCGACAATTACCCGACTATAGCCGTTTTTTGATTAAATTAAGGGTTTTTCGCAAATAGCAATCCGCAAAAACATTTCAATTTTCATTTTTATGGTGGACAATGGATAATGGTGGAGAATGGATAACAGATTTATCCCTTTTGTGGAGAGAAGCTGCATAGTAATCCAGCTGAATGTACTGAAAAATAATATATTCAAAGAGCCAAGGTTTTTTTTAAGAAAACTAGTGAACTAGTAGATGATGAAATAGAGAAAAATGTGCGGATTCGCGTAAAATATTAATGTTTTCGGGTGAACGAGAGAGTGAGCTGAAAAAAAAGTCAATAACATTCATTTTTTGAGAGTTCTGATCAATCTAGGCGTGTAAATTTGTTTTCAAGATATCTGTGGGCCAAATGCGACCTTTTTTTGCGCACCTGGACATTTATTGCGCACCTGGACATTTGCGCACCTTTTTTTTGCTGGAAAAGGCCTTAGGAGAGGTCGTAGAGCTTCAAAAAGGTTTCATACAAGGGAATCATATGCGTAGATTCCGAATTTCGACAAATCAGACCTCGCTGACACGTCAAATTTGGGCTAAAAGGCAAAAACTACGCAACTTAACGCTTTTCCGCAGTTTTTGCCTTTTAGCCCAAATTTGACGTGTCAGCGAGGTCTGATTTGTCGAAATTCGGAATCTACGCATACGATTCCCTTATATGGAAGTATTTTCGAAGCTCTACGGCCTTGCCTAAGGCCTTTTCCAGCAAAAGAAAGGTGCGCAAATGTCCAGGTGCGCAAAAAAGGTCGCATTTGTCCCACCCCCGATATCTGAAATAAAACTTGATCAATATACCTTCAAAAAAACCTTCAAAGTATCTTTGAGAGATCAGATTAACAAATGCTATTTTCTTTTCTTTTCATGTAATGGATAAATGGGAAAGTCCCAAGAATCCGATTCGAATTCCGGTCGGATAAGAGCCAAAATGAGAGGAATGAGAGGAGAGTGACACTCTGCTTTCAGAACTGAAATTTGATTCGATTTAGAAAAGAGAGAATGGAGAACAAAAGTGGAAAGGAGACGGATTGAGGTTCTAGCTTACTAAGGTACGACTTGTGGGAAATGGGGAAACAATAGGTTGAATCTAAACAAGAATCTAACCAGATTTTTAGAATCTAAACAAGACAATGATTAAAAGGAACTTGACCATTTTGAGCGATTAAAATTTCGCAAAGTAGCGACAACTTTTTAGAAAAGTATCTGGGAATGTCTAATTTATTTCAAAAGTGTCAAGTGTTATCTAGAGAATTGTAGCCCTAATTCTCGGCAACATTTATCTATCAAAAGCTTCTTGATTAGACTTATATAAATCATTTAACAAGCGCTTGAATGAGCGCTAGTCGACATCTTTCCAGCGGATTTGTCATTTGACCATTCATTTGAGCGAAGCTACCAGGAGTTTGACATTAACTTCAATTTTGGTTATGCCAGTCAACCAACTACTATGACATCGTAAATCGGTAAAGTTGAAGCTTAGAATTTGGTCTAGTTTAATTAAGCTCTCAGCTTCCATCAAACTAATTTAGCTTCGAGAACACGATCACAGCTCAATTCTATGACCATACTCACTACGATCATTTTGAGGTTTGAGCTTTACTTAATAAGAGCCTATCGTTGGCCCTTTTATGGGTTGAGCTGGGAATACAAAACATGGTCGGCGCCGGGATTCGAATCCGCGACCTCTCGCTTACCGGGTAAATGTTCAGCAAAACAGTTAAATGTGATTCTTAATGTCATTAAGTCATGTTAAACGCTATTTTTCCATTAAAGTAATATTGAAAAGCTTTTCTTAACAATTTTAAATAGAGGAAAGCGGTCAAATGACAAATCCGCGGGGGAGATGT